TCTGAAGAAGGGTCTAGGCCCAAAACGTCGGCCTTCCTGCTCCTCTGATGCTGCTTGGCCTGCTGTGTTCATCCAGCTCTACACCTTGTTGTCACTAATTATAACTTGGGTTGTCCATTATCAATCAGCAATGAGGCGATTTTTTGCTGTCAGAGGGTTGAGTGTCTTTGGAACTTCTTTTCCTGAAAACAAAATGTTAGCAGAATTTTTGAATATTTTTAAACATGTGGTAGACAGTTTGCTAATAAGCAAGAGGAGTGAACGGTTATCAAGAGTAGGTGGGAATGTGGTCTTAAGGTTACAGTCAGATCAGTCATGATCTTAGTAATGGCAGAGCAAGCTCAATGCCCTGAATGGTCTACTCATACACATTGTATGTAAACATGGAGATTGGCATTATGGTGATAGGAATTCAACACTCTTAGGAACTTACTCAGTTTTTCTCAGCTCTATTTTACGTAAGTTTTTTATTGAACATTTTCCATCACTGAACAAAATATGCTTTTCATATCACACTACCTTGGACTGCTGAAGAGTATTTATCAATTCTTCATTATCCAGAATGTTGCCTTCTGAAGTAAAAAGCAGTTTCAAAATTCTATCTTCAATAGCTTTCAGTTGATTTTTGTCTGCATTGATTTGAACAATTAATTGGTTTCTTTGTTCCTCAAGTTCAGGTTTCTCAATTCTCACAACATCACTGGGAAAAAAAAACACACCATCACCACTAAACAACAGCTCATGTAAAGCAGTGCTCCTTTAATATACCAGACCAGTTTGTTTGTAAAGTGCAGCCACATAAACAGGGTTCTACTTGTCCCAAGCTATAACTCAAAAAGCTGCCATGAGGGAAGCTATTCCCTGACAGAGGAAAAAGGTAGGCAAAATCAAAGAGTTCTCCTTCTTAACACTAATTTTCCTTGTCAGTATGGTTCCTGAAAAGAGCCTATCAAATATGCTGAAAGTCAACATAGAAGAAATTGATTCTTTAATACTTGGTTTAAAATGAATAATTGTTTCTCTATTATGGTTCTCACAAAGTAACAGTCCAATATTTAATGCAGAAAGTGATAGTACAAAATAAGAACCTTCTATTTGGATCTCCAGCTACGCTCAGTGTATCCCTGTGTAATTATTTTCCTGACAAAAGGGAAACATGAAAATGGGATGTCCAGAAAGGTCATCTATGCTGGCCGAAAAGATAAAAACAGCAAAAACCCAGCAGCAATAGTCCACACAGAAGTAGGAAAACATTCTGGGTTAGTCGAAATCAGTAAAGCTGCCAATTCTTTCTTTCCTTCCCTTTCCTAAAAAAAATCAAAAAGGTATCTACACGTGAAAAGTATATGTTTAAAAGGTCGAAAATTATACCTCTTTATATCATAATCTCATCAGCAGATTGATGGTATCAAAACTCTCTGGAATGTACAATTATGATTTGAAAAATATATAAATTATAGTCTGGGAATTTTACTGACAAGTCTTCACTTCAGGGCAAGAAGTGCCTGTAAAAGTGTTCCCCTAAAAACATTTGTCATGTTCCTTAAATCAAATACCCATTCATAGAAAACAGTAGAATAAAGACTTCGTGTTTTCAGCACGATGGTATAGCCACTATCTCAAGGAATTAGGGTATCTACTGGCACAGGAAGCAAATGAAAGAATATCACAAAACTATAATCACCATCATGGCTCGACCAGAAGGAAATATTGTGAAAAATATGTGCAGAAAAGTCTAACATTTTAGATTTAACAGCTTTCAACTTGAATCTGAAAAGCAGCATTAATTTTTTAATAATAGAAATTATTAGCTTTACACTTTTAAACTAGAGAAACCACTAACAATGGTGACTATTTGCATTTGCACTGTTTTGTAACTTACAGCTTTCAAAGACATAGCAGATTATAACAATTTTATAAGTACTGCACAGGGAGAAAATTTGTCTCGGTTTTCAGTCAGCAATTAGTGTCGTACAGACACTTGAGGACCTTAACTCAAGGCTGGACAAATTTATGTCTCGGGTGTCATTAACAAGGTCATTTTTTCTCTATGGTGAGGTTTGCTTCCTCACTATCAGAGAAGTTAGCAAGGAATAATTCCCCACAGATCCAGGACACCCAGCAATCATTTAATACTCTGAGGAGCATAAAGAGGCTGGAGGCAGGTCTTCAAGTTCTACAATCTGATTAGTCACCTGCTTTGTAGTCTCGTTCAAGTAATTGCCAGAAACCCATGATGTTGTGTGCAAGGTTTTGTGGTGAGGTAGGAAGGCATTCCAGGAGTTGAGGGAGAGACCCAGGGAACTCATGCTTTGAAGGCCAGACAGGGAGGAATCCCATAGGTGACCCAGAAATGAAACTAAAATAGAATAAACCAGTATTCTAGTTTACAAGACTAGAATCCCATCAATTCCAACAAGAACTCCTGTCCAGTGCCCAAACACCAGAGAGAATTCCCCTCTCTATTACACAGAGGGTTTGACTTAGCTGTGGCATCAATTGTCGGTTTGGAGAATCTGAGTCTCTGTATTGGGCTGTTGTGGCGCAGTGATAGCATCCCTATCACTAAGCCAGAAGGCCCAGGTTCAGGTCCTAACTGTTGCAGAGGTGTGTAATAACACGTCGGAACAGGCTGATTAAAAATATCTATCTACAATTGAACATAGACTATCTCAGCTTCAAATATCATCGTCAGGGTTTTAACCAAACACTTGTGGTCTGGAAATATTAAACTTAACTCCTTACATTGAATTTTTTTTTATTGAGCTATTTTTTAAACTGTTCTAAACTATCTTTCTTCATTAGGAAGAAGTGTTTTACATATCCAGTGTCAGCCAAGACTTTGTAAAGCTGAAACCAAATGCTTTCTTCAAGCTATGGGCGTTTCCCCCAATGTAAAAATGAAATCCAGAATCTTCTGAAACCTAATTTGCAACTGTTTAAAATGTTCACTTATAAAATTTGTAACCAAATTCCCATTAGGATCCGAGAAGCATCTCTCTCGTGCTGTGCTTTTCTAAATCACCTTGGCTATAGAGATATTTACAAATTAATCATTAATCTTCATAGACACAGACCCACATGCCATTAGTTCAAGATCTAAACTCTAAACGAAATGGCATTAAAATACATATAAATCACATCCCTTACACATGCAGGGAATGCAGTGGATAAAAAGTTTGGATAGAATACCAGATATTGATTATTGGAAAGTACATTCCAATAAAATGACTTGGGGTACTTTCTAATGACAAAAATATCTGTAGGATACAAAAGTACTCAGTCTCAAAATAAAGAGGAACCATACCTTAGCAGCTGATCTTCCAAGCCAGACTTAGTCACTGTAAAGTTGATAATGGTGACCTTTATACATACCTGATGAAAAATGATGAAATATAATAAATATGAGAAAATTACAATATAGAATTTGCTCTGTTATTTTCTGTTATGTATTAAGCAAATGAAATGAAATCATATCTGAAAGAATTATAAAGAAAATCAAGAAATGACATGAGGTAAGAGCAAATTCATAATGAAAGATGAAGTAAAATCCAGTTAATTACCCCAAGCAAATCATAGCTTATAGCAATGCAATCTCATAACATTATAGTCAACACTCAATAGAGTGAATCCAAAGCTCTCGACAAGCATAGGTCAGCTACCATAGACAGATAGCTTATGAATTTTTGTTTACTTGAGGGGGAAAAAACATGCCTATTAAAGTCACTTCCCTTAACAGGCCAGAATCCTAGAATTATCCCAAGTATTTCAAAAGAATCAAGTTTGTGATGAAGTATTAGAGAATGACTGGGTCTGTGTGTATACATCTGCATGAAACAAAATGTCCATTTCCCAACTGAAGGTATGGCATTAACTTAATTTTTCATCTACAGTATGATATTTCTGTTACAATACCAGGGAAAATGCTTGACAACACTGCATCACAAAAAATTCAGGCTTTGCTAACTCCACCATCCCCTGTTGTATTTAAAGCCTAATCTTCAGGTGCACATTTAATTCAAAGAAACAAGAGTAGAAATTGACGGTGGAATGCTAATATTCTATATTTTCAAGCTGGCTTGGAGTAAAGCTTCAGGGAAAACTTATGTCAAGAAATAAATCTTGGCAGATAAATGTAAGCTACAATAAACAAGTGCCACAGAAGTAATCTTAGAGGAATTCTTCACATGTTGGCCTGAGAAAAGATCACTACATAAGTGCAAAGGGCTTAGGTTTTTCTATCTCCTCGTTATTCTCTATTTCAGTAAGATTTGTTTCATAGTATGTTTGCTTAATACTGTGTGGGAAAGTTGCCAGGATGACTGCATTGTTTGTAGTGAAGCACTGGATGTTGACAGGACAATGATTAGATGCATGGTGATTTTTTTTTTGTGCAGACATAACTACCAATACCCTTATGAAGAATAAGTAAAGCCAGAATTATGACAAAGCTTAAAACAATCCTTGTATATTAATTAGTAACCATACACAACAAAGGAACCTGCTTCCTTCAGAAAAGAGAGAAGGGGAGGAAGCTGAAACACAAAACCTAATTGAAATACCTCTGGCAGATAGTGTGGATTGGACATTTTAGTTGTCATGTAGAACTTGAAATTTTTGTCGTAATCAATGTCTGTATCTCCCAACCGCATAAGTAATCTGCCACCTGTCATAAATGTCTGATTTAGAAGAATTGGCTCCAGAGATGGATCCAAGCTCTCCCTCAGCTATAAATTAAAAACAAAATATGAAGTCAACATCACAAATGGCAGTTGATTTAATGTTATGATGGACAAGCACAGATACAAGGTGTTGCTCACATTGAGTTAGAGGATATCTAATTTTATACTCATATAATCACATAGTTATTCCATGAAGCATTCCTCAGAATAAATATATCTCCTCTAACTGCTTCAGTGTTCCCTGATTATTTTTGCCATGGTCTTCTCTTCTTTATTGGTATGATTCCAATACTATTATATCACTCACACATGTCTCGTCACCATTTGACTATTTCCACCCCATGCCTTCTTTGACTACCATAGTTTATAGTACAATTCTGTGAACATGATTATGTCAGGCTGCTGCTCAACCGAACTGTGGCAGAACTATCCTAATTTGGCACAATCCCCCCAGTTGTTAGTAAGGAGGACTTTGTAGGGTTTTGAAGGGTTGGGTTTATTGTTGTTTTTTCTAGTGCCTGGGTTACTGGCAGATGGCCCATCAAGTTTCATTCCTTTCTTGTAGCAGATTGATACACTTTAGTGGTTTATTAGATTGTTTCAGAGGGGAGTTGGACCCACAAATATTCAATCCTCAGTGATCTCAAATCAGTGTAAAACAGAAGACTGAAGTACTTAAATCCATCTCCAGTTTGGAAACGTCAAGTGGATGATCAGTCTCAGATTCTTCGCAATATCACTATCATCCCAGATGCCAGTCTTTAACCAATTAAATTCATTCTGTGAGATCAAGAAATGACTGATACTAAATTTATTGCCTATCCTTAATTTGTCTTGAGAAGGTGGTGGTGAGTTGCTTTCTTTAACTGATGTCTATTTGCTGGAAGTAGACCCACAATGCTGCTGGGAATTTTGTATTTTGATCCAGTGATACTGAGGCAACACATGAACAAGGAATAGGAGTAGGTCACTTGATTGTTCAAGCCTGATCACCATGGCGGATCTGATTTTAACCTCAACTTTACTTTCCTGCACATCCTTGACAATCTTTCACCTCCTTGATAATCAGGAATCTATCTACCACTACCTTAAACATATTTAATGATTCTGCATCCCATGTCTTTTGAGGAAGGAAGTTCCAAAGATTCACAACACTCAGAAGCATTTCCCCCTCATCTGTCTCAAATGGGTCACCCCTTATTTTCAAACCATGACTCCAGTTGTAGTTTCTCTCACAAGAGGAAACATGGTTTACAAATCCACCTGGTCAAGTCCCTTCAATTAACCCACATCTGACTCGTCTGAACTCCAGAGGAGACAGGACCAGCCTGTCCAGTCTTTCCTCATAAGGCAATGCTCTCATTATTTAACTGAAGTATAATTTCCGTCCTCCCCCTATAATAAACCGTAACATTCTGTTAGCTTTCCTGATTAATTCCCGTACCTGCATGCTAACTTAATTATCTCAGAGCACTGCAATATCTCATCATTTAGATAGAATGCTTATTTCTACTTTCTGTCAGGATGGAAAATTTCCCACATTATGCTCAATTTCCCACTCACTTAACCCATCTAGATCCCTTTATAGGCTCCTTTTGTCCTCTTCACAACTTAAGAGTTGAAGACCCAGCATCAACGCCTTTGGTACCGTACTTGCGACATCCTGCCACCCAGAAAAAGACTCATTTATTGCTACAACCTGCTCGCTGTTAGCCAGCCAATCTTCTATCCCTGCCAATACATTACCCCCAAAACTAGGAGATTTTACTTTCCACAATAACCTTTAATGTGGCACCTTATGAAAAGCCAGCTGGAAATCAAAGTACAATACATTTACTGGTTCCCACTTATCCACAGCACAAATTACTTTTTCAAAAAACTCCAATAAATTGGTTAAACATGATTTCTCTTTGACAATATCATGCTCACTCTGCCTGAGTATAACAGGGTATTTGGTAAGTTCAAGGTAAAGTCTTTAATAACTTCTGATATTTTCACTGCAACAAATGTTAAGCTAACTGGCCTGTAGTTTCTGGTTTTCTGTCCCCCTCCCTTTTTGAATAAAATAGTTTGATTAGCTATTTTTGAATCTAAGTGATTTAATTGAATTTAATTATTTTTGGAAAATTAAAACCAAGCATCAACCTACTACTTTAAAAACCTTAAGATGAAATCCATCAAGTCACAGAGACTTGTCAATTTGAAATTCTGACAATTTACTAAATACTACTTCCCTAGCATTTGTAATTTTCTTGAGTTCCTCCCTCCCTTTCTATTACTGATTTACAGCTATTTCTGAGTGGTTACTTGTATTTTCTCCAATGAAGATGAACATAAAACTTTGTTCAATTCATCTGCCATCTCATGATCTATAATTGTCAATTCCCCAGACTCATTTACTGAGGGCCAACATTTATTTTATTTAAGTCTTTTCTTTTTTAAATATCTGAAGAAACATTTTCCTATATTTTCAAGCCAGGATAGTGAGTGGCTTCGACGGAAAGTTGTAGGGGATGGTGTTCCCATGTATCTGCTGCTGTTGTCTTTTTATGTGGTGGTGGTAATGGTTTGGAAGATGCTGTCTAAGGAGCCCGGGTGAATTTCTGAAGTGCATCTTGTAGATGGTGCATATTGCCTCGACATCAGTGCCAGGAGAGAGTGAACATTTGATAGAATACTCCCAGTTCACTGGAGGAGTGTGCTTTACTAAAATTAAAGGAGCTCAAAATTATCCCGCATAAAATGGCCCCTTGATTGGCACTCATCATTCAACCTTCACATTCACTTCCCTCATCACAGACACAGACTGGCAGCAATGTGTAATATCTACAGGATACAAATACTCACCAAGTTTCCACAGACAACACCTTTCAAATATGCAACTTCTATGAAGTAGATTGGAAAAAGCAGCAGACATGGATACCTTGCAAGTCACCTCCAAGTTACACAACATCCTTCTTCACCATCACGGGGTCAATGATTAAGAACTTTATTCCTAACAGCACTGTGGATGCACTTACATCAGATGGACTGCAGCAATTTAAGGCAGCTTGGCATTACCTCCTCCAGGCAATTATTGATGGGCAATAAGTCCCCCACCTAACCAAGGACATCTATATTCCATGAACATCTTTTTTACAACAGAAAAATCACCTTGTTGAAATGGAGAACATACTAACCACGGTGGGAGGGAATCTTGCAACAAATGTTGGTGACAGATGAAGAAGCATGGAAGGTAATGAGATTAATTTTTGTTTCAACTAAAGTGTGAACTAAAATATGGCGGGGAAATGCATCATGATAAACATGAATTGCACATTTCTGTACCACTTTTATTGATAGCATTAATTTTAATTATAAACAGGAGTTGAAAGATGGGCAGTTGCAAAACAAGAGGGATGACATTACATAGGACAAAATGCATCCACAGGGCCACTAAGGAAATGAATTCCTGGATTCTAATATCATAGATTTAAGATTTAACAATTTCCACAAATCTGCTCATTTTTTTGCAAAAATTCTAAATAGATGGCACTTATTGTTACTTATTCTGCCATCAGATTTGTCAAGTACAAGCTGAAAGGAGAATTCATACTGACAGCCAGAAAGCTAGAACTGACTGAAAGTGTTCTATCACACTATTGGTTTGGATATTATCAGTATTCTGCCTCTTTTCTTTAAAGGCAAGATAAATGAATGTGCACATCTGATATTGCAACACCAGGGCCCAGTAAACCGTATCTGCTAGCTTGCCACATGAACTTGATGAGTGAACAAGTGTTGGCACTGTGCAGTCAATATTAGACCTCAGCCTTCACTAACAATACTTGGTGAGGGAACAAGGCAGATTGCTTCTCCAAATTTGGTTTCAGCATTTGTGGCCTATGCCAAGTTGCTGAGTAAAAGACGAATCAGCAGAGCACAGTGTAAAGAAAAGCGTAGGAAGCATGTCTGTGTGGGGGGATGGGGGATGTGGCTGTGTAATCAAGAGAAAGGGGAGAAAATAAAGGTACAGGAACCACTTAGGGACTGGAAGGCAATTGGTCAGGAGATTGGGTGAAAGTCAATTTCATAACTAAAAGGATTGAGACATCAGTGGGCTGATGAAGGGTGTTGTTATGAAGGGTGCAGTGGGATGGATGGAGTGTGATTGCAGTTGGGGTGGAACAAGAGGCAAATAGCAGCTGCTGAATGCTTTAGCATTAATATTAATTATAAACAGGAGTTGGAGCTAGCAGTTTTGCAAGTACATGGTCCACATTCAGGAAAATGTGATTATTTTAAGTGTGGATTTTCAGTCAGGAATCTGTAGGGGTTCCTTTAAGGATGACCAATTACATTGGATATAGACAAATTCTTCTGAATGCAGCCCACACAGAGATTAAACAAGTAATAGGCACCTACTTTCACATTCACAAGGTCTAACACATGCATTAGAACACCCACTGTCTATTTTTTGACTACGTAAATCTATTTGGTAGTGCACTTCCTATTCGAAGCCGAGTGTTTGTTTGATGTTTGAAAGCCATGTGCAGCACCATCGGATTTACGTACCCTGAAGCTTGATAGATGCAGCTCTATGAATATAACATTTTAAACGTATTTAATATACATTAGCATCTATTTATTATTAAATATTATTTCAATAATACACGGACAAGAATACTGTATTGCACATGTATTCAAGTGGATTCGCTTAAGGTAAATGAACTAATGCAGATTTTGTAAGGAGTGGATTATTTCACTGTGTAAAATATGAGTGTTTACTAGTTAACACAATTTGTGAATTTGTATCTACTTCAAGCGACAAAGTACTTCATTTTAACTGATTGAAGATCCATATCAATTGGTTTAATTGTTCATTCCTGAGATATTATGCAAATTATTAAATACTTGCAAATTTTAGATTTCAGATGAAAAACTCCAGGACTCAGCAACAGACTTCTTAATGTCATTTGTATCTACACCAAAGAGTGATGTCTCCGATCTGATAGCTGAAGTACAACGTACCAAATATATGCGGTCATTTTTATACGAGGTGTTTTCAATACATGCTTTGATCATACAATTGCTGATATGCCCGAATAATGCATGGGCACTGAGTTACTTATTTGGGATGAAAATTTAAAAATATAAGGATACATTTACCTCTTCTAACAGTACTGGCATTCCAAGACGAATACTATTTTCCAACGTGCGTAAAAAGCCAGAGTCTGTTAGCTTAATTACCTTCAAACCATTTTTAGTTTCCATGTTTCTTATCCAGCGATTTGCCTTTGTAAACAAATCATAATTATAAATGTATTACTTAAAATGTAAACATCCACCCTTTATTCCCAATTGGACTTTGATTTTAAAATAAGAATGTGCAGAGTGAAAGAGCAGCCAGATGGACAGTTTGAGAATTACAACTTGGACTTTACTCATACCATAAGGTTACCATCACAGTGCATTTTGCAGTTGATCAACTTTCACTGTCAGCAAACAGGAAGCCACTGTATGTGTCACTGCATTATTTAATCAGATGTACTTTAATATCTGGCTCAAATGGGAAAGCAGAAAAATTGTCAGAAGAAAATGTTGGATTGTCTGAAAGAGGAAAGAAAGTCCAGGGAGGAATTATTTTCTACTTACAAATGCTGTCAGTGTCAATGTTAGAAAATACTTCAAATCATTTTGCTACCTGCTAATTTCACACTATTGCATTTTCCTGGCCAATAGAATTATGGTATTTTCAATCCCTTTCCTCCCAGAGTCAATCCAGGATGTCACTGACAGTGGCAAATACACTGAAATTAGCAAATTGTACAATGAATGGTGAGAAGACTAGTAATTTGCATAAGGATTTAGGCAAACAAAAATATTAGTTAATCCATAACAGAAGTACAATCTAATGAGAGAGGCACCATGAGGTAGATAAATGAAACGAGACGTCAATGATTCATTAAAACCTAACTCATAGGTATAGATAAAAATTATGTTTTAATCTCCAAGGGGGAACTGTAAACCAAATTTATTAAATGATGCTCAAATAAAACCGTTACCAACAAGGTTTCACTTTCAGTAACTTTTATTTTAAAATGAATGAGAACCAAAACAAATTAAACATGAATGTCAAGGAAAATCATTTTCAAATGGAAAGGCAAAATACATTTTTTGTACAAAGGGTTGTCTTACACAACCACAAGCACTCACTTCACTTCCTGTAGTAATGTGTCACAATGTAAACTTCCAAATTTGTCGAATTTAGCCTCTTGTATGTAGGCTATCTTTCTGACCCACTTAATGAATTAGAGTTGAGTCCTCTGGCAATCATATTCTATCCAAAGACCCCAGAGACAGTCAGCACCCAAATAACACACTCTTGCTGAAACTCCTTAGTTATCTCATGACAGTTTTCATGAGACAAATTTTTCAGACACTCTTGTGGCTCCCATCTTTAATAAACTCTATAAAATGATCTGGTCGACTCTGACAAATCTGAAGTATAACTGTTAAATTACACAAGTCACAATTTCTGTTCCACCCCTAACTTTAGTTTTCTGGCCTTTTTAATTACTGCACACACAGAGCACCTGTAAATGGGCTTTCCCTCTTCTTCGCTTGCTGCAGGTTTCCTATATCTGCCACTCTACTTTGGATCTGGCTACTTGACTTCTGTATATCGACTTCTATTCTGCCAGTTCTGCTTCCATGCCAAGGGTCACAAAATCATCTGGATGAATTTTTCATATTATTCAAGAAAATTGCAATTGATCCTTTCACACTTGATGTAAACTCGTTAAAGTACTCTCTGAACATTCTTAAAGCCAGTCACACATTCCCCAAAACAGTTTCCCCAAGAAATTACAGATTTTATCTTACTGCACTGCTCCTGGGTCTAAGCTATCACAACAGCTAATGAAATGTCACTACAAGAAGTATGGAATCTATATTTAAGTGGCACTTTATCCTCACTTGCAATTCTGTAGAAGACTTTTAGCTTAGACAGACTTCAGGTGAGTGGTGAGAGAAATGCCTGTAGGATACTGGTGAGATGCCCAAGCCATTTTAAGGAGTGGGCTGCATTTCAATGTCATTAATCAGCAATGTAGGAAACTGATTAGTTCTGAGCCAGAAAATAAGGGAGTGAAAGCAGGGATGAAATAAGCATGAGGGGTGAAGATCAAAGCACAAACTAGCTATTGGAGTTCAGAAGGGTTAAATCTGAGAACAAACAAACTTTTTCTTAAAACTGAGAAGCCTGCAGTTTTTTTAAGAAAGGGCAGCTATTTAGGGTGTTCAACAATAGGCGGACCATGACTTGGGACAAATTTACAGATTCCCTATGTACAACCACAATTTGCAAATTGAAGTCAAATCTTACCTGAAAAGGGGCAGATCTATCTGCTGCACACATGGAAACCTCTATAAAAATATTGGTGAGTGAACACCAAGAATTCTAAGCCCAGGAACATCTGGGATGTTTGCACCACTCTCTGCCAAAATCCCTCAAAACTAGGGGTGGTATTTTCATTTTGGGTAAACTACCTTTCAAATGATAAACTAGCCTCAGAGATAAGGAGTCACTCCTGTAGTACTGAAGTAAGTCACCAAGGCTCCTCAAACATGGGTCAAAAGTAACTCTCACGTTTTCAGTGAGAGGGCTAGAGTCAGAAAGTTCATACCCGAGATTTGAGCACTTAGTCCAACCTGATCACTTTCAAACTTGGATTTAAAAGAGTGTTTGGCAAAATGAAGCCAATTTTGAATTATTAGGACTGTATTATTTCAGATGAACAAATACAGTAGCTATAGTCAGGCTTAATTCAGTTGGTTTCACTCCCTTGCATAATGATAGAAAACAATACACATGGCCCATCAATCACTTAGCTGCCTTACTTAAATAAAATTTCAACTGTTCTACCTATCCCGCTGATTCCTAAACATTTACTGTATTAAACATTTCTATTAGCAGCTTCCCAATTAACAACCAGACAGCCAAAACTCCTACTTTTATCTCACTATGCTCACAACCAATGGGTTGCTTAGCACTCAGGGCAGAAACTTGTATGCAACTTATGTACAATGAACATACGAATTAAGAGCAGAAGTGAGCTACTTGGCCCCTCAAGCTTACTCTGACACTTAGTAGGATCACGGCAACAAAAATTGGTGCCACCTGATTACTGACCATCTATATAGGCTAAAAGATTTCAGTTTTGTGTTCCTGTCTTTGGAAAAATAATTTCAGTACCCCCATCATTGGCATTTTATTCACGTTTTATCTCTGTCTTCTCAAAAATCTTGAGTGAGTACGCTCTGCTTAAAAAGCCAACATTTAGATGGAGGCCTTTTTTCCTGTCTTTTACCAGGAAAAATGTCTGAAGTGGTCCAATACTGTTAAAAATGTGGATCAGTAACTTTGATAATGAGGATAGATTCTAATGTGATATGCCAATTACCTATTCTTACACCATTGGAATCAGCAAGTGAATTTACAGCATTCATATTCATTTGAGAAAAGTAGAATAAATATGTTCAGAGGTTCAATTGACAATTGCAACCTATTATACATTCCGTGTATGCACGCAGTTGCTGACGTGGAGGTGTCGGTGTTGGACTGGGTTGGATAAGGTCAAAAATCACACGGCATCAGGTTATAGACCAACACATTTATTTGAAAACACTAGTTTTATAAGTGTTGTTCCTTCCTCAGGTGTAGTGAGAGAGGAATCAAGAAACAGAATTTATAACTAAAAGATCAAAAGAACATACAACAGATGCAAATGTATTGAATAAGCCTAAAATGGCTGGCTGGCTGGCTAACTGCCTCCTGTTAAATCTTTAATCAGATGGAAAGAAGATGCAGGTTTCAATTGATTAAAATGCAAATCCCAGAATTTCTTTCAAGTCAGTGCCCTGAGATAACTAAAGGTTTTGTAAGTGTGTACAAGAGGTGACATCTCATGTCTGACAATGCATTTTAGGTGTGAGTCCTTGTTCAGAATCTGTCTGTGTTTTAACCTGGAGTCAGACTGGTTTTATTTCCAAAGCAGGAATTTATAGAATGCTCCATTGACTGACTGTGCCTTCAAATTGTGTGCTTTTTGAACAAAATGCAATGTATCTGCAAATACAAATTCACTCCATAGATTTATATGTACATGTGTGCATGCGTGTGCATGTGCGTATGCGTGTGTGAGGGTGGCGGAGAGAGAGTGCACGTGTGTGCATGTGTTTCTGTGTGTTTGAGAGAGTGAGAGTGTGAGAGAGTATATGTGTGTGAGAGAGTGTGCGCATGTGTGAGTGTGCAGTGTGTGGTGGGTCACCTGTAGTGCAACATGAACCCAAGATCACTGTTGAGGCTGTCCTCGTGGGTACTGAACTTGGCTTTCAGCCTCTGTTCAGTGACTCTGTAGCAGGCAAGGATGCCCCAGGGCATAGCATATTGGTAAAACCATGCAGACGGCATGACAACGGATGAATGGGCACCGCGCAACAATTGCCAGACAGGGGTATTCCCTCCCGGGAGCTGGGTGGAGCACTTCAGCAGTCAAGGGCATTCAGCCTTGGATCTTCGGGTAAATGTCCTCCAAGGTGGATTTTGAGATACACAGCAATGCAGAGTCGCTGAGCAGAGGCTGATAGCCAAGTTCAGCACCCATGAGGATAACCTCATCCGTGATCTTGGGTTAATGTCGCACTACAGGTGATCCCACCACACTACACACTCTTACTCACACATGCACACTCACTCTCACACACACACCGTCACACACATTTACTCACTCACACTCTCTCAAATGCACACACACACACACATATAAATCTATGGGGTGAATTTGCATTTGCAGATTTGTACTCGCAGATACATTCTATTCTATTCAAAAAGCATACCATTTGTAGACACAGTCAGTCAATGGAGCATTTTATAAGTTCCTGCTTTGGAAATAAAATCAGTCTGACTCCAGGTTAAATCACAGACAGATTCTGAACAAGGACTCACACCTAAAATGCATTGTCAGACCTGAGGTGTCACCTCTTGTATACACTTACAAAACCTTTAGTGATCTCAGGGCACTGACTTGAAAGAAATTCTGGGATTTGCATTTTAATCAACTGAAACCTGCATCTCCTTTCCATCTGATTAAAGATTTGACAGGAGGGAGTCAGCCAGCCATCTTAGGTTTATTCAATACATTTGCATCTGTTGTATGTTCTTTTGATCTTTTAGTTATAAATTGTGTCTTGATGCCTCTCTCACCACACCCTATGAAGGAGCAATGCTTGGAAAGCTAGAGTTATCAAATAAACCTGTTGGACTATAACCTGGTGTCATGTGATAGTTGCTGATGTAATCACATTATTATAGATACTGCAAGGAGCAGCTAGACAACTCTGATAACTGACACTATGCTTTGAAAGAAGCATCCCTTAACATTTAGGACAGATGAAATGAGAACATGTTAGTAAACTTTTCTAGAATCCACACAGGTTGCCAGTCCAACATTATTGAAGACAGTGCTGAAGATAATTTACAACTGAAACAAAGCCCCTGAAATGCACATCACTATTAAACGCTTAATTTACCTGATCCTGTGGATCAATCATCAAGGGCCACCGATGACCTCGCTTCACAAGAATGCCATTCTCGGTGGAAACATTATCACGGGGTAGACCATCAGTGTTCCATTGACGAATTTCAAATGCATCACCTAAGATGTTGATGAGACTGAAGTCTGCGCTGATAGGAATTTCCAGTTCTTTGCAACCATTAATCCAGTCATCAATTAGCTGTTAGTTTTTAAAAAAGTTGTAATTGATAATTGTAAAACAGTTCCTCCATACAGATTTTGTTTTACACCGAAGATGGATATATTCCAACTATTCAACAACCATAAATTTGAAAAATGAAATGCACCAGAATTAATTTCCTAATGTGCTTCACAAGCTTCTGTATTACATTAAAAGTCAGACTACAATATCTGGTGCTTCTGAATTCTGCAGCCATAGCATGCCATTGAAACAGATCATGTGGCTCAAGCAGTCTATACCAGCTTTTGGGCCTTCTTCCCTATTTTTCCTCAACATCATCTTGTATTGCTGAAGAAGGGTCCCGACCCAAAACGTCAGCTTACCTGCTCCTCTGATGCTGCCTGGCCTGCTGCATTCCTCCAGCTCCACACCTGTTACCTTGTATTGCCTTCTCTCTCAAATGTGTATTAAATTAAATCAATACTGTTTATCTCAATTGCCCTGTCTGCTATCAAGTTTCATATTCTCACTATTACTTGGGTAAAGTAGTTTCTTCTGAATTCTCTATTTGACTTTTGAACAGCTATTAGATAAAAATGTATTATTTGAAGTTCAATTTTTTGAGCTTTACTCCATTCAAGCAGTGGAATTCTCAGCCTAAATTTATGGCAAATTTCTGTTCTTTCAAAAACCTCTGCCAGGTTACACCTCAGCCTTTGTTTTTCAAGAGAAAAGAAACCTTTCAAGATAGGTACAGCTATGACATTCTGATATCAACATTGCAAATCATTTTTTGCAGCCTCCCCACCATCTTTTGATCTCCTTTTTTATAAAAAGGCGATCCATAACTGCACACAAAACTTTAATTGTGGTCCAACCAGGTATCGTAACAAATTTAGCATAAAGCATTCTTTAAGAACTAACCCTAAGAATAAAACTTAGTGAGCTGTTATAGCCTTATTGACGGTGCAACAGGAGGTAAGAGGTTGCAGTGAAACAAAATTAATATGCACAGTTAAATAAGCATATAGGTTTTACTCAGCACATCAGAAGACAAATGCTTTTAACAAGAAGCATTTTACTGCAGATGGATCGACCTGAAAATTCTGGGTTTTAAGATTTGTCTGCCAGTTCCAACATTTGTAATGCCCTTCCCTCTTTTAGTTCTCTCTCTCTGTTCACCTGTACAACACAAACCATTCTTATTGGCATTTTCTAACATTATCCTATACTGTACAGTATAGGAATAGGCCATTCAGTCCATGAAGCCTACACCAATTCCTAATCCTTATTTAGACCCACTACTTATTGCCCACGCATGGTTGTTTTTCCCTCTATTCATCTCCCGTTCCTGTGTCTAACCAGATATGCCTTAAACATTGCTAATGTGCCTGCTTCCACCACCTCCACTGGCATTGCGCTCCAGGCACCAACCACCCTCTAAAAAAAGTTCCCCCGCCTCCTGCCCTAAACGTTCCTCTCTCTCACCTTGACCCTGTGCCCTTTTGTGGTTGATCTTTCCACCCTGGGAAAAAGCCTCTGACTATCCACCCTATCTATGCCTCTCAGAATTTTGTAGACCTCTATCAGGTCGTTCCACAGCCTCCGTCTTTCCAGTACCCAAACTCTACTCATAACTCCAGACCAGGCAACATTATCCTGCTTTGCACCCTCTCTGAAGCATCTACGTCCTTCAAGTAGGATGGCAACCAGAGCTGCATGCAACATTCCAAATTGGCCTGACAAATATTTTATACAACTGTGACATAACTTGCCAACTTTTATATTCAATGCCCTGGCTGATTTGCTTTCACTTTTTAAATAAAGACATCATATTATTTAGTTGGGATAATGTATGCATAATTGATCAATTAATACTGCCTTTGCTATCTCTTCCCTGGACTCTGAAAATGTGAGAATGCATTTTTTCTGGAGCAATTTCTCTCATCTTCATGGAGTCTGATTCATTTAAAATATTTCTTTTTATTTCAAGTTTATATATGATCCCTAATCTCACATTCCTATGTCATATCCTTTTCCTGATGAGTACTGAATAAAAATGATCACTAATATATCTGCCATTGCCTATGATTTCATCATAACCATTATTGAAGAAACCCATTTCTCAAACTGACTTTTCTCTCATGTCTTGTGTTTTATTATTTTGTTTACTGTTCCTTAATAATTTAGTTTCATAGTCCCTCTTTGCCTTCTCAATTATATTCTTTTTTGACAACTTTCTTAATCTCGTTAAATACAATGTTAAAAGCTCAAGTCAAAGAATTACTTTTAAAATGCATTTTGGGCAAATTTTTAAAAGCAAAATTTATTGAAAGAATTTGTGCTTTAATTCTAATCAGAACATTGGAAATAGCGACAATAGAGGTCAGTGGTTCAATCGAATAAAACTACCATTTATTCGCACAGCAGCAGAAATACCAGCAGCCTGCTATTGCATGTATGTATTAAAGATACATCTCTCAAGTACACAGCAGCAAAATGATGGTGAATAAAAATCAAAACTTAATATATGTTTACAATAACAGAATTCTTTCAAATTTCTTCAATACAGACTTTTGTTTTGGAAGGAGCTCATGGAATGGGCTCAGAACAAATCGTCAATCTGTTACATATTGTGCCAAATTTGATTTTCGACTGAGTTTGGGAAATATTGCCAATATTTTTAATTTCTAACTAAGCAGAAGTGATAGGAAGATAAGAAAATTCATTTCCGGAAAGAATTTGAACTTAAGTGCAAGGAAGACGGAAGGCGAAGCCTACTTTGCACAATTGTACACCAAATGGTCTTTCCGTGCTTAATGTTGAAAGGAAAATCAGGGGTTTAGGTTTGAACTAGAGGAAGGGAGAGGGATTTAATGTGCAAGAAATCTGTTTCCAGACAGAAATATCCCTCTGAAGTGCTTATTTCTGATTTTGACAAAGCCTATAGCTGCATAGGAAACCTAATACCAAGGTCATCAGCCTCATACCCACAGCTTTTGAAATGTAACAGGTATTGGCTAGGTTTCACGAACTTAGAGAACCCAACATTCCGCTCAAGGTTGGCTGCTGGTGAGTGCATTGGCATCTATTGGGATCCAGCTGTCTGTCTGAGAGGTCTCCACAATTGACACACGTTCCAGACCCATTCCAATAGATATATCCCACACAAATTCAACCACCCGCAAAAACCACCAGATCCTGAAACCAATGCCCCAAACAGCAGTACCTCTTGACGATCGACAATTCCCCAGCACAAGCTCCCGATCTTTACTCCTGAGCACCCATCCATGTCTTCCCTGGCAAGATCCTCCTCTCCACTTTGGTTGAGAATTCTCTACTGCTCAAATCAACACTCCTGCCCTGGTCACCTCCCAGTTCTTGCCTTGGACAACTTACTTGATGCTGAAATTATCACTGTTTGCCTGCCTTCCTGTCCAACTGGCCTGGCTGCCAATCAAGTTGTACTTCAGGCTGCAGAGCTGATCGCTGAAATCACTAAGACACTTAAGTTAAAACTGTACACCATGGAGGAAATAGTGGGGCTAACTTAGACTGACCACTCCCTTGACCTAAGTTTTGGGCTTCACCCAAGTAGTTGATACAATTTTTTTTCAGATCTTTACTAACTGCAGTTAATGGAATTCCAGTTTCTTGACTCAACAAAGATAGTTAGCTTCCTGGAGGCAGACTGCCAGATACAGAACGTGGACAACCAGCATTACATACAAGCTTAGAAGATCTCTAAGCCTGTCAGGATGCAAAGGCAGCCTCATGCTGCCTTGGAGAGGGACTTCCCTGTTCCTTAGCACCCCGTATCCCTCTGTGGTTGCCTGGCTGTGGGAATCTATTTTTGAAAATATCAAAAAAATGGTGAGAAAATACCTACATATCTTTCATCACAGCTTGCTACTCTTCTCAAGCTGGAGAGTCTTCCCATAAACTTAAAAGGCACAAAGCAGCTGTTGTGCAAATCACATTGAATGCCTGTTTCACACCACCAAGGTTACATCTGGGAGCCAAACAATAGTCCTGCCTCTGTTTTCCCACCCACCCATGGACTAACCGTCAGTGGGCTGCTCAGAATTACTATTTGATCAGACATATCCAGAATTTGTTAACAATACTTTGCAATGCCAAAAATTGGCTGACTAGTTGATGGAGAACATGGCTGTCAAATGCATGATGATGTCAATGGTTTGGTTAAGTGGGTGGAAAACTGGCAAATGGAACTCAATCCAGAGAAGTACAAAGTTATGCATTTGGGGAGGGCATCCAAAGCAACAGAATAAACAATAGGCAGGAAATTATTGAGATGGGTAGAGGAAGTGAGAGACTTTGGCATGCACATGACAAGAAAAGTAGATAAGATGGTTAAGAAGGCATATTGTGTGCTTTCCTTCATTGGGTGAAGTCTAATTATAAAAAATCAGGATGTATTGCTGAAACTATTTAAGACACTGATTGAAGTTTTATGTATTGTTCTAGCCACTATGTTATGGGAAGGACAAAGTTGCTCTGGATATTTTATAAAGGAGACATACAAGAATATTGCTAAGGCTCAAATATTGCTAAGGCTTGAAAAATGCAGCTATGTGGAAAGATTCCTTTGCTTAGAACAAACAAGGTTGAGGGGTGACTTAATCAAAGTGTCGAAAATAATGAAGGACTTGGATCGGGTGGATAAGAAAGACTTATTTCCACTAGTGGAAAGTTCAGGGAGACAGCTCAGTTATCAGGAGGCACAGATTTATGTAGAAAGATTAGAGGGAACATGAGGAAAACCTTTGTCACTCAGAGGGTAGTGGGCACCTTGAATTTGCTGTCCAGTTTGGTGATTGACACAGAAAATCCAACTCACTTGAAATACATCTGAAGTGTCGTCACCTGCAAGGCTGTGAACCAGGTTGAGGAAAGTGGGATTAGAGCAGGCAACTAGTTTATATTTGTAGTACAGACATGATGGACTGAATGGCCTTTTTCTGTGCTGTAATCTTTCTATGGTTTTACTTGGAAAACAAGCACTGTGGTTCATCAGACCATCTGCAGGGAGCCACAATAGGTATATACTTTTGTTTTAAAACTCATGACACACTAGATCAATAGTTCTCTTTTGAAATCCCTATTTAAACAATACTTATTGATTGCTGTAAAATTATTTGTTTTGTTTGTAATCTATTTAAACAGATGATACAGCATTCCTACAAAACAAAACCAAGTTGCAGCAAAATCTGCATTAGGATATTTCTTCCAGAAAAAAACTGCAGATTGAAAATTGCTAAATGTTGAAATGCTATAAAATTTGTCAGGTCACAAGAATGTTAATTTAAACAGCTCCCAATTTACCTTATGCGATGCCTGCAATTTGTAAAAGGTCGAGTACCTATTTGTCACTATGTACTCTTTAATTTCAGCAAATGGCCACCATTCCAAGTTGAATACATAAATATAGCCAACTGTTAAGCAAAATTGGTTAACACTTTTAGCCAACAATAAACCAAGATACAGAAACAGAAGTTCTACAACCACTCAGATCGTGTGGTTGACAATAGCATGTGCCCTCTAGTGTAAAGCCAAAATAAACTATTAAAAGATTTCATGGTACTTAACACATAGCAAAAGAAAATTGTCTAATTTGCTTCTGTTATTATTGATAGTTCTAGGATTTTCTATATTTCAGTGATGAATTTACATTGAGAAGACCATAACATACCAGCTGCCGGTACTTTGAAGTAAAGGCTCCATAATATGCCACACAAGCTGCTGCAATGAAGACATTTCCAATAACGTTTGCTATTTCCTGTTCAAACAGAACTATGCTTTCTTGCCAGCGAATTTGTTCGTCTCCAAGAGCAGCAGTAAGTTTTCCAGCACGCACTAATCGAGCCTGTGTTAGTTCCATTGTTTGTGCTAAAGAGAAAAAAAGTGTTACATTCAAACAGAGTTACAATTGAAATTTACAATATTGTAAACAGCAATAAATTAAGCTGAGTAAACTGCAAATTTTTTGAACACACTTCGTGTAAAATATAGAACTGTTAGAATTTTGTTTGTCAACAACTGTTGTACTAGCCTCCTAATATTTCTATCCAAAGAATTCACAGGGAAAGAGAGATCAGGCAAGTGTATAATGGGAGCTCATCTGGTACTGATCATTTTTGATCACTGTGAGGTAAAAATAATCCCACCAATTTGCTGCAAAGAGCCTTGAACAGGATCTTTTGATACAAATATAGATTTGAGACACAATTTTTAGCTTCACTACCAGTGTGGTACTCTGGTTGTGTAAATCATATGCCCATTGTAAAACCAACCTATTTCACATCCCACTGATTTTGATGTGTTGAAAATTAGGCAGGGTTTGTGAAAGGATTTGAGGAAGTGTCTGAGGAAGGGTCACTGGACCCAAAATGTTAACTCTGATTTCTCTCCATAGATGTTGCCAGACTTGCTGAGATTTTCCCGCAATTTCAGTTAGGGTCTGTGAAAGGTTGGGTAATCTTTTCTGTCAGATTTCCGTCCAGATGGTGAAAGTAAAAATTACAAACACAAAGAGAGTAATGTCATGGAATTGTGAATCAGCAATTCAATTGCAAAACGAAAACTTTGTTGGTTGGTAAGTGGTAACCAAATGATTGTGTGGACCAATTAAATCTTATGTTAATCAACCTAATCAATGGGGGAGTAAAGAATCACCAGTAGATGCATTGCCATCTTTGTATTCTATTGTGGTTTACATTAATTCCTCCCAACTCAGTACTTCACCCACGTTCAGGCATGCCCAAAAGTAGCACTATTTACTGCTGATTCAGAAGGTCATGGCTTCAAACACGAACTCAAACACGAATTCAGGAATGTATGTACATAAACCAAGCTGAAACCCAAGTAGGAAGTGATGCATTGTAGGTAGAGCTATCTCACAAATGAGATGTAAAACTGAGTACCTATGTTTCCTCTTAGGCCAACATTAAAGATTTCTTGACACTGATTGAAGGATAACTAAGTTCTTCCAATGCTCTCATCAATATTTATCCCCAGTGATAACAATCCAATTTCTGGTCAATTATTTCAGTGACATTTTTGGAATCTCATTTGGTTGCCAGGTTTCCCTACATTATCACAATAAAATGCGGCAAAAGTATCCATTAATTGTGAAGAGCTTTGGAGAATCCAGTAGGTCTCAAAATGCAGTATATGAATGTGAGTTCTTTCTTTCATTCTGCCCAGGTTTCAGGTCATCCTTGTGTTTTTTCTCTCAGTTCCAGAGAGACCCCAGCTCCATGCCACTTTGTCATCTTGCTAAAATGCCCAGTTTTATTCAATCCATTTTAAAAAGAAATCTGTTTTCTATATTTCAACTCTGTTCCTTCCAGGCCCCAGAGCACTTCTATTCAAATTGTATTCCTTGCCACCACTGAGGCCCAAGTAAAGTATTCCAAATTTACCATGCTATCTCAAGATCTCCAAATCTGTATTATCTGCTATTTACACTTTTTGCTTTAATTCTACCTATTCCTATTACACTGGATGCTTAGAGTCATAGAGTCATACAGCACAAGTTTAAATGCTACATAATTGTTCTGTTCCATCCCACAATATTGCAACTCCAGCTTTTCAACCAACAACATCATTTTAGCAGATTATGCATTTCAATACATAGTCCTGTCATTATTTCATTCAGCATAACACCTGATATTCATCTTCCAGGATAACCAACTCTGTTGTGACTTCAGAATGTATGGCTTGGTCCCATCTGTACCCCAAGCCAATTCCAGTTTCAGTCCTCAGGTTGTACTGCGCTCCATCTTCAAGACCTGCAAGACTTCCTTCCCACTTCATCTTTAAGCTTTGTTCCCCGATTAACATAATTTCTCAGCCTTGTCATGTTGCTCATCCGAATCTTGGCTTAGAATTTCCTGTAAGAATCATTTGCATCTGGCTTATTCTAGACCTGCCCCACTGTCACTCTCTGAATCATCTCATTTCCAAAGTGCCTCTGAGGCAAATATATTCAGTTTCCTGATGTACAAGGAGTGGCTTGGGGGCCTTCACTCTGGATCCACAGCATCAAAAATAGTCCTGCTTCAAGTAGAAATCCAAAGTCTACCAAACTCCAGTTGTTTTTTTTTAAGGTGACCCCTTGCAACTAGTCCTAAAATATCAGTTAAAGTGAATTTTGTTCAACTCTCCAAAGGGCAATAAAGATATGAACTGCACCTGTAAGTTGCACCCTGCACATCCTCAGAACACTTCAAATAACATCACAGTCAACAGGTTACTTTTGAATTCCAGTTACTATTGCTATTTAGATAAAATATCACAAGGTTACAACGTGATTCTGGATAATGAGGGCTCCTCAGCCCATTGATTTCTCCTTTCAAAGTACTAACCTTTGTGCCAACTCATTACATATCTCAAGTTCTTAAATTACTGCATTATTTGATTATAAATGTTTGCCAACAAAATGTTCTAGTTGTTTACCATTCAAAATTATGGCAATAGATGAGTTGGTCCAGCATCCATGGCATTTCTTTGTACCATTAGACGCAATATCATTTTTACTAATTTTTTTTCACCTTTGAACAATGAAATTGAACATTTTCTTGGAACACTTCCAACAATAGCTCACCAAGCTTTTCTTTTTCCCCCACATTATCATCATACTGTTCTTGAAGATCCTCGAGTCTTTGATCAAGTTGCCTTAATTTAGTCTGTTTTTCCTTCAGTGTTGCCAAGGTGGCATCAAGTTCAGCCTAGTAATTAATTAAAAGGATGGTGAAGGGATGTGTAAAAACAAAATCTCCTTTCAAAAATGAATACAATATGAAAGACACTTGCGGTGTTGAGTCTTTTTTAGTAATTATAAACTGTTAGATCAGCTCAAAATGTTGCTGGGTCTCAACCATGCAGCAATCTGAACTTTTTCAATGCATACTTACAGCTCAATATAAAGTGCAGATTGGTTTGCAGGGGGTGGGGGTGCAGAGGGTGGAGGGAACGGAGGTCAGAACAAGTTAGAGACTTAAATTTCCAGATAAACAGCAGATGCAACACGCGGATGAGTCAAAAAAGATCTGTGGCAGGAGGCCCAGATCTGAAAAAGATATATCGGCAAACTACAGATTTCCTTTCACAGTGCATTAATTCTAGGCCAGCTAATTATCAGGCAAAATACAAGTTGAGCCAGCCAGCAGAAAGGGTGAAGGGATGAGTGGTAAAGAAATGTGACTGCAGAGAAGCAGGGCCCAGGGCAACAGCACAGAACACACCATTCTTGTGTTGCCCAAATGAGTCCTCATCGATGCATGAAATTTATTTGCATATTTATATTTTTACACTCGTTCCATTTATTCACCAGCACATACTGAACAAATATCCATGCTGCACACTCTATCCAGTTTGCCTGTGGATCTTATTCATATGGATTCAATGGTTCACACCCGATTAAAGCCAACATCTGGGCTGCCCAGCGGAAAACTCAAGTTAAGATGGCAATACAACCTGAACAGGCAAGTAGGTCTACCAGTATGAACTCTGTAACCATCCCTTTCCCATTGGGTTGAAGGGTTAATGTTATCCAGTATTATTTTAAATTACACAAATATAAATTCTGAGTTTCTAACTCACCTGAGCCGCAGCTAGTTTTATCCGTTTTGGCTCTACCTCTTTAGAAACTCGAGAATACAGATCCATAGCTCTCACCCACATACACATAGATTTGCAAGCTTTGGACACTTTCTCTACTTTTTCTGGCACGAAATCAGGGTTATTTATATATTTCTGAAGCCGTTGTAGAATCTGGGGTTTAATGTTGTCTTTGTCGTAATCCATGAGTTTCTTCAAAAAGTTTGAATCACCAAGAACTTGCTTCGCTGAAGCCCAGTCCGTTCTAACATAAATCAAATAAAATTAGTTTCATTAGCTTTTAGAGTCAATGAATTGATCCATTGATAAATCCTAAAGCACGACCACCAAAAAAAACTTAATTCAATAAAAGAAAAAAAATGGCTAGAATCTCCCAAAATGGCACCAGTGATTGAGTGAGCAATGACATCTTATTACAATATTACTCACTTTGTATTAAGGAGGATGCAAATGGCTTCCATGACAGTCATGACAAGATCTGGAGGTTTGGTAAATACTCTGACTTCAGATATATCTGCCTTGTCCAAAGAGTCAAGAGCTTTGTTTGCTGCATCCAAGGCAGGCATAGCTTCATCAAGATCTCGCTGCGCATCATCAGCTATAGCTTGGGTCTCTGCAGCTTTTGTCTTGGCTAAAACTTCATCTTCCTGTACAATTCTACGAATCTAACACAACCAAAAAAAAAGATATTTAAATTTCCATCAATATTTTAACTTTCTTCAGTTAATATATCACCAATTGAATAATCTGACACAGATTGTTATGTATCTGCCGTAACTGTGAAATTCTGAGAAATTACCATGTTCATTTTTATAACCTACAATTTTTTTTAAAAAAAGAATCTCTGTAAAAGAATTTTAAAAGTATACCTAATTTCAGTTGTATTCCTGATGCCATTCCAAAAATGTTGACATCTAGACTATAAGGACTGTCACTTAAATATTCTCATTAGTACATCTTGAATGGCATTGCCATTGAGCGTTGGACAGATTGAGGCTGTAAATAGAGTGTGATGGGCAATGGTGATAGGTGTGTGCAAATATCTTGTGTTGCTGCATGATTTATGTATTTTTTTCTGAGACAAAATGTGTGTGTTAGCTGGAATCTATTTATTTAAGCACTAAGCAAAGAAAATTCACAAAGTTATTGTTTCTGTTGCCATCGCTGCTTTGGACCAACATTAAATGTTGATGACAGAGATAATCAAGCAATGGTCCATCCAGAAAATGTTGGCTCCTATCATAGCACAGATGCTAAGTTGGAGGAGAATTAGGTCAGGTCCAGCCATTGGGGAGTATGGACAGATGTGGGGGCAGGTCAGGAAGGCAACAGTGATGTCAGGTTCAGGCTGCTTGGGTGAGGCCACTTGTCAAGTCGGGCCTGGGGAGCATAAAGGGTCGAGGGGAAAACACAGAAACAAATCTCATACATACCTGCAGCACAGTTGCACAGTCTCTTACATTCTGCTTTGCTGGTGAGCTGTATGGTAATGACTGCAGCTCACCAACTCAATGACAATAAGACCAGAGGCCCAATTTCTACTGAGGTTGTTTGGTCCTCACCTTTTGGATACGTCAATCATTCCTTGTGCCAATCCCCTGCCCACATACACAAAACCAACTAAAATGTCTAGACCATGATTTTTACTATATTATTAACTACTTTGAGACAACTGAAGCTCCAATATTAACAGTCATATTTGACTAGGAAAGGTAGCTCTGTTTCTTCACGGATGCGTCTGAACTGGCTGAATTTTTCCAGAATTTTTACTTCAGATTTACAGCTTCTCTAGTATCTTGCATCTATTCTATTGAAGCTCCAATGGTATTGCTTAAAAGAATCATAGTCTGTTCTGAGGAAGGTGCGAGGGAAGTTTAATGACCAAAGGGTCATTCAAAAATTTGAAACAGTACACAGCTAATAATCAAGCACAGGACTTCCTTGAAATGATTGTCTTTAGATTTCTTACCTGGTCTGCCTCTGCATGGTCCACACTCAATTTTTCCATTAAAGCATTTACATCAATTGATTTCTGCTGAAGAATTGGCTCGAGAGCTGAAAGCTCAACTTGCATTGTGTCTACCAGCACATTTGTCTCTAGCAATTTGGTAAGACCATTTTTCACACGATCCCGAGCCTGTTATTGTATCAGAAATATTAAAATTAATTCAGATATGATCACTCATATTGATACTTTCAGATAATCAGATCACACCAACAGTAGTAAGATTACATAATGAATGTGGATACATGCAAAAATGATTGAATATTCAATGTAAAAATATGGAACAGTTTACTTGAAAGAACAGTTAATTATTTTAAATTAACTACAATCAGAAAAATATCAGACCCCTACTCAAATTCTCTGTGATTTCTAACATTGAAAACTTTAAGCCTTTCTTGTACATCTCACAAATATAATCAGAACATTAAAATTAGTAACAGGGATTGAGTATTTGCGTGTCTGAAAGTACATGGCTATGAAATTATCTCCCAGGAAGCAATGTAAATTCTTACTTTCTTTCAAGAAATATAAAAAATAGATTTAAACATCAAACTTATATTATTGCCCAATATGGAATTTAAGTAGCATTTTATAAGTCTTATGTCTATGAAAGTAACAATAAACATTGAAAATTCTTCAGTATCATTGACTTTCATATTGCAATATGTATACATCTGCACTAAATCTGACAGAAGCTCATGGAAGTGCAAGAGCACTGAACAATAGTCTAGTTACAATGAATTAAATGTTTGTACAATGTTTGTATCTTTTTCTATTTGTATGCCAAACTGTGTGATTTGAGCATGAAAATAACAGCAAGAGGCAATGCTGTCTCTAAACAAGTACACTGGGATAATTCACAACAACCAAGCAGGAATAAACACTGCTGCCTGGCTAATGACAGCTTTAGTAGCAAGTTTGCAGCAAGAAAAAACATTATGAGGATTGTCACTGAAAATACAGACTCCAAGTCCTGATCAATCACTTAATTCCATACAACACAATGTAAAATGCACAAAACAGAGAGCAACCCAACACTAAATGGGATTACTAAACTTTATTGGTTATAATTACAAGTTTTTGAGAGACACTTCAGTCTGTCAATTGCAATTAAAACAGATTTTTTTTGTTCAATATAAATATGCCCTACCTTTATCATGATAACAACAAAATTATGAATATAATACTCAACCATCCTACCTAAACCAGTTCACTCACACTTTATAAATCTTGCAGGCAACAATCCACTATTTCCTGGGAAATAAATTCTGATCGCATAATATAAGTTTGATGTTTAAATCTATTTTTTATATTTCTTGAAGGAAAGTAAGAATTTACATTGCTTCCTGGGAGATAATTTCATAGCCATGTACTTTACACAAATAATGAAAAATTCGATTAGACATTATTCTGTAATTACTGCAGAGTATGAAGAAGGCAAATTCCCAACTTTATTTCCATTTCGTTGTCAGTCAACATGATATTCTATAATTGTGTCTAACACATACTTCTGACCAACATCGTTTCATGTGCCACATTCTAGCTCCTTGTCACACTTCAAAAAATGCCTAGATATACATCCTACCTCTAATGTTCTTGTGACACAGTGGTAGTATCCCTACCTTTAAGCCAGGAAGTCTAGGCTCAAGTTCCACCTGTCTTAGACACGTATCATAACATCTTCAAAAGGTTGATGAAAAATATCTACACTGCCTCATAATTTAACCCATTATAAAAGGGTCTTTGTAGTGCAATGGTACTGTCCCTACCTCAGAGTCAGAAGACTTGGGTTCAAGTCCCAGCCAAGATGTATCATAATACAACACATTGATGAACAATAAGGCTATCCCATTTGCCATGAGTAATGTGACAGAAGATCTACCAATAACAAAATAGGATATAACGTGCATTTATTGGTCACACTGACAATCAAGAAAATAATAATTTTGGAAGTATATTTTGTTGTTTGTGTTTTGGATATTTCAACATTTTATGTTATCAAAAACTCTTTAACCAAATGCTCTTATCGGTGAGAAGGACAAAGGGATGCAGAATTCAGTTTGTAGTTTAACTCAATTCTATTAACAAAATATTCCTCATTAAACAATACAATGTGAGCATTTCCCAAATTCCCATAATATTTACTCTTTATCTATCTCTCACCATCCAAGAAATGACATTACCCACAATGATCCATGTATTTGAACTGGGCCATTGGAATCTCCTTCCTCTCAGACATAAGGCTGGCTCGCTTCTATGAAGGTGGGTCTCACAGGTCTGGACAGATATTCTCCTGGGTCTTCTTGGGTTGCTGCATGGCCTTCTGCCAGGAGTCTTTCTGCAAGTCTTCCCTGTGAGTCTTCATTGACTTTTCACTCAGTCTTCACTGAGGGGTGGCTTCCAGGTGTGAGAGTTCCCTTTCGCACCTGACCTTCCAGAACATTCTGTGATCTTTGGCCAATGAGGCAATGAGAGGGATTCAAATTATCCAATGGGGTTGTGTTGACACCCTTCACTGTTGCAATGCTGAGAGGTATAAAGTGCATATATTCAGGCAGTTAAGATGCCAGAACATCTGATCAACACTTCGCCAATACGTAACCCTTGAGATGGTTGCAAGTGGTTCATCTTTTAAACTGTTGTAACGTCTTCGGTTTCCACTGTTCTCTTTACCTAATAGCTGCTAGATGCTGTTAAGTTTGGCCAATTTTGTCAGGCCCGATTTTTGCTGCTGTAGCTCAACTTAGAGTTTCCAATTTTGGGCTCGTGGTCACAAAGACAATCTCCAGCTATTAAAAATTCCTTAATTAGTAGAGAGAACACATTGCTTGATTTTCTGTCAACCCCGATTGACTTTTCAAATTATACTTCTAAACAGAAGTAGTTGACTTTCAGCTGAAGCAACAATTGAGCTTGGTTGCCTTAAAGTGCATTGCATCACCATAGGGCATTGCATTTTTACATAAAGGCAATGCAATTTTTTTTACTACAGCCCTGCTTGTAATTGGGAACCACCACTAAGTCAGAAGCTTCCCCAAGCCTATTCTTCCATTTCTCTCCCACAACTGGGACTTCTAACTTGTTACCCCTACCTTGTCTTCATCTTTCACTCCTCCCTTCAAACTCCTTTTTCCTTTGTCCTTTGACTTGTTACTTTAGGCCTCCTCTCACAGTAATCAATACACTGCAGCTTCATGGGTGTTATTTTTTGCTTCTGGCTGTTATTCCTTTCCCCTCCCCTCTCTGTCTCTAAAGCATGAGACCACAAACTCCACCTCAACCTTGCCCTTCTTTTCATCCAGATCTCTAACACCCTCTCCATATTCCTCTTTATTCTCACTCCATCTACTGAATGGAGGCTCCACCAGGAGAGACCTACAAGGCCTGCTGCAGATTGTAACACATTATAATTATAAAACCAGCACACTTGTATGGAGGTGAGGAAATCGGTGATAAAATAAAGAACTGTGGATGCTGAAGATCTGAAACATAAACAGAAATTGCTGATAAACTCAGCAGGTCTGGCAGCATCTGCATTTATGCCAGACAATCCATATCTCTTGTGGACAACCCAGCATTTTCAGGTAGATTATGGAATGTAATACAGACTTTATTGAAAGCCTCTTACTAAGTCTAGAAAGTTCACTGGGGCTGATGGGGAGTACATAGTGAATACATAATGAGTACAATCATGGAAGAGTGACCACAATTTCTAGCTGCAGGTTTTCATATCCTGGCCATCTTGTTTGCCCAAATTTACATTGATTCTAACTATTAACTTGACCATCCTCACTAACATAGGGCAGCTTGGTGGCACAGCAGTTAGCAGTGCTGCCTCACAGTGCCAGGGACCAGGGTTCAATTCCACCTTCGGGTGACTGTCTACGTGGAATTTGTATGTTCTCCCTGTGTCTGCATGGTTTCCTCCGGGTGCTCCGATTTCCTCCCATAGTCCAGGGATGAGCAGGTTGGGTGGGCTAGCCATGGTAAAAACACCATGTGGTGTTACGGGGATGGGATAGGGGTTGACTGTCGGGGTGGGATGCTCTTCAGAAGGTCCGTGCAGACTCAATATGTCAAATGACCTCTTACTGCACTGTAGGTGTTCTATGATTCTACTTCATGATTCCAACAGACAAAAAGGCTTTTCTCACTGCTGAACTCCCCAAGAGGAAAACAATAAAATATCACAATCAAAATTCTGAGCTATTCTATGATAGATAGCCTGTTACACATTCTTTCATTCCTCATCATGACGGAAGCATTAGGGAGAACTGGATTTCTTGAAAGTTTCAAATAGACTTTCTTAGAATTGAACAGATCCTTAAATATTGCCCATCTTTCTTTCCCAAAGATCAATTTACTATTTTTATTCAAATGGCAGTTCAAAAAGAAGGTGCTACTCAAAAATGACTATCAATAGAAACTTGATTTGGTATTTGGTTTTGACGAGCAACTTTAAACTCTAGAGCTTTACCGAAATTAGTTCCTTTTGTTTCTCTGCCAGCATGGCCAAGTACAGGTTAATCAGCTCGAGATAAGATGTGGGTGTTGTGTAGTACCGCCGTCGCAGCTCAGCATAGTATTGATCTGCCTTCTCATTCACACTTGTGTGAACTCGTACACACATTTCAGAAAACTTTTCCTTCATTTCATCACTGCCCAGATTAACGTTTGCAAAGAAGTTCTTTGATACAGAAAGCAGAGCTTCTCGTGGCCACTGAAAGGAAAGAGGCAATTTGCATCAATTCGATCATTTTATTAATGAGAGCATATTATTAGCCTTTGTCACAAAATGTCCAAATTTCAAAGCATACTTCAACTTTTCAAACTCTGTGGAAGTTACCACATCAGAGTGTGGTGGACACCAAGACATGAATAAATTCAATGAGACAGACCAATTTTTAATTAATAATGGGCTATAGGGTTATGGGGAGTGGGCAGGAAAGTAGAGTTGAAGCTGCAATGAAATCAGCCATGATTGTATTAAATTTTGGTGCCAGCTCGAGAGGCTGCATTGCTAAATCCTCCTCCTAATTATTATGTTGCTTGGCGAGTCAGAGTCATGCAGCACAGAAACAGACCCTTTGGTAAAACTCATCCATGCCGATCAAATTTCCCAGGACTCAGAATCATACAGAGCAATGGTGGGCTTAATGTCGGAGGTTGGGCAGGTAAAAGTCAGCAAGATCATAGGCCACTGGAAGCTGAACTGCCTGTATTTTAATCTGTTATGATAGGCAAGGGTACCTAGTGACGTCCTTGATGACAATATTATAGGAACCTGACATGAATTTTTACAAAGGTACCACTTACCAGCTTGGCACTGGGCATCTTGATTGGTTGATTTTCTATCATTTCACACAGTTCTTTCATTCAGTAGAGATGGTTAGCAGCATTTGGATGAGCCCAGGTCAATTTTGAACAAACACTAAAATTTACCAACTAAAAACTGGCCCCAAGGCAAGGCTGCCACAGTGACATAAATTTAACAAGCTAACAATTTAATGATTCCAAATAAACTATTAAAAAAACAGCATTCTAGAGTGTAAATCTGTAATAATAAAATATCTTAAAATGAGATATAGATCAGCAAGGTATTCAGCTTATAAAAGGCTCCTTTGGAAGTGGAACTATGATTGAATACTAAGTCTTGTAACTATAAGGGATTGTGTACTTGAATTAAAGGTACTTGAAGGAATGTCAATTTAGTTAATGGGTTTGTAAGAATGATCGTTTTTCAACACAGTGAAGCCTGCAATACACAACTAGAACTCTGTTTAACAGAATTTTAACTCAACTCATTAAAGGTCCTAAGCTTTGCCCAAGTTGGATACTGGGTGAGTTGACATGCTTGGTGTAGGGCAAAGGGGAAGGAGTAGGTTGGTATGAAATGGCAGTAGATTGGTATAGGGACTATCAGGGCCATGGGACTTGAAAAAGGATTATAGGTTGGCATGAAGGGTCCGAGAGATGTGTGCAGGGCAACAGATGGTATGGAACCAGCATTGGGAGTGTCAATGGGTTGGGTGAGAAGATGAGGTGAGAGCTGGAGAGCCATAAACACAAATTATGCAAGAAAGTTGTTTCACTCTTGGGGAGGATATTTTTCAATACAGGTTATCAATAGAGGTTGAAGATATTCCTAAATGATACTGATTTTTTTCCTGTAGACTGCAAAATCTGCTAATACACGAGGAAGATCCGATTATTAACATGCTCAGAAGGAAGTGAAGTGGGTAGAAATGGATAGTAAGATTTTGCTCACTGAAGAATCAATAACACCATTTGTGCTCCTTTCTCTCAGCAATCTTCAGTAGTCTTTTCAAGGAGCACTGGCAAGGTCTCTTCATCTCCGGATTCCGAAAACTGCACTAAGGCCTACAACAGGCATAGGACCTCAAATTAAAAAATAAATCACTACCTTTTGGGGAAGAGGTTCTGGCTGTTTTGGGCGACAAGTGGGCAGTAGGATTTTGGATAAAAAAATTTCCTGCTAACTCCCTTGTTTTTCAGCATGCATTGGGTGGTGGGAATAAAAAGATTGGCCCTTGCATGATTTTAATTAAAGTCTGCGCTGTCCCTTTATTTTTAAAAATGTAACATCTAAACAGAGGCTGACAGAGGTCAGTAATATATTAAAAAGTTAGATATTACAGCATACCTGCACAAACCAGTCAATAGTACAGCAATTTACAAGAGATGGAAACATTCGACATCGAGCTCGAAATGAATCACCAACAGGACTCATGCAAAGTACAATATGCAGTTTCTGCCGAACACGATTTATAAAAAATTGAAAAACCTGAGGAAAAGAGGAACACGTGATTACCAGTTTTTTTTTGTTCACAAACATATCAGGATCTGTACACATATGATTCCCTTTTAAAAGCTGTAAATGGCAAATCACATTACATCTTTAAAACAAAGCTTTGTAACTTTTTGCTGGAAGAAAATAATCTTAAAATTTGACGATGAGCACAAAGATAATCAAACTTGTACATAATGCAATTCCTTTTGAGCTGTTAGGTCCAGAGATGCAGGGATTTTTGTAGAATCCATGTTAACGATAAATGAACTGGATAGCAAAATTAAATTTTTCTTGAATAGTTTTGGTTAGTAAGCATTAGAAGACAGGACAAATGTTATGCAAAGATTTGCAGGGGTGTTATAAGTTTCATGAGTGTAAATATGATGTGTGTGCTTCTATATTGTGTAAGATATATGCTCAGTGGAGAGGACTTGATAAATCATGGGAATTCCCTTCATTCCACATTTTCTGATTTAATTGTATGGAAAGAGCAAGGGCTAGGATGTGGGTATATTAATGCAATAACACTCTATTGCAAACATTCTTACATTAAAATTCTTCATACAATGTATCTAAAGTAGCTTATCACCTTTTCCTGAAATTCCATGACACAGGAAGAAACAATGGCAGCAGCTTGGACCTCTATCATCTCATCAAGCTTTGGAAGGTTAGGTACCATACATACGAGAGTAGCAGGCAACTAGATTGCATGTATTCTTAGGTAACAGAATTGTCATGATATTGCTGAATAGTGGAACAGTTTTGAGAAGTTAAAAGATCTAGTTTTGTTTCTACATTCATAAGCGATGAAACCCTAAGGTCAAAGTACTTTGAGGTATTCTCAAGGTATCAGTGAGCACTGAAAGGCAACTCTCAAGGACAGTTTAAATCATTTCCATACAAGAATTGCAAGTATAAATATTTTTAGGCAAGTGAAACAGGCTATTCTATTCATTTGAATTGCAAGTAAATCACTAGAGAATGGAACTGTAAGCAGGAGCTGTAAGCTGCGGCTGAACTGAATCAAGAGGATAATGAATGACTGTGGGACCGAAGCATTTATTTTTGTTCTGAGTCAAGGTAACACTCTCATAAGGAACTCATTGCTGTATACTGTTGTGCTTCTGAGTTTGTCACACCCTTGACAAGACATTCTTTGCTGTAACTATACAGTAACATTAAATTATCCATAATAGTTCATCGGTAGTTGTGGTTATTACCTTATCTCTCAGTGGTGAACAGACTTATCAAATGGAGTAAGTATGTGAGGTCAAAGTAAAATAACTGCCACATTTTCAGACGTCAATAAATATCTATGTAACTGAAGGAAATAAACCAGTTATATCATCAGTCCTTTACTACTCCACTCTATGGCAGTCTGTAGAACACTACACAGGCACCAATAGAAAAACTAGATATAATTTGGGCATCTAATTTTCAACCTGTCATTGGCTTTCTGGCTTAGAGTCATAGAGGGCTGATGGGGCTTTTCCTGTGCTGATGACCTCTGACTCTGAGTTTGCGCTGGCCAAAAATAAACCACCTAGTCTAATCTAAACCTATTTTCAGATCTTGTCCCATAGCTTTATATGCCTAGGCATTGCATGTGCACATCTAAATACATTTTAAATGTTATGAGGGTTTCTGCCTCGAGCACACTTACAGGCAGTGATTTCCAGATTCCTACCACCCTCTGGGCAGAAAAGAATTTCCTCATATTCCTTCTAAATCTCTTGCAGCATAAATCTATGACCTCTGGTCAATGATCCCTCCATCAAGGTGAAAATTTGTTTCCTGCCTACCCCATGTCCTTCAATTTTATGTATCTCTATCACGTGCCCCATTACAATTTCTCTGCTCCAACGAAAATAAGCCCAGTCCATGCAATCTGATTTTATTGTCACATGTACTCAAGTACATAAGTACAGGAGTACAATGAGAAGTGTCTCATGTCACCATACAAAGTGCCATCTCAGGTACAAGTACCCAAGTACAGAATCTTAAGAACAAGGTAAAAAGAAAGAACAGTTTCTCTTCATAAACACTCCAACCCAGCCAACATCCTGCTAGATCTTCTCTGCAACCTCTCCAATGTGTATTCCAAAACTGCACAATGGGAATTACCATGCTCACCATGGGCATACACAAATTGTAAATAAAAAGTCAGTCATAGGAACCCAGAGATAAATACGTTACTTGATGTAACTCAAGTAATTAATTTATTATAAAGAAAAGTTCTACTCAGTAGTCAGTTTTTTTTAAACCTTTGTTTTGAATCAACCAGATCAGAGAGGTTATTACACATCTGTGGAGCAGGTGGGGCTTGAATCCTGGCCTTTCAGTCTATTTAAACTGTTAAGAGAACTCAACACACATGTTTAGTTAATTATGGCTTTAAAAAAAAAATCAGACAAGCATACATAATTACTGAAGAATGAACACTTGGGAAATGGCAATTAACAACTTTATTGAAATGGTGGAACAGATGGTTATGATTTTTTCCTAATAATCACCAGACATCCTGTCAATCAAATCAAACCACCAGATATTTTAAAAAAAAATTTTCAATGATAGTTTAAGCCAACTTTTACTTCATGCTTTAACAGCAGGGGACCAACCTTATGTTATATCTGCATCAGCAATTTGTAATTCTCATATTGTCAGTCAAAGCTCTTGGAACAATACAAATGGGGTTTGTTTGAACTCAGCAAGTTTGCGCAAGACTTTGGCTAGACTGAGAACCTACGATGGGGAACCTTTACAGATTAAGGCTACAACTTTGGTTCTGATCTCTTATGAGAAGCAGCAGATTCTGTTACCACGGATTGTAGTAAAAAGCTCAGGCCCAAACTGGATGGGGCGAAATTGGTTCAGAAAGATTTACCTAGATTGGCTCAACATTTTTCAATTAGAATATGGTTGCCTGAGTGAAGTTCTAATTAAATGCCCAGAATTTTTCAGGAAGGTCTTGGGACTATCAAAGGAGCCAAGGCCACCTAGCACATTGACCACGACGCAATTCCATGGTACAGCGAGGCCTACCTAGTGCGATCTGTCTTACATGCAAAAGTAGAGGCAGAAATCAGAAGTCTGGAAAGTGAAGAAATCATCAGTCCTGTAAAGTTTGTGGAATGGGCAGCTCTTGTACTGACTGTGAAGCCCAACGTGGTCGGTTCACCTTTGTGGGAATTTTAAACTAACAGTAAACCACTTTTTGCAGCTGGATAAATACCCAATCCCTCATATAGAGGATTTATAGGCAAAGCTGGCAGAGTGGCTGTCCTTCACAAAGCTGGACATGAGCCACGTGTACTGGCAATTGCAGTCTTTGAGGATTCCCTGAAGTATGCTACAATTAATACACATAAGGGTTTGTACCAATATCTGAGATTGCCATTTGGGCTATCATCAGCCTGTGCCATTTTTCAGCTGATGTAGTTAGCCTATCTCTATCCCTTTGTATCCTCATACCTTGTCTTCTCAACTAATTTTGTATTATCCACAAACTTAGCGATAGTACATTCACATCCGTCATCCAAATCATTAATATACGTCATTCAAAATTGCAGTCATAACACTGACCCTTGTGGATCCACTAGTACAGGTCACCATCCTAAAAATGCCCTCTTTATCCCAATTCTTTGTCTTGGTTAGCCTATCCTCTGTCCACGATAATATATTAATCCCAACACCATGGCCTCTTATCTTAAGTAGCCTTATCAAATGCCTGCTGGAAACCCAAATATCTCACATCCACAGATTCCCCTTTATCCAACCTGCTTGTTACCTCCTGAAAGAACTGTAATAAATTTGTCACGTCTGATTTCCATGCATACTCTGCTTGATTATATAATGGATTACTAAATGCTCTGCCATTACATCCTTTATAATGGACTCTATTTCTTTTCCCAACAGCAGATGTTGAGCCAACTGGCCCTTTTTGAATAAGATGTTACACTGGTAATTTTCCAATTCTCTGGGACTTCTCCAGAATCCAAAGGTATTTGGAAAACTACTACTGGTGCATCCACTTCCTTTAATACCCGACGATGCAACTCATCAGATCCCAGGGACATATTGGCCTTCAACCCCAATGGCTTCCCTAGTACTTTTTCTCTAGTGATGGTGTTTGTGTTTATTTCCTTCCCTCCTCTTTTAGCACCTTTATTATTAGCCAGTTTAGTAGATACATTCAGTATGTTAGATGCTGAGTTTCTTCAGTATTTTCTGCTTTTAAAACAAACAATGTTGGGATTCAGGAAGAATATTGGCAGGCAAAGGTACCTAATCAATTTTAGCTGTTTACCTGCCTCAAGGATAAAATCAGCCCTTATTTGGAAAACGGTAAGGATATTTCTCACACCCTAGCTACTAATTGTTACACTTTGCATGTCTTAAGATTCAGGTCAAATCATATTGTCAAGAAATTTCCCTCCATCATGTTAACCAGTTTTATTTCTGTGCATAGTAGGTGAAGCACTGAACAAGCAAAGATTTGGGTGCTCAAAACTTGCTTGAATATCTTACAATAACTTCCAAACTTGCTTGTGGGACAAATACACACTGATGTCCAGTTATCAGAAACCTACCTGAAAGGTTAGGATTCACGTCAATCACTCTGGTCCATAATACAAAAACACACATTAAGTGCACATACCAAATAATATGCACAAGTGAAAGAGGCTGGACATGAGCAGTTTTGAATGCTTACTTCATCTCTGTTTCCTTCTGGTATTCCAGCATCCTTGGCTTTTGGACGTGTGGCAGCGAGCACTTGCTCAAGCTCATCTTTCTCAAATAGATTTGGAACCTCTCCAGAGTTGAGGATGTTATTGATGTCTTCCAGGAACTCCTCTACCACTATCTGTCAGAGAATAATATGTCAGCACAATTTCATGCTAATTGTGCCAAAACTCTGACAGTTGAAATAGCACAGATGATTCTTAATAAGCTATGTCCATACTGTTTAAATCTTGGATATGTTATATTTAAAATGTATCATGCTCCTTGGCACTGACCATTTATCACTGTGACAATATATACAGCGAAGTGTGCTAATAAAAGACGTAATTAAGTACTATAGACTAAACATTCAGCTGCCCAACACTGAATGCTCAACAGCTTCCTATGTTTCCAAAATGGCAAGTAAGTGATTTCTGAAGGGAATTATGCCATTAGTATATCAGAACAGGTCGATGCATTTGTGGCAGGTACAGACATGGAGATATTTCAGTCATGGGTACAGACCAAATAATTATGTCTCAGAACAATTTAGAAAGACTGATACAAGAAAAACCTGCAAAGCTGCACTGTGGTTGAAGCTAGGTGTCCTTGTCTGTGTGTAGAAGAGGCTGGGATGGGACTTTTGCCACTACTTTTGGAAGTGAGGGAGACCTATGACATGATGCAGGAGAAGGATGCTGTGCGGGCATTTGCCAGAACCTTCGGGGGAACCTCTGGTCAGTTCATGGGCGCTGTATTCTTGAAGTTCGTCTCCTGCATCAGGGGTCCGTTAGGGTCAGCTGGGACCATAACAGGGTGGCCTTTTGCTGGCTTGAGGGGCACTATCTGCACTGGGAGGTGAAGGGATGTCCACCACAGGATGGGAAGAGAGAATCTCCAGGCAAATTAAATTGGAGAAGGATGCTGCAAAAGAGAGTGTGGGGGGAGGGGACTTCAAGAAGAATGTGGAGAGACTGCCTGAGGGTTGGGGAATGAGGAACTGGAGGCTGCAAGTGAGGAATAGGAAAGCTGCAAAGACGACAGAAAAGTTTTAATCCTGCCAACAATGGAATAAACTGCTAATTAGAAGCTAAGAATATTTAAGTTAGCTCAAGGCTGCATTAATTCAAGAGCTATTATAGGGGGGAAGTTTATAGGGATGCAATTATAGAGTCATTCAGCATGGAAACAGACCATTTGGTCTAACCAGTCCATGCCAAATATAATCCCAAACTAAACTGGTCCCACCAGTCTGCTTTTAGCCCATATCCCTCGAAACCTTTCCTATTCACGTATTCATCCAAATGTCTTGAACGTTGTAAATGTACCCGCATCCACCACTTCCTTAGGAAGTTCGTTCCACATGCAAACTACCCTGTGTAAAAAATTTGCCTCATGTCTGTCTTTTTTAAAATCTCCCTCCTCTCACCTTAAAAATGTGTTGCCTAGTCTTGAAATTCCCCATGTTAGGGAAAAAACAACTTCCATTAGCTCTATCTATACCTCTCATTAATGAACAGAGATCAAGTTTGAAAATGCAGTAGAGAAAAGGGTAATAATTGCTTGGTTAAAATCTCTTGGCTTTGTCCATCTGTGAGGGAAATATATAAATTGTGACTTCACTCATCTGTGAGAGGTATGTTTTGAGTGATGGTTTTTTGTGTGTAGAAGTGTATACGAGTTATTTTGAAAAATAGCTTTTGTTGTCAATTTATGCCTGTTAACTTGTGTTCATGGTGACTAGGAAGTTAATGCTTTTCTTGTCTGTTGTGGCTTTAAGTTTAATGGAAGCTTGATAATTATTGAGAATATTGATCAAGTCTTTTTTTGCCCAAGTACACAAGCCCAACGTGTCAACACAAATAGATATGGTACTATTACTGTGTGACTTCATAGTCCAATGACTGAACTTGTGAGAATGAAAAAAGGAGACTTTGAAAACCAAAGAATAGCTCCTGAAAATCAAAAAATGGCCCTCAAGAATATCTCAAGCGGAAACCTTCAAAAAATTTTGAACCCCATTGATACATTCAGAAATTAGTGGTCTTAAATTGTACAGCAACTAGTACTTTTTATGCCTTCCAGAGGAAAAAACTGACCATAACACATTTTTTGTACTATTTGGCTTTGTTTAGAGGCTGGAAGTACTGGTTGTGTACCTTTAGACTAAATGGTTCCTCAGCTTCCTTCCAGGTGCTACAGAGAACATTTGTCAATCTGCAGCATATCATTGCACAAAACAGCTAATTCCTAACTTGCTGCAGCAATCAACATCTTTTTCCCCTTGGATTCTAGGAAAGACCAAGTCCACAACTACTCTTACAGTATTTAAAATAGGGCTGCCAACATAGGCTCTGAAGATTTTATGCTAAACATGCAATCTAAAACTTCTCTTGCCCCATTCCAGCAAATAAAGAGATAGTAAGAACTGCCGATGCTGGTGTCAGAGATAACACAGTGTGGAACTGGCGGAACACAGCAGGCCAGGCAGCATCAGAGGAGCAGGAATGCTGACGTTTCAAGTTGGGACCCTTCTTCAGAAAAGTCTGCAGCAAATAAAGGGGACTTTTAACAGGTACGATATAAATAGTCAGGAAAAAATGCAGCCAGTTAGAAATTGGATGATTTCTCACTTTTATTGAGGTGGGACAAGGGATGAGAATCTCACTCCTGTCACCAGATTCATAAAGCAGACTCAATTGGTCCTGCGGCCTCCATTTTTCCCAGCTGGGAGCAATGCCGGTCAATCATGTTAATTTCTGCATAGGGAACCTGTCAAGGATGTAAGGTGAACACGGTAGAACTAACAGTCCAGAGCATGTCAGAAAGGTAGAAGTCCGAATTATGCTGGGCAACCCTTCATTCTGGCACTTCAAAATATTAACATTTCCCCAAAGTATCCTCCCCTGGATTGATATTGACAGACAATCATCCTAACAAATTAAGGGATATTTAGATATCACTTCGAAAATATCTTTTGTTAAATTGCTATGAAATATCATCCCCTGTAAAATGAGCAAAAATTTGATAAATAAACAGTGATGATGAATCCCTCCCCCGATTTCTGTCCTTAGTAGGAGACCTTTTCAGATTGATGGGTACCATACTCAAGGTTAAGGACAGAGATTTGTGTCACCTGATCCAAGTTTTTCCAGTTAAGGGAATCAAATTTAATGATTTTTCAAAAATGTATACCTGTGTGTCAGTGAAGAGAAACACTGTATCTTTGTCCTCAACGCCAGCCAATTTGTAAAGTTTTCTTAAGTCCTCGTGGAACGAGTCATAATTGTAACCACGACTGAGTTCAATTTGAAAGCACTTGTAGTTACATATGTGAGCAGCAAGTCGCGTGAGGGACTGTTTGCCTGTACCTCCAACACCCACAAGAAGAGCATTTCCTCGTTCTTGGCGAATCATGCGAGCGATTCTGCAAGATCATTGTAGAACCATCTAAGATTGCATTTTTTTCAAAATACCATGTCGAAGTCACACCTGCAGCAAGTCATTGCCAAAGCCTTGAATCTTGGACATGGTGTATACTATTTTTATTGAGTTATTCAAAGTTGATGTGTACAAGCAAAATTTGGTACATTCCAGCTTTGACTTAGTCTTCTTTCAATGAATGTTTCCTTTATTATTTCCCAAGATGCAATGAAGAAAACCACAAGTTCAGGCCAACACCAGTATGAGTGCTGTTACAGATCCCGAATGACATCCTACAACCAAAGGTGCCACGCAACCAAATTTTAATGCGTCTATCTCCAAATTCTTATGTAGTGCTGAACAAGATTCTAATGTATACTGCCACTTTCTCTAAAATTCTCAAATGTAATTTAACAATAGAAGGTTACATTCCTATTCTTTCCTTTGGTTAAGTCTGGTCATTATTATTGCCATGTCGTTATCCCATTTATAACCTGCCGCTCACCCTTAGTTGAAATGTTCTCAGAATTTACTAAACTCTTCCATTTCTCCTTATCTGATTTCCCCTATTTCAGAATGGCTCTCTATGTCCTCCTTAACACTCTAACCTCATGCCTCTAATGAACCAAATTGCAATCTGGAAAAAAGTCCTGGTGCATTCAAAGAAATATCTTATGCTTCAACCATGTGTGGAGCTAAATGCTACAGTGGAAATCCAGGGATACTGAGATGGGTGAGCCACTTGTTGAGTTCAGATATAAGATCAGCCTTGGCTTTACTGAATCTTAGAGAAAGCTCCAGGTAGCATGTGGCTTACTCTTGCTTCTATTTCCAATGCTCTTTCTGCCTTCATTTCAGTTTGCCCTGAATCAATTAAAACCATTCAATATTATTATTGCACTATACCCGGACAACTAGTATTTCATGGTTCTGAAGAAGGGTCACCGGACCCAAAACATTAACTCTGCTTTCTCTCCACAGATGCTGCCACACCTGCTGAGGTTTTCCAGAAATTTCTGTTTTGTTTCTGATTTCTAGAATCCGCAGTTCTTTAGGTTTTTATTTAATATTTCATGGGATTCCTTGTACTTGTGTTAAGTGGCTGGGAAGCATTTACACTCAGTTGTATTGAAACTTGATGCAGTATTACTTGGGTAATAACCCTACAAAGAATCCAACTTCATTCTAGAGTGCAATATCTCTGCCTTTACTATTCCTGATTTCTGCTCATGGAAGTGGAATTTATTTATCAAATGTATGTTTATTTATTAATAAAACAAGGAGTAATTAATGCTAAAGATAAATCACTACCTGGAAACATGTTCAACAGCATCTTGGAAGAAAACCAGTTTCATTTCCTTGGAACTTATCATATTAAAGTCATCCATGTAGTCCCGTAGAGTAGATTTTACTTTCTCATAATTTTGCAAATCTTCGTATAGTCGGTCGGCTTTCTCCGCTCCAATCTGAAAGCATAATTGTAGGCATTACTGGAGTAATTGGAGAAATTATAAAATAACAAATTTCATAAAGTGATTTATATGCAATAAGAGCTTCATTGACTTGACTACATGCTTTAAAATAGGAATGGAGTAGTAAACTACAGAGACAACCGATGTCCAGAAGTGACGATATAGGAAACAATGAATACATGAATATCAGCACAGACGAGAAAAGTTCCGAGCAGTGGCATTACTGGAGAATAAAGGACAGGCATACAATGTTTACAGTCAATACCCAAATCTATTAGTTCCAAAGACATATCAACTACATGTGATTTGAAACTTAAGAATAGAGCTTTGATATTTTTGCTGATGTTACTCATGATTGAACATTAATTTTTTAAAATTCTATTTTTTTATTAATTTCTCTTCAGTTGAAGTAAATTACCACACTGTCAGTTAACTTGATCGATATCTTGATAACATAAAAATGTTTACAAAGAAATCTATACAAATTTATTTTGAAGCAAAAGAATTGTGAATAGTACAGAACATATGAATAGACAATCAAACAAATTAGGATTAGGACACTCAGCCCCTTCAGCATTCAATCAGATCATGGCTAACCTGATTACTTTCCTGTTAATACCCAACAACATTTTACCTCCTTGCCTAATAAGGCTACGGCCTTAAAATATTCAAAGACTCTCTTATCTCAAAAGGCATTGCACATAGAGTTCTCAAGATGCACAATCCTCTGAGAGAGGAGGAAAAAAAAAATCACCTGATCTCTGGCTTATACGGATGGTCACTTATTTTTCAACAGTAAATTCTAGTTTAAGATTCATCCAATGAGGAAATATCCTTTTCACATCCACCATGTCTAGAACCCTCAGGATCTTGTATTTTTCAATCAAGTTGCCTCTTACTCTTCTAAGCTCCAGTGGATACAGGCCTAGCCTTTCTAATCTTCCATCATAAAACAAAGCATCCATTTCATGTATTAGTCTCCTGAAACTTCTCTGAACTGCTTGTAGTGTAATTATATCCTCCCTTAAATGAGGAGATCAATATTCTACACAGGACTGCATTTGCAGTCTCACCAGTGCATTATATATGTGAAGTATAACTATTCAATGTTTGAATTAATTTCTCTTTGCAATAGATCATAACATTCTATTTTAGTAATAGCTTTCGTATTTGCTGTACCTGCATACTAATCTTATGTAAATTATCCATCTGAACATCCAGATCCCTCTGCATTTCAGATTTCTGCAACCTCTCACTATTTAGCTAAAATTTGGCTAAAATACTTTTATGTTTTCCTAACAAAAAGAACAATTTCGCATCTTCCCATATTATACTTTATTTGCCAAAATTTTACCTATTCATTTAACCAATGTCTCTTTGCAGCTTCCTCAAGTTTTCTTCACAACTTACATTCTTACCTATCAGCAACTTTAACATCCATACCTTTGGTCCCTTCACACCATTTATTGATACAAGTTGCAAAAGTTGAGGGTGCAGAAGTTGTTCTCTGCAGAGAAGGAAAAGGTAATAGGAGATTTGATAGAGGTGTTTCAAGTCATGAAGGATTCGCAAAGAGCAAATAATGAGAAACTGGAATCAAATGACAGAATGATCAACATCAAGAGGACACAGATTTAAGGTGACTGGAAAAAAAATCAAGAGAGGTGATATGATTATGCCTGGGGCTATTACTGAAACATATAAAATTCTGGAGGGGCTTGACAGGGTAGATATTGAGAGGATATTTCCATGAGTGGGAGAATCTCAAACTTGGAGACAATATTACAGAATAAGGGGACATTCTTTTAAAACTAAGATGTGAAAGATTTTCTTCTCACAGAGAAGAGTAACTGTCTGCAATTCACCACCCTAGAGAGCCATGGAGGCTGGATCACTGAAATTATTTAAAGTGAAGGTGGACAGATATTTGAAATATTAGGGAGTTGGTGACTATGATGAACTAGCATGAAAGAGGAGTTCAGGCTTCAAGCCGATCAGCCACGATCTTGTTAAATGGTAGGGCCGGCTTCAGGCCAAACAGCCTACTCCCATTTCTCATGTGCTTGTGAGGAATTTTTGACCACCAGCAGTTAGTTTTTGTACCATTGAATACACAGCCTAAATGATTGATGATAGTAAATTCAATAGTACCATTGCAAACAGAACTGAATAAATTCTTGAAGCTAAAAGTTTTATTGGACCATGGGAAAAGCATGGTAACGGGATTCTTTCATCACTTTACTGACAAACTAGCACAGATACCACAAATGAAATGGAATTTTATCAGCTTTATCAGTCTATGATTCTATTCTTATGAAATTATGATTCCAATAAGAAATATTTCCCTAAAGCAAACACAAAATGTCTTTTCACCTTCATGAAATCTCCAAAAATAATTGGTTTAAGAAGAAAATAACTCGGCTCCAAGTGGATTGAAAAATGCTTGCCTTTAAAAGAAAGGAAATACCAGTAAATAAGTATCATTGTAAAACATACTTTCATATATTACAACCCTTCAAAAGCAAATGTGTTACCAACAGAATATCTTGAACAAGGAGGAAGCTGTTTTACAGCTACTGTCAGGTTATTACAGTAGATATATCAACAAATTCACAATCATTTACAATATAGGAACAATAGAGAAAATGAGAAATGATGCACTTTGGTAGAGAACAGTGAAAGGCAAGATAAAATAAAGGCTACAATCCTCAAGGGGATACAGGAGCAGAGGGATCTGGGTAGTAGAACAGCTGGAGGGAGCAGTTAAAGCATACGCAGTGTTCTCTGCTTTACCAGTAGGGGCATAGGGTACAAGAGCAATGAGGTGATATTGTACTTGTATAAGACATGTACAAAAATAGTTCCAGGAAAGAGAAAGTTATGAAGATACTGAAAAAGTTGGTGCTGTTCTCCTTGAGTGAAGTAGGCTAAGACGAGATTTGATAGCGATTTTCGAAATCATGACTGGGCCAGATTGACTAGATAGGGCAAAACTGTTTTTGCTCATAAAAGGAACAAGAACAAAAGGGCATATACTTAAAGTGATGTGTAAAAGAAGCAAGGGTGACGTGAGAAAAAAAACTTTTTCACACAGCAAGTAGTTAGGTTATGGAATGTCTTGCCTAGAAATGTGATGGAGGCAGGTTTAATTAGGGCATTTTTTTAATAAAATCCTCACAGTGTAGAAACAGGCCATTCAGCCCAACAAGTCCACACCAATCTTCCAAACAGCATCCCACTCATACCAATTCAATGAGGTATTTGATGCTTATTTGGATAGTATGCAACGCTATGGGGAAAAAGTAAGGATGGATTAGGGTCAGGTTGGGTAATGATACTCGTATGAAGAGCAGGTGCAGGCACAAAAGGCCTAATGGTCTTGTTCGAAACCACATCAATTGTGACTCAGAAAGAATGTAATCAGGCCATTTAACATGGTAAGCTAGTTAAGTGATTTAACAAGATTATTGTTGATCTGCAGTGCAACCTGACTTTGTCCCATAGTACTTAACACAACCGGCTAACAAAAATCTAATTTGGTTTAATAACTAAGAATTGATCACATCTGAATTGCCATTTGCAGAGGAGAGTTTTAAACTTCTGTCATTCTTTGCATTTAATGTTTCTCAATTTCTCAATCTTAAAAGTTCCCAACAAAAAAACTATTTCTCTCAATGTACCCAATTTTTTTCTCCTTAATATCTTGAAAAGTTGGATTAAATTACCTATTAATCTTACTAATTCCAGGAAATGCAGCCTAAATGTGTTCAATCTCTCTTTGTAACTGAATTCCTGGAGTCCCAGTTTCATACTTAAATCTCTCCTGCACTTCCTGAAGGCCAATATATCCTTCCTAAGGTGTGGTGGCCATAAGCACTCAGTTCACATTTCGCGGTCCTGTGCTTTTACTAGTCATTTACTTGTTCATATTTTTACACACCAAAGAAATTTTAGCTTATTTTTTCCTCTAACTGTGAATTCATCTTAAACTGCTGTATATTAAATAATAAAATATAAGGCAAAGATCATTTCCTTCAGTTGAATTGAAATGAATGAGGTAATTTTAACCTAATCTGAGAGGTTAGATTGGACATTCGTTTTATATCCTGTCTGATCTCATACACTGTTAAAATTAGGCAATATGGAAAACAAGCTGACAAAATCCCAACCCTTTACCATTAGGTTAGCTAGGTTTCAATCAGCACCAATACTTTCAAAAGAGGAATTCAGAAATGCATTTGGAGTCATTGTGTTGCTTTCTACAACAGAAATTAAAAGCTCTGATGTCAGATATTGCTTATTATGGATTGTAAATTTTGAAATAGATGTTTAGCAATCAAGGAATTATCAAGTAATATACTAGTTATTGCTTATATCAATAACGTTGTGTCTTTAGATGGGTAATCCTAGATGAAGTTAAACAAGCAGCATCAACAAGTTGGCACCACTTTCTGACATTGTTTCTTCTCTTCCTGTGATAATACAACCCAAGTACTATTTGCATTGGCTCCAGCTATGTCATTATAACCAACAAATGTCTCTCTCTGATGTTTTGCCTCACATACTACAGTGTGTAAATGAGACTGCCATTGCTTGCTCTCCTTTCCTGATTACATTATATTAAGTGTCCACATTAAACAATAACTTACAACTGTTAACATATAGCCTGTGAGCACTTTGAAGCAGTGTCTAGGATAGAATTTCTTACCAGCCATTTCACATAACATATTAATGAAGTAATGTTTGTCTTCAGTGTTGATGAGACGATCATGGAAAACTCGCTGACACTCATGGCAAAAAAGCCTAAAAATTTGGTCATCAGTTCTTACTGTACCAGGATTACATTGAAGAATTCCTAAAATGTAAAAAAAAAACAAAATTCAAATGCCAGAACTCTGTAATTGATGGAAAATGATAGACATATATAACATTGTGGTTGGTGTTTAAAGGGTGATAGATAGGCTGGTACATCACCAGTAATCCTGGGGCCTGGGATGGGGTTGAGGGGGGAGGTGTAGGGGCAGATGTAGTACTTCCTGCGGTTGCAGGGAAAAATGCCGGGGGTGGTGGGGCTAGTGGGGAGTGTGGAGCGGACGAGGGAGTCACGGAGAGCGCGGTCCGTCCGGAAGGCAGATAAGGGTGGGGAGGGAAAAATGTCCTTGGTCGTGGGGTCAGATTGCAGGTGGCAGAAGTGGCAGAGGATGATGTGTTGAATCCGGAAAGGGATCCCAGGCCCCAGAAAATCTTCCACATTCAACAGATGTTCACCTGCACATCTGCTAATGTGGTATATTGTATCCGCTGTTCCCAATGTGGCCTCCTCTACATCGGGGAAACCAAGCAGAGGCTTGGAGACCGCTCTGTGGAGCACCTACGCTTGGTTCGTGACAAACGACTACATCTCCCAGTCGCGAACCACGTTAACTCCCCTCCCACTCCTTGGACGACATGTCCATCCTAGGCATCCTCCAGTGCCACAATGATGCCACCCGAAGGTTGCAGGAACAGCACCTCATATTTCGCTTGGGAACCCTGCAGCCCAATGGTCTCAATGTGGACTTCACAAGCTTCAAAATCTCCCCAACCCCGACCTCATCCCAAGACCAGCCCAGCTCGTCCCCCGCCTCCTTGACTTGTCTGTCTTTTCTCCCACCTATCCTCTCCTCCCACCTCACTGACCAACCCCCACCCCAACTTCCTACCTACTAGCCTCATCCCTGCCTCCTTGACCTGGCCGTCTTCTCTCCACCTATCTTCTCCTCTATCCACCTTCCATCATCGCCTCCCCCTCTCTCTATTTATTTCAGAGTCCCCTTCCCCTCCCCCATTTCTGAAGAAGGGTCTAGACCCGAAAAGTCAGCTTTTCTGCTCCCCTGATGTTGCCTGGCCTGCTGTGTTCAACCAGCTCCACACCTTGTTACCTCAGACTCCAGCATTGGCAGTTCCTACTATCTCATAGATATATTATATTGGTTCTGGTTTGATCATGACCAATTAGATATATACAAAATAGGTTGAGTGTGTAGCCTATCGAGAATTCTCAAAGTAATTGCATCTAAATAATTTGATGTTTCTTTCATAAATAAAAACAGATTGTGTTGGAGAAACTCAGCAGGTCTGGCAATGTCTTTGGCAAGAAAAAGAGAGTTAACAATTTCAAGTCCAAAATACTTTTGATCAGAACTGAAAGGGGCTGGAAAGGTGATTGATTTGATGTTGTAAAAGAAGGAAAATCAAATGGAACAGATAGTAAAGATGCTGACAGCAAAAGGCAAAGGGAGTGTTATTGATAGGAGTGAAGGGGTATAGATGCAGAGTTTATCCAATCAGGTTGGTTCCTCACATTCTTTGAAGGTCCCCTCATGTTCCAGCCCCAACAGGTAGACTGCCCTTAACTGAAATGAAACAGGTTTCAAATCAGAAAGAAAAACACAGTCCAAAACCAAACAGTTGATCACGGAAGTCAGAATTCTGTTTCAGAATACAGAAAAATAGCCTGCAGCAAAACAGAAACAGGTTGTCCAGCAGGCTGAAACAGCAAACCAACATTTAACCTGAAGGTGCGCGTAAGCTGTTTTAGTAGATATGATACAAATTCCTTGCTACCTTCCAGCAACTTGATTTCCTGAGCAAATTTATCATGTGATGAGTTACACGCTGCCACAGACATACTTTGGACGAGACGAATATAGCCCTAACTTAAATATCACAACAAATATTTTCGATTCTCCTGACAGGCTATCTGACTATCTACAGTATCAACCAAAATGGAAGGTGAAGCTTTTCCAGCATACATATAGGTAACTAACAGTCCAATATGCCAAACTATGTATGCCTGCAAATAGAATGTAATATGATTGATTTCTAGGTGAAAGACTACTTACTGGAAATTTTAAGGATTGCGTGTGATACTTCACTGGTTAGTGTCGGAAATCCTATTGTTTTGACACACATAAATAACATTCATTCAGAAACTCAAATGTAAAATGGTCCAATTTGCTAATGGTACAAACTGGGAAGAACAATGGAATTAGGTTAAACCGCTTCAAAATTAACGAGTATTGACAAAATGACACATTAGAGTCAATGGGGGCAAGTGCAAAGCACTGTGCACGGGATTGAAAAATTAGCAACTCACAAACAGATGAGATAGCAGGACAGATGCATCTTACCCTGTATGCACTTTGATAAATCCCTAAGATTGAAAACATAATGAGACTTAGCAGGTGTTGGCAATAGATCAACACTCATTCGGTGGTATATCTCAACAGCTGCTTCCACAATACTGATGGAACATTGTTTCACTGCTTGAGTAAATTCTGCCAGAAATCCATTCAAAATAGCCTGCATCATATAAAGAAAAGCTGTAGACTTGACTCATTATAAATTTGATGAACAATTAGAATCACAGATGAAATATTTCCACAAATTTCAAACAACTTGATTATAAATATAAAATAATTAGTATTGTAAAAAACAAAAGTGCAGCAAGTAATGAAGGCCCTCATTGACGACATTGACTCACATATATACCTCCTTAACATAGCTTGCAAGGTTGGCCTTCACCCTCCATTGTGCCTTTACATCCACAAATCTAACTGTACAAACCAATGGAACCAGTGTTATATAAATGTTTCTGTTGTACCATTGGGAATAATTAATCCACATTTGCACACAGGAAGCAGCTTTCCAGCAGTACAAACACAGAAAATCAGCCCCTCGAAAACAGTACAACTGATATTTCTTCATACTCATCAGTAAGAGCAATTACTAACCTGAAATATGTGTTTCAGGCTGTGCTCAGAGGGTGTTGGGAGGCATAACATGCTGAAGTGTCTTATGAAACGGGGGGTCACTGGATTTCGTCCACCACCAGGAGGGGCACAGGCAGCAGCAATTGTAACGTCCTAAGATAGAAGTTGCAAATAAATTGAATAGGAACTGAATAGGGTAGATACAAAAATGATGTTTCCATTTGTGACAGAATCTAAAGCCAAAAGGCATAAATGTAATATCGTCACTACTAAACTAATAAGAAATTCAGGAAAAACGTCTTTACCCAGAGAGTGATGAGAATGTGGAAGATACCATACATGATGAGGCTGAGATGTTGAGTGTGGATGCATTTAAGGTGCATCTAGATCAGAAGGCCCCCAGCTACCTAATTAAATGACTGACTGGAACTTAATCTGACAGGTCTTCCTGAAAGGAGATGAATTGGGATTCTCGCTGGCTCTCCAGCTATGGGCGGTTGGGGGCGGTGGTGGTGGTTTGGGGAAGAAACCAGTCATTTCTACTGAATACCACAGGCTTATGTTGTTTTTCATTATTCTGCTGAAAATTAAATGAAGGCAAAACAGTTTTAATGCAGTCCACAATACATTGTGCATTACATTAATTAGGGAACATCATACAGTTTGTTTTTTTTCACTTGTTACTAATGCTGGTTTGCTCCATTAGTCTCATAAGCTTTAACTTTGAGAAAGCTGGTTCAAGAATAACATCAGTGAGCACTTTCTTGCATAAAGTATAGCAAAAATCTGGATCATGCCTGAAAAACAACTGTAGAAGCCTGATCCATTTAAATAAGTAAGTTCATCAAGAAACATGCAACCAAAATGGGTAAATGCAGTTAAGAAACAAATCAGCAATGAGCTAACTGAACAGTGGTGCAGAATCAAAAGAATGAATCGTCTACTCAATGTTTCATAAGTTCATTAATCCACAACATACATTGCTAAAACGAAAATATATGGCACAAAAATGTAAAAATTGAACAAATCAAAGTTGAAATTGTTAAAACAAAAAAGTGGACTAGGAACTTTATACCCTATGAAGTTAAAAGCTTATTTTTGTGCATCACCTGTATTTCCTTCCAAAAGAGTTTCTCTCTGTCATAGAATCCACCAAAGTCCTGGTATTGTCGAAGAAGCTCAATGGGAGGTTGAGATCCATAACGATCCAATTTGGGCATGTTAAGATCATCAACAAAGATTATGACTCTTCTATTCCCTGGAGCACCTGATCAAACAAATACCCACTAATTCAGATTTTTGCAAGTTCAATGTTTTCACTATATGAAGCAGGAGAGTTGAAATAACAAACTTTCAGTTCGATATTTATAATAAAACAAAGAATTGCAGATGCTGAAGATCTGGAACATGCAATAAACAGAAATTGCTGAAGAAACTCAACAGGTCTGGCAGCGGGTCTAGGCCCGAAACATCAGCCTTTCTGCTCCTATGATGCTGCTTGGCCTGCTGTGTTCATCCAGCTCTGCACCTTGTTGTCTCGGATTCTCCAGCATCTGCAGTTCCTACTATCTCTAGGTCTGGTAGCATCTGTGAAAAGAAAATGTTGTTAACATTTTGGGGTCCAGTGACCCTTCTTCAGAATTTTATAATATTTATAATCGTTTGATAGGTTTAACCAAATTCATATTTTCCAATATGGGTTTACATAATCTAAGCATTCACATTAAAACCTTACACAATTGTTTTAGTGATTTATATGTTATGATGACAGAATGTATCAAGAGATTACAACATCTTATTGTTGCACTTACTGTAGCAGGTTTCTGGACCTCAAACAGATGTTTCCTCACACATCCCTTCCATTGAACTACTCTGTCAAGCATAGAGTTCCAAACTTTTCAAAAATCTGTTGAAGGACTCCTGTTGCTTCATTGACCAGATCCATGAGCAAGTTATGACATAATTGTCAGGCAAATTGATTTCACATAAAGTGAAACCAAATTGCAATTGAATAGGCCTAAAGGAAAATCAACAGTAAAGAGAGGACACCTCTGCTAAATTCCCTGATAAGGATTGTATACTTCTCATGTTGTTGATAGTGGTGATAAATGGCACTGGACTTAAATGTGAAAACATCAGGCTGAGTGACATCCTTATTGGCCTTATGTATACCCACCCATCATGCTAAATGCAGTTAGCCCACTCAATGGCAAAAGTGTGGGACGAAGGAGAACAGTCACTGATGGTATTACTTGTGACTAAATCGGCAATAACCACCCTACTTCGTATTGGGAAATAGTCCCAAATATCTCAGACAAATTCCAGCAGGACATCTGGACAATTTTGGAGGTCAAGTGCACTTGTTTTGTCAACAGGCAGCAAAGTACTCTGCAGACTACAGCCATTCTGCCCGTGTCTTGCCACTGAGTGTCTGGTTAAAAACAAAATCTGTTGGTGTCTTTAGCAATCATAGTTCCTAGAAGAATCTGTGATGTTTGGATTTTTTACTTTACTGTCTCACAGTATGTTCCCTTATTTGTCCTATGTATTACATTATATTTAAAGTAGGGCCACTAGGCTTGGAGGCTCTTCCTTGTCTTTCCCCTTATGTTTTGCAGATTGAGCAGTCATTTGAAAGATGCTTTCATCAGCCTACTACTGTAAAACCTTATGTTTCATTACATACATTGTAGTACAGACTGAACCATCAGAGCTGATAGCCAGAAACATGATATGAAACAGATGAAACTCCGCAACAGTTCAATCTGCTTCTCCTTATTCACCAAATCCAATATTATAAACTGCCAACTAAACAGGAATTTTCCTTGCATCCATTTTCTACGCAGTTCATTGTATGAAGCACTGAGGGACTCTGCATTAACTAAAGACTGAAATGTTTATTTCTGTAGTTCCTGCCACTACATGACAGCAATTTTCTGAGTTTGATCACAAGCTTTAGTTTGTCAAAGTCTCAAAGGCAGATATCAGGAAAGTTCCTGACCACCACATCAGAACCACCACAGACAAAGATGGCCCAAATCCAAATACTTTCATTCCAAGGAGGGGTGGGGTGGGGGTTGGTTGGTGCAGGATGAAATCTGGCCTACCAATCCCAGAAGCAGGGGATGGGTCAAGCGAGTGCCAAAGGGGGCTAGTTAGAAGACCACCTTCATTCTTCAGGGTAATAAAACAAAGAACTGCTGATGCTGAAAATCTGAAACATAAACAGAAATTGTTGAAGAAACTCAGCAGGGCTGGCAGCATCTTTGGAGAGAAAGCAGACGTAATGTTTTGAGTCCAGTGGCCCATCTTCATAACTGAAGACCTTATCTAAAGAAAGGTTATTGGACTCAAAATGTTAACATTTTTCAGTTTTTGATTCTCCAGGACTTGGTCCAAGAGTTTTACATCCTCTAACGCTTAGCTTTCAATTACCCCCATGAGGGCTCTTGCAGCACAGTGATAGTGTCCCTATCTCTGAAACAGAAGGCCTGGCTTCAAGTCCCACCTACTCCAGAGGCGTGTAATAGAAACTTTTAATAGGTTGATTAGAAAATATTTTCAACCATCCTCATCACTGGCCGCCCCTGCATGGGCCTCTCATATATCCCATGCCAACTTACCCAGTATCCATCATAAAAATAACTTCCAACAATCTAGTACATCTCTTACTACAGACTTGACAGTAAAAAAAACCTGATGAAAGCATGAAACTTTTAAACATGAACAAATGAACTTCTGCTCATACCCTGAATCATTTAGTAGCCTCTTTATACTGACAATGAAGTCGTGAGCTCAGAACTTCCATTTTGGGAAGAAAATCTGCCATCCTTACCTGGTCAAGAAGACTATTTGCAATTCAAGAGCACAACAATGTGCTTGCGTCTTTATTAGCTCCTAACTCTCTAAGCTATTTCAATCAATTCAATGGCAATAAGGGATGGGCAAAAAATGCCAACCTTGGCAGAAATGTTCACATGCCATACAAGAAAATAAAATGATAATTGTGGTTTTTGAAATGCAACCACACATTCACAATGAATAGCCCTTAGGGAAATGTCAATAAATAAATATTGAAACTGTTCAAATAGTTATTAGACCAGCTAGTCTATCAACCAGAGCAGTTCAACTGAGTTTGTTTTTTAAAAGCAACTGCTCAGTGATGCAGCAGCTTCTTGAACAATATAAAGAACACTGGTTTTCTAAGAAATCTTCAGATCATGACAGTTAAAACAGAACTTGTCTGCCTTTCAAGAGTGTCTACATCCATTGCATAAATTCATCACTCCAACATTACAGATTGAGGCCCGTAAAACGACCAGTAAAGGGTCAGTTTCAATTCAAAACAAAGTTCAAACAGTGCTGTTGAGTTTGAGATTCCCTCCTGAATAAAATATGCCCTGCCTCCTTTCCACTTCTTGGAAACAGGGACAGGACTTCTTCAGGCTGAACTGGTATCATTTTTAAAGATCTGTCGAGTTTTTCCAACTCCGAGAAAATCTGACTCCAAATCTTTTTGGTGGGCCTCACATCATCTTGTAGATTCCCAACAGACAATCCCTGATGTACATGAATAACTTAGAAAGGGTACATTTCCTCTGCGCACATGCATAAGAAAATGTGATTGATTTGCATTACATATCTTGCAAATGTGCTGATTGGCTACGTAAAGCTATTTTTCTCTCCACTTAATTGTAATGCAGAATGTTATAGAAAACAAACAAACAGTGTAAAATACAACATTATCATCACATGTGATATGATATGCACATGGCAGAATGCATTCTGTTCTTTGAGTGCTGAATTTTGTTAAGTGTTACAATACTATGAAGTCATCTTTTAGTGTATTACCAGATAGGTTTATATGCAAAACTATAATGCAGATCTCCTAGTAGACAAGAAGTAAAGGGATGCAATATCCGGTGTCAGCAACTCAAAGGTGTCATAGCACATTATCGTTGTAATACCGTGACTGTACAAACTCACAACATATAAACAGGCTATTCAGCTAGTCTTTACCACTGTTTATTCTCCGTAAATTGCCTTCTCCCACCTTAACTCATCTAACAATATTAGCAAATCTTCCTATTTCTTCTCCCTCAAGTACGAATAAGAATAAACGGAACTGTCATATTGTGTCCACATTGGCTCTCTGAATGAGTGCCATGACTGAATGCCATTCTCCTGCATCTTGCCCTTAATTGTGTGCATTGTTTCTATTCAAATAATCATCTAGTTCCCTCAACTGAACCTGCCTCCACCACACTTCCAGGCAGTACATTACAGACCCTAAATACTCACAATAGGAAAAAGCTTCATTCACACATCACATTTGATTCGTTTGTAAATCACTTCAAAATTGTGCTCTCTAGTTCTGAATCCTTTCACAAGTGGGAACAGTTTCTCTCTAGCCAGTTTGTTCAGGCTAATCATGATTTTAAAACTTCTATCAAATTTCCTCTCGGCCTTCCCTTCTCCAAGTAAAACAGTCCCAACTTCTCCAATCAGGCTTCATTATTTAAATTTCTCATGTATGGAACCAGTCTCATAAACATCCTCTGAATCTCCCCAGTACATTTGGATCGTTCCTGAAGCATGGCACCCTAGAACTGTACATAATATTCCAGCTGAGGGCTAACTATACTGTCTTCTGTAAGTTCAGTATAACCTCTTTGCTCTTGTACTTTATATCCCTAGCAATTAAGCCTAGAATACTGTATACTTTACTAACTGCTCTTTCAGCAAGTCTTGCCAACTTTAATGACCTATGCACATAGATATTTAGGTCTGTCTGTTCCTGAACACCCTCAGATGTAGTACACTTCATTTTATAAAACTAATTGGGCTGAACACAATGATGGTCATCAAAATAGCCTCCTCTGCATTCATAGACATGCCTATTGCAGCCAACAGATGTCGCTTAACTGGAATGGGTCTCTTCACACTTGGTCATATCTCTACATCCCATATGTAATAACGTCACAATCTGTGCAATCACAGATGGTCCTACTGGGGCCAAATTTTCACATAGGGAGGCATGGGACTGAGAATCCAGAGTGGGGGTAAAGGCCAAGAGCAAGGGCGTTACAATGTTCACATAGAAAGGCAATTTAATTCAGATTAAGAGCCTCCTCAAAACATCAAGCTTCTTCAAATTTACCAGTTTGCTGCTATTTGCATTATTTCTACATTACAGTCAAATGCTATAGAGAAGAGAAAGAGCAAAGGTGCACAGTTCATTACTCATGCACAATATTTCATAAGGGACTCTGTGCAAGCATAATAAAATCCAAACCAATAAATGTTACAGACTTTTCTTTCTTCTTTGACTCCTTAGCCCATTAAGAAAGTGGACTAACCAGGACAATGAAGTTGTGAGAGGCAGCTGAACAATTTTATGTAATATCTTTCTCAGACTTGCCAGCAAAATTTGAAGTGGCAGCCATGACAATGGCTGTCAAGGAGGATCTTTTATCTGCCTACTCCAGGGTTGGACCACCTCTGTACCTGCCTCTTACATATGTATATTGCAGTCGTAAACTTGTTCCTAACGGCACAGAGATCCGACTGAAAACACCATGGTCCCAGTGGGGCCAGGTTCACAATTCATGATCAAACTCAACCTCCTGTCCCTCTTCCAACTTGAAAATCCTAGTATTTAGTATTCCAGATTTTTTTTTTTTTAAGATTCTTCCTTGAGATATGGGTGCTGAATCAGCATGATTGCCCATCGTTAATTGGTCTTGAGAAGGTGGTGTTGAGCTGCCTTCTTCAACTCTACAGTCTTTCAGGTATAGGGTCACCCTCAGTTATTTGGAGGGGAATTCCAAGATTTTGACCCAGTCGCAGTGAGGGAACTGTGATATATTTCCAAGTCAGGATTACGTGTGGGTTAGAGAGGAATTTGCAGGTGGTGGTGTTCCCAAGCACCTATACGTCAGTGGTAAATAAAATAAAAAAGACTTACATTGTTAATTCTCATGCACAATGAAAAGGCTTAAGAGCCAAAAATTTTGAGAACATAACAAAACCATGTTATACGTTCACCTTTAGGAGACACAGATTTTGAACTTTATGTAATTGCATCCTACCAATTATATTTTTCCTTTTCTTTTCCAGTTTGGATTCAATTATCTCTTGCGTCCGCGAAGATGAAGTTTGAGCAGAAAAGTTGATGTAAAGGGGGACATATCCAGCGTCATCTTGGATTTGATTCAGCAAACTGCGCGCAATCACAGACTAAAAACAATTAAAAGTTAATGGAAATTATCTACCAAATCTTTCAAACTGCACAGTGATTCATTTAATCAGCAATATCAGTTTCATTTGATGAGGTCTTTGGGATACCACTGCAGCTGCAAGAGAGGAGTAACTTCCTCCTTGATCAGACTTTAAAACTGCCTGAGGCGTTAGAAAAGCATAGGGTAGAACTTCTGCTCTGTCAATAGATACCTTGCAGAGTTTATCAATGATGAATTTAGGCAACATTAGTGTCACACTGCAAGCTGCAAGAGACAGTAAGACAGTCTACTTTATATGACTGGCAAGAAAGTCCATCAAATAATTTAAACGGAGACCCAGTAATTAAAACCTTTCAGATCACAGAGTCTTTGAGGTGTTTCACTAAACCAGGATCCAGAGTTGGAATGAGGTTTATATTATGCAGTGTCTACATGTGAAAAAAAAACTTCACCAGCTGTGAAAGATTTTGGTACATCCAAAGATCATGAATGGCTGTAAACATTTCAATTTATTTCTCAATGATTCCTCTGAAATTCAGCGATAATCAATTACCAGAAGATTATAGCAAGCAAATGCTCTAATTAGCTACAATACCCCCATTGTAAAAACAACTTCAATGAAGAATGATATAGTAGCATTGAAATTAAAATAAAATATTTTTACTTTACTTATACCTTAGCCTTACTGATGTTTTATTTTTGAAAGGAAATCTATATCTTTGACAAATTTTAATGTAATAAATGTAGGAAAAAAATAGCAGAATACCTTCCCCACTCCAGTTGTCCCAGTGAATAGAACAGAATGCCTCACAGCAAGGAGTTTTTCCAACAGATAGCCAAATCGCACAGTGTCTGTTGTTGGAACAAGCATTTCAAAAAAAGGTATTTCACTATCATACTTAAAACTGGGAATAATTCTATCCCATGGATCTAGTCGGTTGTTGTCAAAGTCCATGTAGTAGCTCCACAGGTCACCAGATGTTGGTATCTAAGATACATAATAAAGGGGTTTTTTTGTACAATTGAAAGTCTGTGAGCATTATTGCTAATAAAAATAAGACATTACTCTGCAGGAAGCCCAGTAAAATGATATACACCATCAGTTAGCTGGCTAGATGGGAAACTTCAAATTTTTAACAGAAGACTAGGACTGTCCTAAACTTGAATTTTATTTTGACTCATCCAGCTCACCACTGAAGACCGGCAAATAAACGCAATATCCAACATTCTCACATTTTCATTATAATTTCTGAGCAGAGTACTAGGTTTGGAAAGGCAATTACTGCAACAATTTGGATACGGGATAGAAATTTTGCTCAGCCAAAATTAAACAAATAAGGATGTTCAAAGCTCAAGTAAATGCATCTGCAGTACTAAATTGATAACTGCCTGCTATTCTCCTTATAAAATCAGTATATTTTTGTGTATTTCGGGTCCAGACCCGAAACATCAGCTTTCCTGCTCCTCTGACGCTGCTTGGCCTGCTGTGTTCATCCAGCTCTACACCTTGTTATCTCAGATTCTCCAGCATCGGTAGTTCCGACTAACTCTATTAAGTTATGTAGTTTATAATCAACCTTCGCACTTGCAGATAAATATCCTCTGATCACAGTTAAAATCAAGGCTGGCATATTAGTACCTAAACCAAAGCAGACATTAATGTAGCCAACATGACAGCCAGAAATGCTATCATATAAACACTGTTGACAAAATTTTAAATGAAATACACAATTAAAACGAAGATTAACTGAAATTAAAAGTTTAGTCATCAGATTTTGTTTCTGGTAAATGGTTGGGAGCTTGTTTCCAATATGCTAATGTGCATTATGACCCTCTCACAACGGTCTAAATTTTGCTCAATATTTTGCATATAGATAGATCATAAAAGCTGCATTTGCTAGTCTTTAAAATCAGAAAACAAAAACTTATATAATTTTGAATCTGGAATAAATAGGGGAACATCTGGCAAGGAAGTATATTCTGAACAAAATACTCTCCATCTCTTCCTTAAATCATCATTTTAATTCCTGCCCATTAAGAAACATCCTCGTCATAGTTCAGTACTTTTACTATTTCAATATCTTGTTGGTTAAGGTCAGCCTATATGCATCAGGGTGGATCTATTGACTAGATTGGACCCCAGTTTTTCTTTTAGAAAATTCTACGGGTCAAAAACAGTATTAATTGTATATGGAGTAACACCATTTTTTTTTTCACAGCTCAAGATCAGCCCTCAGACTAGCCTGAAACATTGACCCCATCAACATTCAAAGGCAATGTAACAAATCCTTCATAGTCCAAGCCATAAGGATTTCCCAGTATGGGAGCAAAAGCCAGAGCTGATGTTTACCAAGAATTCAAAAATGACTGTACGAAAGGAAAGAGGATATTCCTAACAGGCAGGGGATAAGATATCCTTTGTCTTAATTGAACAGTGAGAGAAAACTTTGCCCAGCCAATGTACTAAAAACCACTATTTATTTGCCCGCTTTGTGGATACCTTAGCCTCAGGATGATCCTCAAATTGATGTCGCACAAATGTATCAAAGGCATCCCAATGGTTTTCAGTCAAATTTCCTCCAATGGACCAGATATAACAGAAGGCAAATGTCTGACAAATAATACCATTCAACTGAGTAGGATCCTTTAAAACAAATGATAAGATCATAGAGTTTGGTTTAAAAAAGAATCAAGCCAATAGTTCATTTATACTTGAACTTTACCTAGAAACACACAACACATTTCAAGTTTTTCATTTTAATCAATTACAATTACTATTGAATGATTATTTAATAACATGATTCTAAAGTGCAAGTTGTTAAGTAAGCTGTCAAAATTAATATTTGAGCAAAATATTGATACCATATGATTTTACAAAAGAAAAATCATTCTAGATAGCAAATTGGATTAAATGAGGAGACCAGCAGAGCATGCTAGAATAAACACCAGGCATATCTAAAACAAATGTCAATCTGGTCAAGTTACATTGTAGGATTACATGCATGCTGAACAGTGGAAGCAGTGTGCAATAGTGCCAAGTGATCCCATAGTAAATGGTTCAGATCAAAGCTGTGATTTCCTGCTCCATCCAATTGTGATTGGCATGGAAAATTGAACAACTAAGTGGAGGATGTTGTACAAACATCCCTATTTTCAATGATAAGGCAACCTACTATGACAGTATAAAAGACAAGGTTGATACATTTTCATCTAATTTCAGCCAAAAAATCCAGAGTAGATGATCTATCTCAGCCTTCTCTTGAGGTCCCCAACATTACAGATACAGAAATGACCATATCCAACAAGAGGAAATCTAACCATCTAACCTTGATGTTCAACAGTTTACTGTCACTGAATTCTCTCAATCATTAACATCTTGGGATGTTACCATTGACCAGGTATGCAACTCGATTAAGCATATCAATTCTTTAGTAAAAAGTAAATGTCATAGCTGGGAATTCTGTAGTAAGCCCTCATTTCCTGAATCCCTAAAGTCTAACCAACACCTATACAGCACAAGTTGAATCAGCTGAAAAACTCATTGCTGCCCAGACAAATGCAGCTCCAATATTCACGTTTCTAATGGTTTCCAAGGGCTTAATACAGTGAGATCAGTGCAGTAACACTTTGAATCCAGGGAGTGAGAGAGAGTCTTAGTCTCTTTTTGGTTCTGCATTCTTAATTCCATCTTTCTTGGTCTGCCAACAATCTTGTAACTGGTACTGCTTGTGTATTGCATATCCTTGGAGAATATTGTTTGACGTTGGTAATGGCAGTTGATGCTTCATCTCCAACATGTGAAGATTCTTACAGGGATGTAAACGAAATAGGAAATGAGGACCTATTTACACATTCCATGGGGGCTAACTGACTATTTTCATTGTCATTATGGAACATTTTAATTTCTGTGCAGGTTGTCTTCGATCTGGTTCACATCAGTTTCATGAATGGCCAAACTGTGTGGATCAGGTGACCCCTGTAGCCATCTTCTCTCAGTATTTTGATGTCTTTTTGAAACACATCCATGAAACAACACACAATTAAAGTTCTGGGTATTAAAATCAGCAGATGGATCAATAATCGGCATTTTATGTCATCATGGCAATCCTAACATTGTGTATGGTTTTATAGTAGAATTGCAACACAGGTGGCATTTTTTTTGGAGGATCATAGCTCTAGCAAGGCCAAACCAGATGCAGCATAGGGGTCAGGGGGTGGGACAGTTCCTTCAGATGTTCAGTTTAATAATTACTCAGGGATTACAATAAAACTTTAACCTTTTAACACTTCCTGGATAGCCTAAGTGATCCAAGACTCTCGGAATTTTCCAACTTTAATGGACTCTTCTGGTGGAGAATTATACAGGGAAATTGCCCCATTGTAAAATTCAATTTCCCAGGCAATTCCCAGGATTAGAAATGCCACATGGTTCTGACTTGTAACTCAAGTCAATGCTCCTCAAGTCGGCGTTCTTCCCAAGACTCAAAACCTGTCAATATATCCAGGCCTCTACCTCAAGACAAATGAAAGTTATTATTTCTCCACAGTGTATCTAAATCTTGACTTAATCACGATTTTCTATCTATGGTCCATACACTTCTGCACATATCCTCTGTTCAGATATGAATTCTCAAATAATTACCTGACTGCTCTCTTCCAAATCAGTCATGAAAATTGTAATGAATAATGTTTCTAATAGTAATTCCTTCTGAATTACTCTTAGCAACCTGTCCCAAAGAACAGACTCTATGTTTAACATAATCAACTCGTCTCACCAAAAGAAAATATTGGTCAGAAAATCTCTGCTGTAAGTAATTATCACAGATTAACAGTTAATATCCTCCTGGGTTTAAAATACTGATCACTCCCCATGATCCAAAAAAATACTTTGCTCCCAAAAATCTAATTAAACCATCATTTTATCTGGTGGACGAATTTTATGGCCTCCTGTATATTTCAAGACTGTGGCATATAAAACAAATCAGTTGACCAGCCAGCTGCCTTTCCACCCACTCCTGACCTATCCTTCCTATTAAAGGAAGCAGGTAAGATGTCAGGAGACTGTAAGAACTGCAGATGGTGGAAGCCAGAGTCAATAAACGTGCAGCTGGACAAACACAGCAGGTCAGACAGCAGAGGAGCAGGAAAGTCAATATTTTGGGCCAAAACTTTTCATCAGCACTGGGGAGGGGAATGGGAGCCCAGAAATAAATAGAAGGAAGGGGGTGGGGCTGGGGAAAAGTAGGTTGGATGGTGATAGGTGGATGCAGGTAAAGGGTTATAGATATTGTTCAGTGGGAAGGGTGGAGCTGATAGGGGAGTAGGAATATGGGCAGGTTAGGACAGGTCACAGAGGTGGGACATGGGAAAAGGCTGGGAGTGGAGGGAGTTTGAAGCTGGTGACGGCAATATTCAGCCCCTTGGGCTGTAAGCTCCCAAGGCAAAATATCAGGTGTTGTTCCTCCAGTTTACGTTTGGCCTCACTCTGACAGTGGAGGAGGCCAAGGATCGCCGGGGGAGTGGAAGGGGAAATTAAAATGGATGGCAACCGGAAGGTCAGGTTGGTTGTTGCATGCAGTGCACAGACACTCCGCGAACTGGTTGAATTTTACCGGAAATTGACAAAGTGGCAAGTTTGTTGAGTCTCACGGAGGTTCTCTTTCCATAAGCCATCACATTATTCTCTGAAACTTGCCTTGTTTACTTTGTACCATGCCTCTATGGCATCCTGCTCAACATATCATCCCTCTCTTCACAAACAGAAGTACTCACACTGCCAAGACTTCCTGGAATTCCCAATGCCTGCACCAAACTTAAAATGCAGTTGTGCACCAGATCTAGCACTGTCATTGCAGATCTACCCCGCATGGTTGCTTCACCTAAAGATTTGCCTCAGACATAAAGAATAGATGAAAACTGGCACTCCACTTTGCCACTAGGGGACCCAGAGGTCCTGATGCAAACACACAGAATGCTGGAGAAACTCAGCTGGTTCAGCAGCATCTGTGGAGTGAGAAACAGAGTTAACATTTCAAGTCTGATATGACCCTTCTTCAGAACCTTCAGGATGGGGTGGTCCAGCAGTCAATTAAGGACCATTGTCTATTGTGCTGCTTTCCCATTACCATCACTGTTAATGTACTCTCTACATGCTTGAACTTCCAGCCTTTTCTGTGACAAATTCTATCTTTAGTCTCCTGCAAGAGTCAGCGGAATCTGGACCGTCTCTGCTGTCAAGATGAGGTCCCCAAAAGTCACCTCCTTCCCCACATTTGGAAAGAACACCATAGATCTTTCAGATTATGCACCAGTAAGGTTGCCTCCTGTATACTCCAGCAGCTCAGAAACTAACACCTTAATGAATATTTTAGCGTTAGATTAGAGTTTGGAACATCAGTTGGTGAGCACATCTATGCTACATCTCAACACACTAACATGGAGTCATTTAGTACCTATTTCAAGGGTTTTTGAAATCAAAGACTGTATTTTGATTGTTTGCTCAACTTTTGATATCAAAGATTGGTCCACTGTGTTGTCAAAAGTATCATCTTCAATGAAAATAGGTGGTGTTGGGATGGAAAGTTTGGTTTTTGTATGTCTGTTCAGCCAAGCCTCCTGCTTAATAAAGTGAATGAACACCATGCTTGCACCAAAATGCAAAGTACTATAGGATGTATGCCATAACCTCTTGTTCTTTGGTAATTACATTACATGCGTTTTAGGACTGTGATTATAAAAAGTATCTTTGCGAGTTGATGTTTTGTAGTAGATCATAATACAATTAATTCTTTACCAATAGTAAAGATTATTGACATTCCTCTACTGGCTAAAGATGAGGGTCATGCAGCAAATCAAATCAATTGGGAATGGTGCAGCTTCATACAAATACAAGCAAAATATCTTCCAAGCCATATCTCAGTTACTGGTGTTTTTTTCAGATCTATGATTGTTGCTTGCATCTAGTAAAGCTCTATATACCAGAAACGTACCAGGACTGGGACTGGTGTCCTTGGAGGAGTGGTTCGGGAGGGTTTAAACTAGTGTGGCAGGGGCATTGGAACCAGAGGAGTAGGGCAGCAGATGCAGAAATTGAGGGAGAGGTAGAAAACAAGGCACACATGACTAAGAACAGGCAGGGAAATGCTGCTGGAAAGAGCAGGTGGTCTGAAATGCATGTGTTTCAACGCGAGAAGTGAAATAGGCAAGGTAGATGAACTTATAGACGTAAACAGAAATTGCTGGAAAAGTTCAGCAGGTGTTGCAGTATTTGTGAAGAAAACTCAGAGTTAACACTTCGGGTCTGGTGGCCCTTCCTCAAAACTTAGAGCTTTGGTTAGTACTTGGAACTATAACATGATTGTGATTACAGAGACTTGGCTGAAAGAGGGACAGGACCGGCAGCCGAATATCCCAGAATTTAGATGTTTCAGGTATGATAGAGGGGATGTAAAAGGAGGGGTTGGGGGTGTGGAGTTTTATTACGAGTAAAGGAGTAACTCACAGCTATATCGAGGGGGGACACATCAGAGGGCTCGTGCAGCAGGACAGTGTGTGTAGAATTCAGGAATAGGAAAGGTGAAATCACAATGCTGGTGATTACTATACCAACAGCCAGCAAGAGATAGAGGATAGAATATGTAGACAGATTTTGGAAAGATGTAAAAACAGCAGGGTTTTTGTGGTGGGTGACTGTAAATTCCCCTATATTGACTGGGACTCAATTTGTCCTCAGGGCTTGGATGGGGCAGAATTTGTAAGAACCATTCAGGAGGGTTTCTTGACACAGTATGTGAACAGTTCAGCCAGGGAAATGGTTATACTGAATACCTGGTTTTGGGAAATGAGCCTGGCCAGGTGAGTGAAGTTTCAGTGGGGGAGCATTTCTGGAGTAGTGACCATAATACCATGAGTTTTAAGATACACATGGATAGGGATAACAGCAGTTCTTGGGTGAAGGTGTTAAATTAGGGGATGGCGAACTACAACAATATTAGGCAGAAACTGGGGAATGTTGTCTGGAGGCAGCCACTTGAGGGTAAATCCACATCAGACACGTGGGAGTATTTCAAATGGTAGTTGATAAGAGTTCAAGAGTGGTACGTTTCTGCGAGAATGAAGGATAGGCATGGCAAGTTACGTGAACCTTGTATGACCAGGGACGCTATGACCTTGGTCAAAAGAAAAAGGAAGCACACGTAAGGTCTAGGAACTGAAGAAGCCCTTGATGTGTATAAGGAAAATAGGAAAGAACTTAAACAATGAAATAGAAGGGCTAAGAGGGGTCATGAAAAATCATTAGCAAACTAGATTAAGGAGAACCCCAAGACTTTTTATACAGATATAGACAGCAAGAGGGTAGCCATGGAAAGGGTTGGCCTACTTAAGGACAAAGGAGGGAATCTATGTGTGGAGCCTAAAACCACAGGTGAGGTCCTAAATGAATACTTTGTGTCAGTATTCACCAAAGAGAAGGAACTGGTGGAGGATGATCTCGGGGAGGGGAGTGTCGAATTACTAAACCAAGTTGTTATCAAAAAGGAATGTAAAAAGGACAAATGCAGATAAGTCCCCAAGTCCTGATGGGATATATCCCAGAATATTGAGGGAGGCAAGACAACAAATTGCAGGACCATTGATAGACATCTTTGTATCCTCTTTGGCCACAGGTGAGGTCCCAGAGGACTGGAGAATAGCCAATGTTGTCCCATTGTTTAAGAAGGGTAGCAGAGATAATCCAGGAAATTACAGGCCTGTAAGCCTCAAATCAGTGGTAGGGAAATTATTGGAATAGATTCTCAGGGACAAGATTTATATGTATTTAGAAGCAAATGGATTTATTAGCAATAGACAGCATGGGCTTTGTGCCTCACTAACTTGATCCAGTTTTTTGAGGAGGTGACGCAGATGATTGACGAGGGAAAAGCGTATGATGTTGTCTGCATTGAATTCAGTAAAGCCTTTGACAAGGTCCCTCATGGCAGACTGGTACAAAAGGCGAAGTCACATAGTATCAGGGGTGAGCTGGCAAGATGGATATAGAACATGACTTAGTCATAAGAGACAGGGGGTAGCGGTGGAAGGATGCTTTGTGGAATTGAGGGTTGTAACTAGTCGTGTTCCACAGGGATCAGTGCTAGAACCTCTGCTGTTCGTGGTCTACATAAATGATTTGGAAGAAAACGTGGATAGTCTAAATAGTAAGTTTGCAGATGATAAAAAGATTGGTGGAGTTTCAGATAGTGAAGAGGATTGTCAGAAGATACAGCAGGATATAGATCAGTTGGAGGCATGGGCAGAAAAATGGCAGATGGAGATTAATCCAGATAGATGTGAGGTGGCGCATTTTGGAAGGTCAAGTACAGGTGGAAAGTATACAGTGAATGGCAGAACCCTTAGGAGTATTGATATGCAGAGGGATTTAAGAGTGCAGGCCCACAGATCACGAAAGGTGACAGTGCAGGTAAATAAGGCAGTAAAAAAAGGCTTAAGGCATGTTTTCCATCATTGGAAGGGGCATTAAATATAAGGATAGGCAAGTTATGCTGCAACTTTATAGAAATTTAGTTAGGCCACACTTGCAATATTGCGTACAGTTCTGATCACCACATTACCAGAAGGATGTGGATGCTTTGGAGAGAGTACAGGAAAGGTTTACCAGGATGTTGCCTGGTATGGAGGACTTTAACTATGAAGGAAGGTTGGACAGACTGGGTTTGTATTCACTGGAACGCAGGAGGTTGAGGGGCGACCTGAAAGAAGTTTATAAGATTGTGAATAGCATGGATGGAGTGGAAAGTATGAGGTTTTTTCCCAGGTGGAGGGGTCAATTACTAGGGGACATAGGTTCAAAGTGCGGGGAGGGGAGGGGGATGCAAGTTTAAAAGAGATATGTGAGGCAAGTTTTTCAGACAAGGAGTGGTGAATGCCTGGATCGCGCTGCCAGAGGTGATGGTGGAGGCAGACACACCAGCAGCATTTAAGAAGCAACTGAACAAATACATGAATAGGAAGGGAATAGAGGGATACAGATCCTGAAAGTAAAGACACAGTTTTAGTATGGAGGGCAAAATGTGTCGGTACCATCTTGGAGGGTCAAAGGGCCTGTTCCTGTGCTGTATTGTTCTTTGTATAGTATTAATTACTTTTATAGTTCAGAGACTACTTCACGTACCAACTGGAGATCTGGGCCATTTTTTCCCAATAGCAGAGATTCAAGGAGAGCGCAGAGAGTTGTGACCTTACTAATGTCAACCTGAGAAATGGCTTGTGTGCATTTCTTGTTCACAAAGTGCAGACCATTTTCGACGCAGCTTGCAAAAAGTCCCATTAGATACTGCTGTGGTTCAAGAGGTATCTAAACAGACATAAGATATATATTTAGTATTCTATTGATTTCTTTTTAGTTCAGAAGTATTAATTATCCTTATTGTTCAGACATTAGATTGAATTCCACATTACACTATATAATTTTATAACTCCAGAGCACTTAATTGATCACAGCAAGAAAAATAATCAAAATAAACACCAATGTTTTGTCAACTGTTACACAGCAAGGATTTTTTGATTAAGGAAGTTTTTGGCACACAAGCCCATTTCCAAAAAAAGCAAAACAACAATAACTTTAACATGTTTAACATTCTTCAGTCCCTGCCACAATCTCAACACTGAACCATTAACTCCATCCCCTCTCCATCCACAACTCAAGGCAAAACTGAACTGTTTGCAATCTCAAAGTTCCAATTAACATTGAGATGAGCTTTCTAAGCCTTAGTTCTTCAATCACCAAGGTAACAGTTCCACTAACATAGCAAATCTCTGGCACTGCCTCAGCTCAGATGTTGTTGAAACTCTCATCCAAGCTTTGGCTATTTCTAAAAACCTAACTATTCCAATATTCCACTGACAACCCTGCATCTTCTACTCTCTACAAGCTACAAATTATCCAAAACTCCATTTCCCATTTTCTAATTCCAACCAAGTCCCATTTACCAAAAAACCCATGCTGGTTGACAAACATCTTACAGCTTGATTTCAAAATTCTCAGGCTCATGTTCAAAGCTCTCCATAATTTTGCTTCTCCTTATCTTTGTAAGATCCTCAAAGCATGCAATTATAATTTTGACCTCTTGCCTCTTTGCTTTGCTATACAATTGGCAGCTGTGCCTTTAGCTTTCTGGGCCCAAAACCCCGGAATTCCCTCCTTAAATCACACCACGTACACTGCTTCATTTAAGTTGGTTCTCACAGCCTATGTCTTTGATCAAAAAGTTAGATCACTCATCTTAATTTCTTTTAATGTTGCTCAGTCTCTAATTTTGTCAAATAATGTTGCCTTGTGACTTTTCGAGAAAACTGAGTTAAAATTACAGGACAGCCCCAATAAAAAGTGACTGGAGGTTGATCCTCATATTCAAAGCAGGATCTAAGCTGACTTCCAGGGAGTGTCCTGCATTTCTGTTGAAATCAGCAGATTGAAATCCAAATGCCACAAGGAGGCAGTACATTCGAAAGAGTCAACATCCTTAATTTAGCCTCTGTTCCTCCCATATACAGTTTGTGTCCCTCTCTCCCCACCCCAAGTGCTCTTAAAACTCAAAGTTTCCACCCAAGTTTTCTTGGCCCCCGAAAAATCAAGTGATGTGTTCCAAGAGCTTAGGAGAGCTTTGAGGTACGGTAGCTGGGCCATACATGTAAGGGGTTTGCATGTACAAGGAGAATTTCTCCTAAGTCACAGAGCAGTGCTCAGGAAATCACTCACTCCAGCACTGCTGTGCCAGAGCGGGAGAATTGGGTATCCTGGCATCTGTCCATGAAAAACAATTTCAGCGAGGGCTTCTCAATATCCAGGGAACTATTTTTCCATCATAGTAAAGAGAAGTAAACAATACTTTCTTGTATCTAAAATGGTGGATGTGGAAATGCTAAAATCCTTAAAATGCACAAAACAATTTAAATATGAAAATGTCTTAAAAAGGATTTGGAGCAAAATAGAAAATCCTCCAGGATTATATTGGTAAGGTAATATCAAGTGTTCATTAAATAAACATGCAAACATCCCTGGTCTTCCTTAAATTCAGGAGGAGACGAAATGGCTCTAAAGGAGTTTGTCTTTAAAAGACCACTTTCATTCTACTACACTTGGATTACAATTTACAAATTCTGCATCTTACGCGATCTGCATGGCTAGCCATCCATGTTTGCACATATGGCATCCATTTGAGTTCATCTGCATCAATGTAAACCATCCCACATCTGCTAACAGTGGCAGGAGAGGCCACCTTTAAGTCTTGCACCTGGAAGGTAACAGAAATAATTTCTCATAAATTAGCCATCTATTTCTGTTGCTGACTATTGTGTAACAGCAATGCAATCAGAATTAATTAATAACACATTGACTATCGCCACCAAATTATTTACAAAGCTGTGAAAATATCTGACCATTTTAATTAGGTCACATATGGACTGCAAAAGGCACACTTCAGAATAAAACGTTGCCACAAAAACAGCAAAGTGAATGCAATACATGTCTGGCACTATGTCAGCGTAGTGTTTGTTAGTACAAGCAACTGTCTGAAAAATAGATTGCCCTGATCACTTAAATAATGCTGTTACTAATGTAGGCCAACCCTTTGGCAGACTGTTAACACTGTAGAGACTTTGGGTTTGAAATGTATTCTCACAGAACTGTGCAAAACTGGGAAGACAGTAGCAAGTTGGGACATGTTTGATTCAGTACTGGCTTTTGTATTAGCTGTAATCAGCCATGGCATTAGCATCCTGTTTCCATGTCTCCATGAAAGCTTCCATGACAGCTAAGTGGCGCAACTCATTCTGATGGCAATTCGTACACTTTCAAAGCATTCTCCTGCATAAAACTCATCAGACCAACATACCTTGCAGATGTATGCATTGGTCTCTTTCCAGGCATCACCTCATCTCCCTTTCTGGTCACCCACCCTTCAGCCTCACCTTTATGCTATGCCTCAGGTATCCTCCAGGAAGTTTGTCTTTCATTCCTCTCCATACAACCAATTTCTCACAAACTCAATTCTCTGTTGGCTCCCTTTCAGGCTGAGAGAGCAGAAAACTCAAAGAGCAGGAAGTGGGGGTGGGGGTGGTGCTGGTGCTGGTCTGGTGAGATCCACCTTGGCAACTTATCAAATTCTAGTCATGGGCACCCACATAGTCAACTGTAAAATTCAGCCTGTTCCAGGCGTTTGCAGATGGTAACAGTGATCTATTGCAAAGGCCCAAATCTTCTGCTCAAACATATTGCATACTGAGAGAGGGGAACATTTATCCTCCATCTGCGTTGCATATTGAGCGAGTTGATCCACTATCCTCTGCCTGCTTGTAGACCCCATGATATGGGTCTTGTCTTTTTTTGAGTAGTCCTCCATGTCTGTTATTTCTACCTTGTGGTGACATGTGGTTGAAGAGAAAACAGCTGTTGCAGATGCTCCTATTTGTTTTTCTCATGTTATGTTCTTGATCAAAGTCAGAAAAGAGAGCTGCATAAGCTGTTTTCAAAGGGTGAACTGCAAGAAAGAGCAGATAAAGCTGAATGAAGTTGAAGACAGGTGAATTGACTTTCAAGAAGTTGGAGATGACCTGTCAAACAGAATGAAGCACTCTCAGACATAATACTGTGAGCAGTAACCTCTCACTCAGACATGGCTGCAGTTTCATTGTTTGAAGGTTTCCCAGTCTATCAGATTCACTGGACTAGCACTCCAGCTGTGCTCTTTCCTCACTGGCATTGGGTGTTCAATCTGTGTTCAAAGCTGTGTTCAATCTGGAGTTAAGTATATTTTGGAAATTTAGTGAATCACCTGCATACCCTCCTGGATGAAACTGAAGAGTGGACAGTGTATTGAGTTCCCAAACCAACATCACTTTCCAGCTCTTTAACAGCTCCCTCCCCATAACACTCACCTGAATTCCCCCTTCATAGGTAGTTAAAATGTTGCCTTTTGACACCGATATTCCATAAGTCTGGTGCAGTCACATAGTCTAAAGACAAATATATTAAACAAAACTAGAATTGTTTACCTCAAAAACCATGTGAATATATGGAGTGAGTTTAATCCGTTCACTGTTTGCAAGGCACAGCATCTTGTTATCATCAAGAACTGTGTTCATATTCTCAATCCACAGTGCATCGACAGGACCATCACAAATAATCCATTTGTGGTGACGACTTACATCATTCACAGCTGCACGAACACTAAGTGCCATTAGTCCATCATTCCACTCCATTGTCACATTATTTACTTCACCATATAGTTCACCCATTGTGATTGACTTGGGGTTTAGCACATATGTTTTTACTGGCTGATAGTTTGGGTCTTCCTCTCCAGCGCTGTGCAAAGTCCCAAGAGTATCTGCCAAAACTTGGTAAACTGTAGTTTTTCCACTTCCAGTTGGTCCAACCAACATAACACCATGCCGCACAATCATGGTTTCATACAACTGTATGACCTTCACAATCATAGTAGAGATAGGTTGCAGGCCACGGTTAAGCATAACATCAATAGTTGTTTTCTGGAATGAACCATAATCATGGTCTGGAATAACAACGCCTGGAAATAAATCTGAAAGGATTCCACTGAAGGAAAAAGAGAGAAAAAAATAAATCGCCATAGTCCACTGTCAAACCATTTCAAAGCAATGTACTATTCAATATTCTTCACCTTATTAACGTATGAGCATGATCAATTTTACTGAGATCTTTTGAAGAACACAGTGAATTAGTATTTTCAGGGTTAAATGAAATTATGGCATTTCAAAAGGATGTGAACAGATTGAAGAGGATAATATTGAATTTCTTGCTCAGATGGTCAAATGAAAGAATTCATTCTGTACCCAAAAAGCACTGCGTCATCTGACAGAAATTTTGGTAGGTTAGAATCTCTCAAGGCTCTAATCAACACAACATCCTCACTCAAATCTGGGTTCGCTCTCTTCAGAGACCTAAACCAAAGAAACAGAATGGAATATTAAATTATCTTCAAACCTAAATACATAGAACTAAATACACATCAAAATGATATTTTGGGCAAATCAGTACTTTTATTCTCATGAAATGATTACATATATGAATATATACATTTGTGAAATCTGCTTTAGAACAGTAAAATCTACAAAATATCTAATTACCACATTTACTTTAATATGATTATGGTATCACTGGAAGTCTTGTACATCATGGAATGGTCCTATCCACTGTAATGAGGGCTATGACTTTAGACAAGCATGAGATTAAATTCAGGAGAAACATGATTATATGCTGTTCCATAACAATTAATTCTGCCTATATACACATTAGTATAACATTTATCTACACTTATTTGACATCCATACATTTCCTGCCTTCCTAACAGTCCTTTGTGCTTTCAAGCTCTCCCTCTTCCATCTCACATTGCACCATACATGTTTTCTTCATTTGGGGTGTGTATCTTTCCCTTCAACATTACCATCAACTATTCCAGAAAATGACTCCTCCAACAATTCTCCTTGCGATTCTTAAATATGATACATAATTTTCCATATTTTCAGAAATCTCAAAGAATTTCGGTGGTTGCAGGCCAACAATTTAACACTCCTATTTAGCTTGTCAAACATTTTTACAATTTCTTTTCAGATCTTTACATTAGATAAAGTTGTAAGCGTTCATGTCAATGTGGTTTTATTTAGCTGTTGGTTCTTAGGGTGTGGTAGTTTCTGGAAGCTATTCTTGCCCTCGAAGATATAAACCAGCATCTTGAACCATTGCCATACGTGTGGTGTTTGTATTCCCACAGATTTGGATAAGAAGCTTCAGGATTTTGAGACGGCAGTGGGGGAGGAAAGTCAACATATTTCAAATTCAAAATGGCGTTTGACTCAGGAAGGGAATGTGCAGCCGGTGGTGAACCCATGAGCCTGCTGCCCTTGTTCTTCTAGGTAGTAGGGATTGCAGATTTCGAAGGTACAATCAAAAAAAGCTTGGTGACTTGCAGTGGCATACCTTGTAGATAATACATACTGCCTGCACTCTGTTCCAGTGAATGTTTAAAGTGATGGATGGGGTGCCAGTCAAGCATGTTATTTTGACTAGGACAGCATCTGGTTTCATAAATGTTGGATCTTCACTCATCTGGGCAGGTGGATTGTATTCCATCACATGCCTGGCTCAGCCTTGCTAAGACAGCATTTGAGTTGCTCCATATTTACATGGTCGGTCCAGCTCAGTTTCTTGTCAATGGTAACATTCAGGTTGTTGACATTGGGGAATTCAGCAATAGCATGCTGCTGAATGTCAAGGAGAGTTGGTTAGATTCTCTCCTTTTTTGGAAATGGTACTCATGTGGCATGAACGTTACTTGCCACTTGTCAGCCCACAAACTGAATGTTGTCCAGGTCCTGCTAAATGCAGGCCAGGCTGTTTCACAGCTTTTGGGGAGATCGAAATGAACTGAGCACTCAACAATTATCAACAAAGGTCCCCAATCTGATATTTTAATGGAGAGCCATTCATTAATTAAGCCACTGAAAATAGCTCAGCCCAGGACAAGACAGCATTGTCTTGATCTACACTGAACAGCACCTTAATAATAATGATTTTCAGCAGATTAATACCAAATTTTATTCATGAAAAGACAAAGGAAAACCAACATTTATGCTATATTGATAACTGCCTATTGAGAAGAACATCATTTCTTTGTTAAATAGTACACAGTATACATTTACATCACAGAAACAGGCAAATTGGACAACTAATTTACGCCATTGTTTGTGCTCCACATGTACCTCCTCACAGCTTTCTTCATATAGTACTAAGAACAGAATATTGCATTCCTTTCTCCTTCATGTATTTACCTAGCGTCATCAAAAATGAATCTATGTATTCTTCTGAACAACTCTGAGTCATTGCAAATTCCACATTTTTGCCACTGTTTACGTAAAATGTTCTGCTGAATGCCTCAGTGGATTTATCAGTAACTACGCATTGACATTTAAGGCACATTTGGCCCTTTGCATCACAAATCTGGTAAAACAAGTCCCATTTTCCAACTCTTGGCCCATTGACCTGGAGGCTGCAGCACTGGAAGTGAATATCTAAACAAAGCTTCAATAAACGTGCTGTGGAAGGGTCACCGGACCCGAAACATTAACTCTGTTTTTTCCTTCATAGATGCTGCCAACCCTGCTGAGCTTTTCCAGCAACTTTGTTTTTGCTCCTTTTAGCCTTTGTTGCTAAGGGAAACAACCCCAGTCTATCCAATTGCTCAGGTCTTCCAGATTCTGGTAAATTTCCTCTGCGCTCTCTCTAGGGCAATTGCATCCTTCCTACAAATAGGAGACCTGAATTGCAAGCAGTATTGCAGTGGTGGCCTAACCGACATTTTATACAGTTCCAGCATTAACAGCCAGCACTTGTATCCTATGCTTCAGCTAATAAAAGCAAGTATGCCATATATGTCTTATTAATCACCTCTTGTACCTTCAGGAATCCATGTATATGCACATGAAGGACCCTCTAATGTTTAATACTTTCTATGGTCCTTCAATTTATAGCATAATTCCTTGCCTTGCTAGCCACATCTTTTAGCCAATTTTGGATCCAATGTGCCACTTTGCCTAGGATCCCATGTGTATTCACTTTCCTGACCAGGCTGCCATGAGGGACCTTATCTAAAGCACTGTTAAAATCCACACAGACCTTGTCAAATCCATGATTCTCATCAACAATATTTCATACTTTCCTAATTCTCGCAAGCAGCAATTAACCAAAATGATCCTTTAACAATCTTAAAGATCTTTATCAGGCCAGCTGTCAACCTATCAATCCCTCTTGACAGATATAGTTGCTTTTTCTACAGTCATCCTTGTAAATTGTTTTTGGACCTTCTCTCATGCCTCTATATCCTTTGAATGATTATGGGGTTCAGATTGGTCAACAATGGTCTAATTAAAAATCTATATAAGTTTACCAAAAATTCCTCTGTAATTCAGCTCATTGTGAAATTAACTTTCATGTTTTGTCTACCTTTATGGACTTATTAAACTGTAAAATTATTTGTGGTGGCCTGTGCAGTTGTAGATTTCTCTGTTTCTCTATTTTATTTAAATACTTTTGGCTGGATTTTGTACAATCCGTTGAAGTTTCACCTTTAGAATAGAAAGCCAAGGTGATCCTGCTTCAGTCAACAGCAGGGTCTGGTGAGGCAAATTTTCAGTAGCAGATGATTAAAGCTATAGGGCTAGCAACTCAGCTGTTTCAGTATTACAGCTTCTGCTGGTTGGTATTATTGAAGCTGAAAATGCAAAGAGAGTATGTCTCAACAGCTAGGCAATGTGGGTTTGGGAATCATGGGGGCCAGACAGGCAATCAGGAAGAGGAATCATGAAGCATAGGTGATGCCATTGTCACTGTGGTAGTCATTGCCATTGGGTGGAAATCTCCTTAAGCCATGAAGTGTTCAAAAAATAGGACTCCACTCCACCAAAGGCTGCCATAGGTCGCCAGATTATACAAGGTCTTAACTTCGCACTTTAGTCACTTAATTGAGCTTCTAGTAGACAAACTTCCTACTGGTGGCAAAATGGTATGGCAATGGGAAGGGGTCTGGCATGCCCAATGCTTCCCAAACAATTTGACTTCCTGAACATTTCTTCATTTTCCAAGGAACACATGACATCTTTACATGAGTTGGGAATTTCTGCCTCCACCACCAAATCAGGCAGCAAATTTTAGACACCCATAACTCACTAGGAAAAAAAGATTTTTCCTTATGTTCCCATATACCAATTTCCTTAAATCTGGCCTGATGATGAACTTTTCTGCTAGGGGAAGAGGGTCTTTTCTACCTATTCCATCTAGTACCCTTATAATTCTGCACACCTCAATTAAGTCATCTCTCAAGCTCCTCTTTTCCAAGATCTAACTTTTACTCTTTGCCGCAATTTTCAAGTCCTGACAACATTAATTTAAATCTCCTGAACAATTTTGTTCTTCCTGTCATGCAGTGAGCAGAACTATACACAAAATTCCAGCTGTGGTCTAACCAGTGTCTTATTTAGTTCCAGCATTACATCACTGCTTTTGTATTCTACACTTCATCCAAAAAAAAGAAAATTTTCCCTTTTTTTCTTTCCCACATTATCTGTTCTTGCTTCAGGTAGTTAATGTTGGAGAAACACAAGTCTAGTAGCACCAGAAAAAGAAACAAAGCAAATGTTTCAAGTTCAAAAACTGTTCTTCAGAATTTATCCACCTGTCCTGCCACTTCCAAGGGCCTATAACCATGCACTCCAAGATCTCTCAATCCCTCTATTCCCCTCAGTGTCCTCCCATTAATTGTGGATTTTCTAGCTTTGTTTTCCCTCAGCAAATGCACTACTGCACATGTACATAGGTTGAATTTCATTCGCTATATTTCCACCTACTCAGCTAAACCATTTATATCATCCCGGAGTAAGTCTTTATCCTTCTCACTATCAACTACAAGTCAATTTTTGTATTATCTGCAGACTTTTCAAATATGCCTCCCACAATCAAGTCCTAAACATTAATATACACCTTAAACATCACCGAACCAAAACAGAGTCCTGTGGAACACTACTAGAAACTGCCTTCCATCTGTAAAAACATCCATCAACCATTACCCTTTTTTCCTGTCACTGAGCAGTGTTGGATCCAACTTGCCAAATTTCCATATATCCCACTGGCTTTTACTTTTCTGACCAGTCTGCCATGTGTGATCTTGTGAAATGTCTTTCTAAAATCCATAAAGGCAACATCCACTGAAATACCATAGAATCCACAGAATGTTTTGATAATCCATAGAATCCCTATAGTGTGGAAGCAGGCCATTCAGCCTATCGAGTTCACACCAACCCTCTGAAGAGCATCCCACTCGGACCCACCACCTACCCTATCCCTGCATTCCCCGCTCCTAGACACTATGGGCAATTTAGCATAGCCAATCCACCTAACCTGCACATCTTTGGACTGTGGGAGGAAACCAGAGCACCTGGAGGAAACCCATGCAGACACGGGGAGAATGTGCAGACTCCACACAGACAGTCACCCAAGGCTGGAATTGAACAGGTCCTTGGTGCTGTGAGGCAGCAGTGCTAACCACAGTGCCACCCTAATACCCTCATCAATCCTCCTTGATATTACTTAAAAAAAAATCAAGTCAGTCAAGAAGATAAAAACCTCCATTAACAAAACCATACTGACCATCCCTCATTAATATATGCCGAAGTGACAATTTCCCATCTTTTAAAATTAATATTAATAATTTACCCAAAGTTAAAATGATTGACCTATAACTATTAGGTATATCCCTTGTCTTACCAAAAATCTTTTGAAAATCCAAAAACACTTCATGTGTTACCCTCATAGCCACTGTTCTGTTACTTCTTCAGCAGATTTCATGAGATTAGTTAGCATAACCTTCCGGTATCAAATGTGCGCTTTTATATCTTCAGTCTTTTCTTGCTTACTGTTATAACTTTGAGCAAGGATTTTGTTACTTTTCCTACAACCAGTATTAAGCAAATTGATCTCTGGACCTCTCACTTTCTAAATACAGAAATTATACACTAGCTGTCCATCGATCTTTTTGGCTATTCCATCTCTAAATCAATCATATGTATAAGCTTCTGCTATCTCTTCATGTATTTATTTTAATGATCTATTCATCAAGACTAATATTATAGCATGACCTAATTAATTCTACTTTAATTTTCAGGACCCATCTGTAAAGCCATAGGGTAGATTTTGAACTTGGTGTCCAGAGCATAAAACTGATGAAACAATGTGGAACAATTCAAATGCATGGGAAGAAAGTGGCCAAATGGTAACATTGTTTAATTAATAATAGAGAGGACCAAGCTAATGCTTTGAGGACATGAGTTCAAATCCCACTATAGTAGCTGATCGAATTTAAATTCAACTAACAAAATCTGGAATTGTAAACTAGTCTCATTTTGGTGACCATGAACCTATCATTTATTGCAAAAACTTATCAGGTTCACTCAAGTCCTTTAGGAAAGGAAATCTGATACCCTTAACTAGTCCAGCCTTCACATGACTCCAGACCCTCAGTAAAGCGGTTGATTCAATTTCCTTTAAAATTGCCTATCGGCTAGTTCAAATGCTGTTCTTGCAGTGACACCCACAGCCACAAAAGAATAAAGACATTTCCATTGATTTCAATCATAATCAGGTGATTTCTTTAATGCTCATTTTAATGACCTGCACAGTCACCAGCCTTACATTCTAACAATAAGTAGAGAATCAATCCCCAGTTAGAGATAAGCACACCAACTTGTTGCTTACCCAGCCATGACAAGCACAGACTTGACTGCTCTCATACCAAAGTCATAATGATCCTGCTGGGATAGTTGTTCACTGCATAATTTGTACATCTGGGTCATCTTTCGTGCCAAAACCTTACTAGATTCAAAACCCTCTGAATACAAGATGACCTAAAACAAAAAATAGGTAAATAAATAGATAAATAAATAGATAAGAGGATCATAATGTCTTTTAATTGTATTTATCAATAACTTACTTGAAGAAACAGAGTCAGATGCTCTAGTTGCTGCCAAGACGAAATCAGATGGTGCACTAAGTGGTATAGATTAGAACAGAAAGTTGCAAAATTGACAGATTAAGTGATTATGTAAAAGTGTGGTAAATATCTTGAGCGTGGAGAAGTATGAGATAATTCAGCTTGATTTAAGAAAGGCAGAGCAACTTATTTTCTAAATGGCAACAAAGTAGGAATTATAAAAGGAGAGTCAAAAATTAGAGGTCCATGTACGCACATCACTAAATAATAGTAGACAGCTAAAAATATATAAAGGTCAAAAGCATGTTGCACTTTATCTCAAAGGCGTTAGAAAACAAAGCAGTAAAAAGTTATGCTATTATTTAATAAAATACTGATTAGTGCCCATTCAAAGTAAACATTCTGATCTGGTCGCTGGACCTCAGGAAGGATTCATCAACATTGGATCAGATGAAGCACTGAGTGTTAAATGATCAGGACAAGTTGCACAGTCTGTGCTTTTATCCCTTGATTATAAAGCATCAAGAGTGAACTAGCTGGGGTATTTATGATGATTAGAGGCAAAAGTGGCATAGATTTGCATTTGTATGTGGTCTTTCATGATCACCTGGTGTACAGTCAATTAAATACTTTGGAAGCATAGTCACTTCTGTATGTAGGGAATTGTAATGGCTAAGTTGCACACAGCAAGCTCCCACTAAAGACCAGATGGTCTGTTTTTGTGATATTAGGCTGAATCTTGTTGTGGGATCAGAGATCTTGCTCGTGAGCCGGATGGCCAATAATAGACTTGGTGTCTCTCCAAACATCAATCAAGCAGTGGTAAAGTCACTAGGGGCTCAAGCCCTGCCCAGCAAAGAGCTTCCAGCCAGCCAGAGGCTGGTAGATCTTCAGCCTAGCAGGATCCTTGACCAGGCTGCCACCTTCAGGATCATGGTCTCTCCCCTGCCAGGTAAGTAAAGGTAACATACATTGACCATTCTTAACTGTCCTTAAGGGGGTGCTGATGAGCCATCTTCCTAAACTGCTGGCATCTATGTGATGTAGGTTTTTCTTGCTAAAAATAAATTAACTGCATTTGAAATTTATGGTCTTACTTTTCTTCAAGTTATTTTGTAAAGTTAATTGAGCAGAAACTGCTCAAGGTTGAAGAAAAGTTTGATTAGTCCAGCTAACTGAATAACATTGTTCCTATTATTTAATTATTATAAACCAACAAAGAAAGGAATAAGACATAAACAAAGGCATCAGTACAATTACCTCAGCAATAAGGGCATAGTTTGGAACCATCATTGCAATGGGTCTAAAAAGAGCCTTTAAATTGTCAGGTAATTCTGTTCTTCCAGCATAACCTGGGTTCATAGTAATGAATGCTGCACAAGACATAACCAATTTGATCTCTCTACCTTCAAACATGAAACGAGAAAGCTGCAGAAAAAGAAAATAGCATTACTGTTATTCATGCTGTTTTCCAAAGTTTTCAATTCTCATCTACCAAAATGATGGCCATTGGTTTGGCGAACCACCTTTCCCTCCGCCCAGTGAAAATTTATCCCCATGTGGTATTACACAAACTTACAACCTAATTATTGAGCTTTTTCGGTATTTGAATAATGTGTTACCTTAGCTGCTTTAGCGTTTCTAATTGTGATGAGCTGCTGAGCAATGACAGAAAGCACTTCAATATCAATCCGGTTGAACTCATCAAAGCAGCACCAAGCTCCTGACTGAGCTAAACCACTGAAGAAACGTCCCATCATCTGGAAAAGAATATAAATTTAGTCATTGCACATTAATTTATGACGCAGAATAATGGTTGTAAACCAAAAAAAAACGGTAATAAAGAGCTTTTGCTCATTCTTTATTGCATAATCTATAATATTGTCCATTAAAGCGATAATGATATACACATTAAAGAGATTTGGAAATTCTGTCTTCATATCAATTGAATTTCCTGCATTTCTCATTAACCTACCTTGTAATCTAAACCTTCAGAGCAATTAAAAACAACGCATTGGATGGCTAGGGCCTTGGCAAGATCTTTGGTTGTTTCTGTTTTACCAGTACCAGCAGGGCCAGCTGGAGCTCCTCCTAGATCTAGCTGTAATGCTCCCATGAGGCAGAGGTAACAACGGTCCTAAGGTAACCAAGACAATTTAATTATTTAATCCCTTTTCTGCCAAATTTTAATACAGAATTAATGTACTGCCCATTTACAAAACAGACTGAATGCCATCCTGTTAGTTAGCATGTTTTCCTTCCAACAGTACAGACATACAATCTCTTTACAGTTTCCTAATTTTTCTATGCTGGCATATTTCTCTTATTCAAATATGGAAATAACTGAGGTTATTTTCTTCGTTAACGTTGGGAAAATGGAGATAATAAAGACAGGCCAATCAGCATGTGCTATTTCAGACTTTAAATAAGCTGCCAAACAGAAGCCCTGCTTTACTTTGCATAGCCCTAAGATTTGCCTCATGGAAGAGGCTTTGTACATTTTTAAAAAGAAATTTCTGGTCAGGATACAATAAACTTATCACAGACTGCATAAGAATGTTTATATCAAGTGATGGAATCACTAATCTCCCTCAAGCTTTAACAGTACTTTTTCACACCACCACCAGAGGGGTAATTTATAAATGAGACAGTACTTGTAGCACTAAAACAAGCTGAACTTCTGCACTGTTCCCACTACCAGCAGTGAACCATTATTGCTATTTGCATTATTTGCTCCCTACTTTAAATTTCAAGTAACTACCATCTTCACTAAATGTGCTTACAGTAAGTGGTGTAATGACCAACCGAGGAGATGCTCCCAGGTACTCATAGCCATATGTATAAATAGATAGGGCCATCATAGCCACACAGTTGTCTGCATCAAGATCCCAGTAATAGCGTAGCTGTCTCTGCCACTCAAAATTATTTACTGTGTCCACCTACAAAAAAAAGAAGTGAAACAATGGTTATCATTAACAGAAAACCGAGTAATTTAAACAAGCTTTTTTCACATTTATCAATGTTTTGGTATCTAATTTTCAAATGACATCAAAATGTAAAACTGAAATATACAGGGGATTTTAAACGGCATCTGGTGACAGGAGAAAATCCATATTCTCAGCTATATTCCCAGCTACCAGCATCAGAATGAGCCCCTTGTTAATTTTAACTGTTGGGTTTTACTCTTCCAGACATAATTTCATATCAAAAGGGCAGATATCAGTAGATAGGGATGTTAAGAATTAAGGTTCTAAAATGCTTTTCCTGCCCATTCTATTATATTTCCCATAGGGGTATCAAACGCTACTGCATTATTTTTCTAATTTTACTTCAATTTTTCTACTTAGCCTTGAAACATTTAATTCCATCCCTTTCATCTCAGTCATGTTTATGTTGCACTCCTAGCATTTTATAATTCCATATTTCAAGGTCAGTTCATGGTTTGATTTTCCACATTATTACCAATTCAACCAGCTTGTGTGGCCTGTCATTCAACTCAAAACGTCTAATATTCCACCCACAAACATTATCTTGAACGGTTTTCATTATTATCAAGGTGGTCCAGGTTTTGTTATGGCCACTGTGTGTGAAATGTTCTTCTATTGTTGGGACGCCTACTTATCATTCATTACTCAAAACCAAAAATAGCAATTCATCTTGTTTTTGCAAGGATATGCTATTTGTTCAACTTTGCTAATGCTGCGACCCTTTGTAATTTATCCAAACACCCTTCTCTATTTAAATAGAAAGAACTATGGATGCTGAAAGTCTGAAACTTTGTGTTAACAGTGTTAACACTTCAAGTTCAGTGATGCTTCAGCAGAAAGTCAAAATGTTAAATCTGTTTTTCTCTTAACAGATACTGCCAGACTTGTGTTTATCTAGCACCCTGTTTTTGTTTCACCCTCCTTAATTTGTTCTCCTTGTTTGCTGTATACTCTGTTACAATTATGAGGTTTAAAGGATTATTATATTTTGATATTATAACTTTAAAAATAGGGTAAATGAAAGGGTGTGTATGACCTGTTCTGAAGTCTGCATTACAGTAAACTTGGAGATAGTAAAAATTGCCAATGCTGGAGTCAGAGATAATAGAGTGTGGAGCTAGAGGAACACAGCAGGCCAGGCAGCATCAGAGGAGCAGGAAAGTTGATGTTTCTGGTTGGGACCCCATTTCTGAAGAAAGGTCCTGACCCAAAACATTAAACTTTCCTGCTCTTCTGATGCTGCCTGGCCTGCTGTGTTCCTCCAGATCCACACTGTGTTACAGTAAACTTAGACCACTTGTTAGAAATCAAAGGAAAGCTAACATAACTTATTGAGAATAAGCTGCAAAGTATTTGTACTCAGATGATGGCAGCGGTCTCTTAATTTTTAATAAGTAGAGGCTGAATCTCCTAAAGTCCCAGAAGGGTGTTGGAGATACTGTTCTGTAAAGGGTCATTTACTTCTGAAATGAAAATAAGTTGGGATCAATGATTGCTAATTCGCATTTTTGTGATCCGTTTACTAGCTTCACTAAAAATTAATCAATATCACAGTTCATACACATACACATGGCAGTTCTGTATGAAGTCAGCATGACTGACGAAGGAGCAGTGCTCCAAAAGCTTGTAATTTTAAGTAAATCTTGTTTGACCAAAGCCTGGTGTCATGTGACTTTTAATTTTGTCCACCCCAGTCCAACACCAGTATCTCCACATCAAGTTCTGCACGGTCAGAGAGAAAAGACGTGGTTCTACAGGTTACCACTAATAGACATGACAGACAAATTGTCTTTGGCTGAAAAGACTTTTCTTTCTGCCATCGAGCTATACCAGGAAATGAAACTAACATGGCTGGGGCAAGACGAATCATTGGGCCAGGTTTTAACTGGTTTGAGAAACTTGATAAATGAAGGGAAGCAGCTGGAGATGGTCAGTCAAAGCTACAACAGGAATGCAAAATCAGTTGGAAGATAGGATTTCCTGTAGACTACTTGCTAGAGACTGTGCCTATTTATAATGTGGAAAGTGGCAGATATTATAAAGAAGACATTGTTGCAATGTTGTAGCCGATAGCAACATATATTTAGGCATGAAATGATGAGAATAAATTTTTTGAGCTTGCTATTTAACTATTTGCTGGTTACGGCATTATCAGTGCTCATAAATTAATGAAACAAAAGTAAAAAAGTACGCTTAATCTAAAGTGCAAAGGGATTTAGGTATTCTATTGTACGAGTTATAAAATTTAATATGCAGATATAGCATATAATTAAGGCAGCTAATTGAATGCTATTCTTTATTCAGACAGGAACTGAAAATAAAAGAATGGAAGACCATATCTCAAATATTGTGTACGGTTTTGGTCTCCTTATTTGAGAAAGGATGTTTTTGCATTGAAGAGGGCTCTGAGGAGATTTACCAGATTGATAGTTGGAATGGGTGGACTGTCTCAGGAGGATAGTTTGGGCAGCCTGTGCTTGGTTCAAAAGAAGTTTAGAAAAGTGAATAGTGACCTCATTGAAGTGTGTAAGGTTCTGAAAAGTCTTGAAAATGAAAACGATGTTTTTTCTTCCCCCTGAACTCAGAGACATAGTTTTAAATTTTGGATTCTCTTCTTCAGGTCCAAGATGAGGAGAATTATTTTTATGAGAGTTGTGTACTTTGGAACACTCTCCATCTGAAGGCAATGGAAACAGAATCATCGTACATTTTTAAGGCAAAGGTAAATAAATTCTTGCTAGGCCAAAGAATCAAGGATTTTTGGAGCTAAATGGGAATACAGAATTCAAAACACAGACAGATCAACCATGTTCTGAAGAAGGGTCACTGAACATGAAACATTAACTCTGCTTTCTCTTCACAGATGCTACCAGATCTGCTGAGTTTTCCCTGCAATTTCTAGATTTGTTTCTTATTTAATTGTGGAGCAAACTCATGGAGCTGAAAGGGCTACTCCTGCTCCCTATTTGTATCCATGCATGTTTACTTTTGAACTAGAACTTCTGAGAACTGGGAAAAGACCACTTTGACTAATAGCATTGTTTTCAACAATGAGGCACAAGTCGTGGCAACAAAATTTCTTGCAATGATAGATACCTTTTCTTTCACCAGCTCAGTGACAATGTCTCTTGCATGAACATCAACGGTTATGAGTGCAGTCACAATACTTCGGTGCAGGGTTAAGAGCTTCCCTCGAACCAAAGCAGCTAGAGCATTAAGTCTCTATAAGGAGACATAATATCATTACACAGCATTTTTCAGTCATAAACAGTTCCCATTGGTATAAAATTGTTGAAATCCTTCAAAATAATGCATACTTATTTACATTTCAAACTAAATTATTGCTTCACAATCATGTATTCACGTCTAAAGTGATGTAGAAACTACAAGTTCATTTCATTTTTAAAAAAATGCTATTAATAATGTGGCTTTACAAAAGATATTGTTACTATAGGGCTCAGAGATCCTGTACAGAGTGCATACCAAATGAAGTGCCCTACTTTGACAGTCTGACATTGAGGGTGTGAGGACTTTGATTTTTTTTAATGTCATCCAGTATCACTGGATTTTACCTTGCGCCATTATCACTTTCTATTATTTAATTTCTTCTATTTCCCAAACAATCTTTGCATTTGGTTCTCTCCCCCTTTCTTTTGTTCAATACTCGCCTTACCTGTCACACCTCTCAGTTTTACCCACTCAATGAAGGCAATAAAAAGCACAACATTTGTGAGAGTGCACCACCTAATGGTTAGGGAATTAGTGAGAATCAGGAATTACTCCATACGGACCTCACCCCACCACCTCACTGCCCAATGTATTTACCAGATGCTCACTGGGATAGTGTTTAGTCTCCCTCACATTGATTGGGATGCCACTCCAAAATCTGCTGGCCAATTGAGGGCTGGCAAATCGCAGCTAATGAAAGGGCCATTTTTATGGGCTTCCTCTTCCCAAAGCTAGGTTCCTTGTTAGAGCACACAAGGCCTGTGAATGAGTAACACCCTGTCACAACCCCATCCTACCTCAAACTACTCCACAAACAAACATGGTAGAAATCGGAGGGTGGCTTCCCTGCATAGGGAGTACTTTGGTTGAACACCAGCGATAGTGGGATGAGGTCCTTAAACAATCCTCAAAGGACTTTAAGCACATCAAGCAGTAAAACTGCCATCCACTCCACTTGATTGTGGAAAAGTGGGAACACAGTGCGAACTCCACACTGCACTTACCCACCACAACAAAAGGGCCCCAAACCTGTCTTAGGTGTGGGTATGCAATTCCGTTCATTGACACTGTCTCTCCCTTCCTAAGTGCTGCCCTGCTGTGTTCTTCCAGAATTTTATGTTTATATTTTGGTTTAAGATTATGACCCCTTGAGAGAAAAACTCTCTCCAGAAAGTCAGGGATTATCTTTGCATTGCAGGATGGCATTTCATCACCCAGAGAAAGTCAGAGTCAAAGGTGCTTGATGTGTTTCAGCCAGGTCTAATGCTAAATATCAAAGCCAGAGGTAGTAGTAGTGGAGCAAAGAGAGAATCCATTCCAATGTTGGAGTAAAACTTCAGCTCATAAGCCATTCACAAATGATGTAGGAAACTTAATCATGGATTTGGCAGTGGACACATACATTAATTTGTCATTTGAAAAGGGTGTTCAAAACACAAGAAGGGAGCATTGGGGCAGAGAATAAAGCTGGGTGTTATCAATTTAATGGGAATAAAGTGGGGGAGAAAAGTGGGTGTCTGATGGGATGAACTTAGAGAGGACTTGTGGACAAATCTAGAGTGAGAGAAAAGAAGTCAATATTTAGCGAGCACAGGGAAAGAAGGTATGCAGTAAATGATCCTGAACAGATGGTCTCAATCTTCAATGACAAGTTGATAGGATCCTTGCTCTTGTTGAATCTGGGAGTGATTCGGATAGGGAAGAGAAGTTTAAGAACAGCCTGGGTAGTGATGAAAGGAATACAAGTGCATAAGAACTGTGAGCAGGAGCAGCCGATTCAGCCCATTGAGCCTGCTCACCATTTAATATGACCATGGCTGATCTCATCACAGTCTCATCTCCACTTTCCTGCCTGCACTCCACAACCCTTCAACCCATTACTAATTAAAAATCTGCCTCCCCATTGAATTTACTCGAAGTCCCAGCATCAAATGTACTCTGGGTTAGTGAATTCCACAGATTCATGACCCCTTGAGAGAAAAACTCTCCTCCAGGAAGTCAGGGATTATCTTTGCATTGCAGGATGGCATTTCATCACCCAGAGAAAGTCAGAGTCAAAGGTGCTTGATGTGTTTCAGCCAGGTCTAATGCTAAATATCAAAGCCAGAGATAGTAGTCGTGGAGCAAAGAGAGAATCCATTCCAATGTTGGAGTAAAACTTCAGCTCATAAGCCATTCACAAGAATACTTATTAAAGGGAGTGATTTAAGCTTGTTGCAAGTTGAGAAGACTTCAACTAAATAAAAGAACAACTTTGGATTCATGGCCTAGAACAAAATCTTACACGCAAAATAGGTCACCTGAAAATTGTTTAATATAAATGATATAAAGTTCTTATAGAGGCAGCACTTCCAAATGATTCTGTCACATTCTGCCAAATGAAGAACAATACAGCATGGTAACTCTCAGGATTTGAAGCGATCGTAACAAAGGAATTGAACATGTAATTTCTTGCTAATACAAAGAGCAATTGCATTCTTTTAAAAAGACTGCATAAACAAATTCTAAGTCACCTTAAAGTTAGTTTTTTCAAATTCAACAGTGGCTGCAACACGGTCATGGTCATCACTCTCCAGACAATGGTGTAAATCGCGACACCACATCAGCTGTGAAATGGTCAATATGACCTGTGAATACATGAAAAAAATTAATCAGACTGCACCTTTTCTACTATTAGAAAGGAAAATCTATAGTTGCCGTAAAGAAAATCTCTTACATTTGCGCACTTTATTATTATGATTCTCTGATATATTGCAGGATCATAGAATCATAGAATCCCTACAGTTGGCCCATCAAGTCCACATCGACCCTCCGAACAGCATCCCACCCACACCCACCCCCCATCCTATCCCCATAACCCTGCATTTCCCACGGCTAATCCTCCCATGTTGTTCATCATTGTGAATAAAACAGGCAGGCGTAGTATCAGTTTGTGATCAACGTGGGCACAATTCCTGGACATTATGGGCAATTTAGCACAGTCAATTCACCTACCCTGCACATCTTTGGATCATGAGAGGAAACCGAAGTACCCAGAGGAAACCCACACAGACATGGGAGAATGTACAAACTCCACCCAGACAGTCACCCAAGGGTGGAGTCAAACCCAGTCCCCTGGTAGCCACTGAGCCACTGTGCCACCCAGAAGGTCCTTTATATTCAATTAATCATTTTGAAAACCTCTGTTTTCATACAAGCATATACATCAGATACCTTTGCTGTTTATGCAAGTTTAGGCAATGAGATGAGTAACAAATTGTTTTTAGTGGCATACTTCAGAAACAAATGATGAACAGGACATCGGGAAACTTCCTGTTTACTCCTTGTGTTCACAAAACCTATCTTCCATGATGCTCAAATACAAACAAATAAAACATTTTATACATGAGTTTCTGCATTGAAGCCGGTCACCTCCTGCAACAAAGCATACAGATTGTAGCATGAGCATGCCAAGCTTCCAGTACAGAATTCTACCATGAACATTCAACTATGACATCTTCAATGTGAATAAAACTGGCAGACATAATATCAGTTTGTCACCAACATGAGTACAAATTTAGTGGAACAGGCAGGCCCAATCATGGCAGCATGATTCCCATGTCAGTTCTGAACTAATGACCAGTCAAATCCAGATGGCAACTTCTAGGCAACAAACTGAAAATAGATACTACTCCGAGATGAGGTGAGGAATGAGTTATTCTCAGAGGTGAAAGAAGGAAGTATGAATATTTTAAGAGGAAGAATAAAGAGGCTACATATTGTTTGGTCAAGACCATCAGTGAGATATAGGATCAAAAGAATCTAGCATCAAGAAATAACTTATCATTTCTCTGGGAAAGCTTGTGTTGGCTCACAGCTTTCTGCATGACTTTTCCATTGCTATCCTTGTTCTTATTATATTTCCTTTGCTCTTATCTTTGGTAGATGTTATGTTTCCAAATACTTGAATTCTTGCACCTATTCTAATATTTTTACACTTATCAATTTATGAATATTTTTTGGTGATTTTGAAATATGCAACACTTGGTTTCACTGATATTCACTTTCATTTTAAAGTTCATGCCTGCAGTCGTTAGTCAGTCTGCTGTCCAGGTACACAAACTGTCAGAAGTAGCAATTTAGATAATAAGGCCATTAAAAAAAAGCAAACCATGCATGGGGGTTTGTTTTATATAGATAGATATTTTCCATAACTTCCCTGCTTTTCACATGTGCAGGTCCTTGGTTACATTACAGTTAGAGGACTGTGTACAGTTCACAACCATAAAAAACAAACAAAAATACCTCAGAAGTGACAAAAAAAAATGAAGGGATATATTTCTTGTAGTGGGGACTAAAGTACTATAGAGCTGAGGAGCAGCATGAATGCTGCATGAGGGAGAAGATGGAGTGGAATGATGTACTTTGTAGATGGTTGATAAAGTAGGACCTTTCTGATTTCCTGCACTGCACCACATCACAAACCTGAAACATCTGGAAGCTCGTGCAAATGGGATGGGAGAGTATTTGTTTGATAAATATTCATTGGAGGTGGGCAGTTAAAATGGCATCAACTATTGTCACTCTATTTGAATGTAGAGTAAGTACATTTCCAACCTCAGCTGGACAATACAAGATTGGCAAAGAACTTTCAGAAAACCAAATCAAAGAACTGTGAATTCTGGAAATCTGAATCAAAAACAATAAATAGCTCTGAGTTTCTACAGCAATTTCTATTTCGTTTACTTTCAGAAAAGAATTTAATTGCTATACCACATAAGTAACAGTGGTCTGTTTGCTCTTTTTCTCAGTCACCTTGCTCTATGCCTTCTTTATGGCAACAGTCAGTTTCATGTACGCACATATGGGAACAACAGATTGTTTGTGGGCCTCACTGCACCAGTCATCACCTCCAGTGAATTGTCACAGACCTTGCCAGCTATGTTCCCTTTACTCCAAGACATTGTACCAATTTCTGATAATGCTTCACACTTGATGTATGCCAATACGAGCCCTCTCTTACATAAGTAATATTTGCAATTGAATCTGCAAATTAAAATTAAAATTTAGTTTAACATCACAACATCAACCTAGATGGTGAACAATTGGACTCCTTGCTAAGCACGCATATGTTGAAGTGACAGTACAGTCCATCCTCTGTCTGATTTCTGACTGCCCTCTTAAGAAGGCAGATAAATTTTCTGTAGGAACTGAGTAATAGAGATGCTTGGACACTTCGGCATTTGGATTGGTCACAAAAATGAGAAACATTTTTTTAAATATGACCATTAAAATATGTCACATTGCAAGTCCCTGCTCATTACCACCCTTAAACATATTCCAGTCTCAGCGTTAAACTCAGGGTCCTACTGTATGGATAAACAAATGTGCAAAAGTGAGCATGCACTTATAGATGCACAGAACAAATTCACCAAAGCTCTGAAAACCCCAATCACTTACATCTAGAAGGACAAAGGTAGCAAATACATGGGAGTGCCATCACCTGCAAATTCCTGTCCAAGCCACTTACCATCCTGACCTGATGTACATATACCAAAGGGACAGCAGCAGTTCAAGAAGACAGCCACCACCACCTTATCAAGGGCAACTAGAAACTAGCAATAAACACTGGTTCAGTCAAGCACTACTTCTCAGTAATAAAGAAAAAAAAAAGTCTGACATTGCATCTCTACTGATATAACCCTTAAATTAATTTGCGATTTCACTTTAACTTTAGCCCCCCTCAATGGCTCGATGAGTTCTCCAATGAGGTATTGAAAAAACAGTGTGAACAGGTAACTGTTAATGTGAGTGCCAACAATCCAGACTGAATGGTCCAGTGCAATGCAAGAAAAAAACAACTGGTCTCACAAGTGACCAAGGTTAACAAAAGTAACTTCACTTCATATTCTATCAACTGCACAGTCAAATGCATTGCTCCATTCACCACATTCCCTTCACTCACTTACTAACAAACTCCATCAAACACGGCTCATGTCTCATGACACCACCAGGTACTCAGCACTGCTGCACATTTTCCACTCATATCACAGCTTGTATATTCTGCAAACTATTGTGCAAGCAAACACATCTCTTAAACGCTTCACACCACACTCACTGATACACTTCTTTTCTCTTGCAGGACAAGGTGGCTCATAATAGGCAGCAGCAAGTAACCCCTGTCGAGGAGAAGGTAGTCACCAACACTGAAAATCATCACTGAGGCAGCAACCATCAAGGATGACAGCGTAATCTAATCCAATTCCTCAAATCCCACGTGATCCTCATTGCGTATTCTGTAAGATGCTGTTACAATGCACATTGTTCTTCCCTTTCCCTCACTGCAAACCTGCCTTTGTGCCATTTTACTTTCAGATACCCAAGACTGGACCAGGCGGTGACACAAGTGATTGAAGATCAACATGAAGGAGATACTGATAAGGAAGAAACATTTAATTAATTTGACACCTGCAGCTACCAGATCAGATATCAACATTGCTCATGTGCTACTGTCTAAAATACATGCAATGTCTGCATATGGTAAGTCATTAGACATCTATGAGCTGCAATAGATCTGGAGTAAGGGATCACCTGAGTGGCAGCTCCTAGAGGGTGATGTCAGACAAATTTTGTTGGAAAGGACTTCTATTAGGTTGGCACTTGAAAGAAATTTTAACAAGCTTCAAAATACCTGAGAAGGATGTCCAGACACTACCCACTGGACTCTTGACTGAGTTTGATAATCACCAATTGCAACTTTGCATAAACGTCGAAGAGATGAGAACATAGCTTCCTCGACTTTTCCAAGCCAATCTTCTACATTTCCTCTTGCCTTAAGTCCCTTTCCCAAACTAACCTGTAATGCAGAAACAAAATGGTTATTTAACTAAGCAGTGATAATAATAATAAAAAAAAGTCAGGCCAGGCCCTTTATCCTTAGTAAATTCTCAGTAAGAACTTAGTTAAAGCCAATTGATTTATTATGGCATCACTCATTTAAAAACACCATTCTGTTTAATTGGCTTTATTTATTTCAGATCAGAGCTTTGTAAAGGATTAGCATTTTCTCACTTTTCCAGGTTGAAATATTTTCATGACATTTGGAGTTCTCCTGAAAGAAATCTATTTTCAATCTAGCTGTTTAAGACAAGGTATTAATGTTCTGCACGCATCCAAATTTCCTACTTCACTATCAAAAAGCAAATTACCTCTGTTCATTGCTATGTCAGTACTTGCAAGGGGGTTGGTTAGTTTGGATAGATGGTTTGTGATGCAGAGTGACACCAGCAGCACAGGTTTGATTTCCATATCAGCTGAGGTGACCATGAAGGTCCCAGCTTCTCAACCTCTCCCCTCACCTGAGGCGTGGTGACCCTCAGGTTAAACAACCACCAGTCATCTCTCCTTAATAAGCGAGCAGCCAAAGGAACTATCTTGGCTTTACTTTTTAGTAGTTTGAAAGGAGACAAAGAGGCTATATATGGTGAATCGAGCAGATAAGCTTGAATCTACCACATTGTAGCATAATGTCATACAAAAGGCTTTAATGTACATTGATGAACCTGTCAAAGGACAACCTAAGGAAATTCTAAAATGAACTACAGAGTGCCAGCTACTCTAACAAAAGCATCTTCACCTTTTCTCCTTCAGGGGAGAGCATTGCCAAGATATCATTGGTGTACACCTTCTCGGGTTCTCCCTCAGCCGTTTTCTCTTCAGTCTGAGAAGCTAGTGCAAATTCCAGTCTTGCAATTGCATCAAAGCACTTCCGCAGATGTGGCTGGACAGCCTGTGGGTTACGTGTCTGTGCCAGGATCTCCAACAGCTCATCATTGGATAAAAAGTAGAACCTTCAGATAGATGGGCCCAGACATTAATTTATCAAATAATTAGTATCAAACACATATTTCATAAAACTTTTAGAATGGTCACCACTTTGACAAAGAATCAGACCACTGCCGAACGGGAGGAAAGTTCACCTCAAAAGGAACAGTTTTTAATTGAGACTTACCGAAACTTGTTTCAGGGTTCAAAATACATGAGCTGCGGGACAAATTTGCCTTCAAAACCTCCCAAAATCAAAAATGAGGCAACTAGTACCAACCAGCAGCCCACACTTTTAATCCACTCCTTCACATCCTAGTTTTGCATTCAAACAAAGCTTTTTAGCTTTTCTGGTAAAGATTGGCAGAGGTCCTATTAAAGACTGTTACTTAAGCTTTGCATCATCCTTGGTGAATGCATTCATGGGGAGGGCAGAGCGTAAAACATTGGAAGTCGCAAAGAAAGTAATGCCTGCCTGAGGTGCAAACACCCAATAGCCTGTTCTGATGCCAATACTGCTATTGTGGTTGAACGTTTACCTCAGAAGGTGTGTGCACTGCCTGCTGTGTAGAATACCTGCAAACCAACAAGTCATCATCAATTTAGTTGAATTTTAAAACTGACCAGTTTTCAGATAATTATAGTTTGCAGACCCCTGGATTTGGAATACTGTATGTGTAACCTTACATAATTTTTGAAGTGGAAGGAAAATAATTGGGCTGAAAACAAAACTAATATTAGAGAAAAAGACAGAGCCAGAGAAGTGACATCAAAGCGTGGAGCTGGATGAACACAGCAAGCCAGGCAGCATCAGAGGAGCAGGAAAGCTGACGTTTCGGGTTGGGACCATTCTTCAAAAATGGGGAGGGGGAGGGGAGCTCATAAATAAATGGAGAGAGGAGGGGTGGGACAAGGTAAGGTAGGTGGGATGGTGATAGGTGAGTGCAGGTAGGCAGTGGTGAGGATTAGTCAGTGAGGTGGGAGGGGTGGATAGGTGGGAGAGAAGATGGACAGGTTGTGTCAGGTCAAGTAGGCGGGGATAAGAGGGAGGGTTGGTCATGGGATGGGGCCGTGGCAGGGAGATTTTGAAACTGAATCCACGTTTAGGTGATTGGGCTGTCGGCTCCTGAGGCAAAATATGAGGTGCTGCTCCTCCAGTGTCACAATGACGCCCCTCCGACCTCACTAACCAATCCCCACCACTGCCTACCTGCACTCACCTATCACCATCCCATCTACCTTCCCCAGCCCCACCCCTTCTCTCTATTTATTTCTGAGCACCCCTCCCCCTCCCCATTTCTGAACAAGGGTCTCAACCCGAAACATCAGCTTTCCTGCTCCTCTGATGCTGCCTGGCCTGCTGTGTTCCTCCAGTTCCACACTTCATTATCTCTGACTCCAGCATCTGCAGTTCTTGTTATCTCAGAGAAGAGACATTGCGTGCAAGAGCATTTAATAGGAGTTCCAGCAGGGCTGAGGTTTTTGCATGCTGTAGTGGAAATATTGGGAGAGCAACTTCCTGTTGCTTCTATTAGCAAAACAGTAGTAATAGACAAACTGAAAATTAATCCAATGTCTCCAAATAACACTATCAATGAACAGCATGTAAACGAGAAGGAAGAGGCCAGGCATGAGTCTTTAAACATACAGTGTCGGCTTTCTTCATGAAGGAAGAGGAGAAAGCATTACAGAACTGACAACACAGCTATACCAAGGAGAAAACCTATTTAAACCGAGGAGGTGACGTTCCAAGTTGATAGAGGAAACAAACATGACCTGGTACAAACTAGCAACTCTCAGCAGGGATGGGACGAAACGTGCGGAGTTTAAAAAAAATGGTTCTCCCATGCACTCTCTCAGGACTGCTTATCAAGCAGCATTGACACCATCTTGGGAATGGTTTATGTCTCTGCATTAAGTTGTCATGACAGATCGTTGAATTGTGGAAAAAATTTTGAAAAGCAAATTAGCTTTATTTGATTCAAAAATTAAACAACCTCTTCTGCTTTCATCAGTAATGTAGAACAAAATAAACCAGTACACTAATAACACAAACCTGGGGAAGATCACCCGCTTAGATTCAAGATAAGCCTCCAGACATTTCAAAATTTGATCTAATAATGCATTGTTATTCAAGAAAATGTCCAACAAACCTAAAACATAAAATAGAAATTAGAAATTAATTACACACAATAAAACAAACATTGAATGAAAGAGCAGAAACAAACAGACTTACTGAACAAGTCAAGCAGTCTCTGCAGAGAGACCATTTCTGCTCTATGTTGCTGTATATTAAGCGTAGATTCAGCAGTGTTACACACAGGGAGAAGACAGCAGTGTACTGAGGGGAAGTGTAGAGTTCTGAAAGCTATTTCTATACCTATCCCTACAACAAAAGTTTTGTGTAACGTGCCAGTGAATATTGTTGTGGCATTCTTGTATGTTTTTGCAGTTTTACCATCACAATTACTTTTCCAAAAACACAGAATTCTACAGAAACTCAGCGAGTCTGGCAGCATTTGTGGAGAGAACTATCTCCAGCCCAAACATTTAGGTTGTCTCTAACATTTCAGTCTAATTCCCCAACCTACTCTTTCCAAATGTTACTTCATGCTTCCATTAAAAATTGACAACTTTTTTCTATGAAACAATAAAATGTCAAGCTGTCAAAACATTTACATTTCCTGTTCTTTATTTGTTTAAAAAATGCTGTTATCAGCGTCTGAAGAGGATCTATGAATACAAATGCTTACTTCTATAAGGGTGAATCATTTGAAGGAAGTTAACATAGCGATTGGGTTTTTTTATCCATGGATTTTATTTTTATTGTAAACTAATCAACAGACATTTAAGAACTTAGTTTAATCTCACCATGGGGCCTGAGGTCTGCTCACAATAGATATTGGGCCAAGTGGTATGAAGAATGTAAGGGTGAAGGGTATTGGCATGGGATCTTGGATGTGAATTAGTACTATGTTGACAGAGGGCCTATAAAAAGCCATGGGAAAGTGTAGGGGTATGAGGTGGCATTGGTTTGAATGGATAAGACAAAGGAGTGTGTGTGTCGGAAGGTAGCGTGAGGGGCAAAGGCTGTTTTATGTTTTCTTCGTTCTTTCAAAGATGCCAAGTGACACCAGATCAGTGAAGACAGCCTTTTCCAGAGCCTTCATACCCAGTAGCCACTGATGGTGTGTCTTTCCAGGGTTGTAGACCTGACACCCTTTAAACTCCATTCCTACCTAACATTACCCCACTTCCTGAATGAAAATGGAATATTCCAGGACACATTTCCCAAGGTCATGCTAGTGAAACCAGGAATTTTGTTGAAAAGTATTCTTCAAACAGTAGAAAAAACTTGAGGCCTGGGTATCGGTCATTGGTGCTCCACAAAGTTTGCTGTAGGAAGAAGGCTGGCTAAAATATATGCATCTCTGTTTTCTACTGACCACAGGGAATGACTGAACTTCGCAAATGCCACACTAAAGCATCCTTCAACCATCTATTATTCATGCTCACCATAATCTTCTCACCCTGTTTCTTGTGACCCTGGATCCTTCATTTCATCAACATTGACTTCTCTCTCTATTGTCCTTGACTCACCCACAGATGCTGATAACATGGCTGCTTTCAAACTAGACAGCCCTCCATCAAGCCTTTCTTTCATTAACAGTAACAGGATGAGTTTTATTCCAGTCAGGCTATGATAAATGTCACAAAGCATATAATCCGCCAGACCTCCAGCCTAGACAGTTGGTTCAGATTTAAGATCAACTAATTATGGAGAAATATGCAACAGACACAACAGCTAATGTCCCACCTGACTCAAACTGGAAATAGTATAGTGTGACAGAACAGGTCTGCCTCCCCTCCCATACAGAAGCAACCTTCTACCCTGCTGAAGTGGTCATTTGTACAGATCTGTGTGACTGTGTTTATTTAATCATCATCCAGGTGATGGTTAGACTGCCAATCCAAAGTTATCTGTCAATTCTCCTGTTCAGCAAAAGTTCAAGACCTCTCAGATGACTAAAGTTCCTAACCTCCTGCAAAAAGGAGCTGAGAATACATGCTGGTAGACTAGTCAAACTGCAATGGCAGTTAATCCTCTACAAAATAAATTGAAGTCAGAGACTCAAAGGTGAGATGTAATATGATAATCTGACTGTGATTTTCTAATGAGACAGTGTTCAACATCACAGTGTGATGCAACATTATATGCTTTTGTTCTCTCTTGGAACCTCATTGCAAGATCAAGCCACGGGAAAATTTCTCTTTAAAATTTCACAGGAAAATAAAGTCGCTGCTTTACTTACCTCAGTAGCCATTAAAGCACAACAGGACTAAGAATATTATTGTTACAGCTCAGAATTTTAGATAATCTACAAACCAATAGTTTACATCCTTAAACACATAGATAAATAGATTAGAATCTTACAATCAATAGTTTTCATAGTTTGTCAGATTAACTATTATAATTATTATCTGTTAGAAAAAAAGTGTTGTAGTTTTGCTAACTTATTTCAAAACAAAAGCAATGCTAAAACTAAGACTGCAAAACAACATTGCCAATACTGGAAATTAGAGCAAAATATAAAGCAAAATGCTGTAAACACTCAACTAGTCAGGGCAGTAGCAAACAAAATAAAACCAAAGTGCTGTGGAGTCAGTTCCAAGGAAAAATGATACCAGACTCAATATTGAGTTCAATAACTTTAAGGTCTGAGCACGTTCTCCTGTGTCTTTAGCCCAATCTCACACAACAGACTTTATCATCACATGGGTTGCTATTCATTTTCCCAGGCTGACATGTGCCCATTTCCTTTGTCTGCCTGACTGTTTCTCACTTTCTCTGGGCTCCATCTCCACATATCGTTTACTCCTTGCCCCACCCCGGTCCTTCCCTAAAGTATATACCAACCTTTTCCTAGCTTCAATCAGCTCTGAAAAAGGGTCATTGGACCCAAAACATTAACTCTGTTTTCTCTCTACAGATGCTGCCAGACTTGCTGCACTTTTCCAGCAATTTCTGATTGTTTCTGTTTTCTAGCATCTGCAGTTCTTTTTTGTTTGGTCAAAATGTTGACTCTATTCTGACTCCATAAATGCTGCCAGACCTGTTGGATTTCTCTGGCACTTTCAGTTTGTACTATTAAAGGAAAGATCATCAACTTCAAATGTTTACTATATTCCTCTCTCTACATGAGCTGCCTGACTTGTTGAGAAGTTCCAGTATTTTTTTTTGAAGATTGTGCATCCTGAACTTGATTGTGAATTCCAATGAATACACTGTTACCCATGATAATATATATCTTAGAACACAGCAAAACAGCAAATCAATCTGGGGTAGGCTGTACTAATATTTCAACCAGAATGAATGATTAAGTCAGCCGCCAAAATGTAAGAGCTTGCTCAATAGAAATGCGTTTATTTCATACAACTGACTGGAGGGGCAAGAAAACAATTAATATTCACATATTTCATATACCAGGTTGGGTAGCTGCTCTCAGAGCATTGGGTAGGCGATTTACTTTTCGCATGATTTCCTTCCAGGATTTATCCACTTGAGTGAACATCCTTGCCTCTGCAGGCAGCTGGCGTTGAATATCTGGGGCACAGAAAATACTCTCCAAGTACAACCAGTTTCGCTGACACATCATCCATTGCTCCTATGATAGGAGAAAAAGGAAGATTATTAAATCTTTCAGTCATTCCTACTTCACTAAGTAAATTCTTAGTGTCATCTGCCAGAGATTCTGGCTGGCAGTTTTAAATGAAGTTTAGTGTATGAAACATCTAAGCCAGGTGGAATGGTTCTGTTTTGCTGTATTCTCTTTTAACAGGGGGCTTTTAACTTGAAGTACTCGAGGATTTCATCTCAAATGCCAATGCAATGTGACAGATTTGAACTTTGCATCAGTAGTTAATGATAACTTACTGGACAAGAAACTTGTTGTTAATGCCAGAGCAATATTCATTGGCAATTCACCAACACATTGATAGAACTATCTTACCAACACAGGGAAAATGGTGCCATAGTGGAAATGTCATCATGCTACTAATGCACAAGCTCAGATTGACACCCTGTGAACATGGATTTAAATTCCAAACAGCAGCTGGCATAATAGCTAGTCTCAGTAATGGTAGTGATCATAAAACAATCATTGATTATCATTAAAAAATTGGCTTGTAAATGTCCTTTATTGAAGATTATCTGGTCTATTTGATGACACCAGATGTATGGCAGTATAAATGACTCTCTAATTGCCAAGCAAGCCACTCAGTTCAAGGCCAGTTAGGGACAGGCAGCAAATCTGGTCTAGTCAGTGATTCCCCCTCCTGTGAAAGGATACATTGTGGTGGAGCACTTTGTATAGGAACAATATTGGACAATTTAGTTTATTTTCTGGTGCATAGTTGGAAGAAGGAGTAATAATAGGCCTTTTAGATGCTATCAAAATGCCTCTTAAAATGGATTGGTTGTCTCAAGTCAGTAAAATAAGATCTTTTGGATAAGCTAGAAATAGAAATAGTAAAGGCTGAAAACAGTCAGCAAGTCAGGCAGCATCTACGAAGAGAGAAAAAGAGAGTTAACATCACAGGTCAATGACCCAAGTAATCCCAGCAATTTATCTTCTTTTCAACACGTGCAATATTTTTGTTTGTCTTCTGGATGACTTTTGAGTTTGAAATTTCTGATCATCACAGTGGGATGGGTAACCAGTTCAATACCAATGTGAACTACAAGATTAACGGAGGAAATTCAGTATTTCTGAGTGGGCCTTACAAATAAGATTCAAAAAAATGACATATTATAATAACTCAGATGAAGTCAGGTGCACCATCTTCCTCAAAGTGAGTCAATTTAGAATATGATTTAATTTGTGATTCTTGCACAGTTCAGATTCCAGAATGCTTTTTAAACTTTTTTTTTCAGTTACAGCACAAAAATAGAGGACAACACTGCATGCTGAATTTGAGGCTGTGTTATTAAGCAGAAGATGACATAGTTTAGGTGGCAGCTAGGTTCAGCTCATGCTCTAAGGACAAGTGTTTGGATCCCACCACAGTACATGTTAAAACTTTAACTAATTTAATAATGCTAGAATTAAGAGCAAGTCTTATGCTGACTATGACCCATTGTTGACGATTGTAAAACAACACCTACACAGTTCATTAATTTCCTTTCAGGAAGGAAATCTGCCTTTTTTATTTTCTTGAACCAACATGTGTGTCCAGATCCAAAGCAATGACTCTTAATGCTCTCTGAATGCCCTTGCAAGTCACTCAATTATATGGAACTCCTAAGAAAGCGAATGAAACTGGACAGATTATCCTGCATCGACTTATGGCCTAGAAATGACAATGGCAAACAGTTCTGTTGACCCTGAAAAGTCCTCCTTTCTAACTACTAAAATAAAGCAAAGAACGGCTAATGCTAAAAATCTGAAACAAAAATAGAAGTTGCTGGAGAAACTGACCCGGTCTGGCAGCATCTGTGGACAGAAAGCTTTCTTGACACAGAAGCTACCAGGCCTGTTGAGTTTCTCCAGCAATTTTTTTCTCTTTTTTCCAACGTCTCGGGGTTCAGGCCAAATTTGGGTGAACTATCCACAGACTAGTTAGGCAATAGCCTGATAGTAATGCACATGGATTCATATGTTATGGACAATGTTACAGACATCACCATTCCTGTGTACATACTGTTCCACCAGGACAGACACAGCACAATAGGTGGCACAGTGGCATTCTTTCAGGAGACAGAGAGAATATGGAATTTAAACTCTATTAAATCACGTGGCATCAGGGTCAAACATGGAGTGGGAAACCTGTTGCTGATTATCATGTATCACAATTGAATCAATATTCCTCAATGTTGAACACCAATTAGAAGCAGCACGGGGGTGCAAGGACACAGAATGTACTGTGTATGGGGGACTTTGAGGTACATCACCAAGACTGTTCAACAGCACCACTACTGATTGAGCTGGCCAAGTTCTAAAGTACTGCTTAGCTTGGATCTGCAGCAGTTCAAGAAGGAAACAAGAGCAAAAAGTCTACATCACCAATCATCACCAATCTAGCTGCATGCCTGTATCTATCCATGAAGTATTGGTATGTCAGACTGCCACACAGTGCTTGTGGAGACAAAATCCAGTTTTGACACTGACAATACATTGCATCACATTGTATGTCACTGCCATTGTGCTAAATGGAATAGAATTTGAACTGAACTTGCAAATCAAAATTTGGCAGTGAGGCACGTGGATGATCAAAAGCAGCACTTTATTCAATCGTAATCTGTAACCTCATGGACTGGCATTGCTACTCCACCATTACCATCAAGAGGCCAATCCTATTTCAATGTAGAGTGCAGAAGGACATGCCAGGGAATAGCACCATCCCAAAAATAAGATATGAACTTGGGTTGTGGAAATTGGGAATTGCACGGTGAGTAATTGAATTTCCAAGTACTCAAAGTCTATCCACTGGTACAAGATATGCATGAGGAGTGAGATGGAATACTATCTATTTGCCTAGATAATACGTAGCTCAAGTCAGTCCATCAGTCTAATCAAAAATGCTGGCCTTGCCACTGAGATCACATCCCTTGAAAGAATGTTAAAAATGCAAAAATAAGCTTTGTACAATATATTGTTATAAACACATATTACACACATGACAATTCAGAAATGCACTCTTGGAGACACACGCGCACACACACACACACAAATGCAAACACAGACACACCCTTTCAATGTATTTGAATACTTAATCTGAAATCCCAGAACAAAACAAAATAATTAACTCTCAAACTGGAACTTATTAGTCTGATCAGTGAGCAAAGTAAAACACTTACCAAGGTTTCATTGAATAGTGAGAGAAGCCTTTGCCACTCATCAACACGATTTTTAATAGGTCCAACATAACGTGAGGAGGCTATGGTTGATACATTGATAATGCTATCATCCAGCAATGCCTGTAACAAAGTTTTTTTTCTTAAATTACTACAGACTTGTACAACTTCTTGATGCCCAGCTTCTGGAACTTGATTGTTGCTAGAAACAAATGTCAATGTACAAATCTACTGTTCTGAGAAAACTTACATTGACATGAAATTCCTAGCTAGAAAGTATTTCAGCCTGTTTTGTAACTTTCTCTTAAAAATTCCAATAATGGAATTTATAGATTTCATACCTGTGCGTTATAATACATCCCCTTACCAGTAGCAGCACTGTATCTCAGATTTGCATCTATTTATTCTTCAGTCAGTAATGAAAACAAAATGGAGCCTCTACTGTTGTTATCCATAGCTCCAAGCAACAAGATACCATAATAACACAGTCTCCTAAGGACCCTGGTTGCTTTATTTGAGCAGAGGGCTGGTGTGGAGCAGATTAATGCCAACAGCACAGGGTTCAACTTCCATCACAGCTGGATTGCATTTGTGATCATCCTTCCTCCCTACTGGTGATGGAGGTCATGATGCTGTGCATCAGATCTATCTTTAGTCCATGAAAGAAAGAAAAAAAATCATCAGTCTGTCTTCTTCCCTTCTGCGACCAGCACTACAGGAGACAAACTGTGGCTCCCACAGCTTTATACAGGACAAACCATCCTTGTGGCTTTTTCATAACTAAGACTTATTTACAGTGTTGGGATTTCCAGAATTTAGGGCCTAGGCAGCTGAAGACATGGCCACCAACACAAAACAATTCAGTCAAGTATGCTGAAGAGAGAGTGCAGATAACCTAAGCAGCCATAAATCACCTAGTTACACCAGATAATATGTTGTATCAACATCTAGCAGAGCACCACAAGAACTCTTCTGTTGTGCTTCACATAAATGTTGAGATCTTTTGCATCTGCCCAGGAATGTCGTCAGACAGCAGAGGGAAGGAAGCATTTGAAAAGAGATGTTACTCCACTAAGAGATTGCCAAGGTTCACTGACCATGCTTTCAACACATTAGCGCTGGCAGGAGACAGAAGGGAGATCCTCCATTCATCAGGAAGCAAAGAAAAGCCCACCAAGAACCTCTCCCTTGCTGGTACAAAGAGGTGGCAGAGGAATGCATGCAAAGAGTAAACACTTCTGATTTAGCTGTAAGTAAATAGGTTTATTGATATGGTTTATCAGATGACTATACTTACCTGAATTTCATCAGTACCACCAAGAATGAAAACATCTTTAGCATCACGATGAGGAAGCACAACAAACTCAGTAATTTTCCATCCATCTTCCACCTATAATTTAAACATTCAAAATTCCATATTAAACACCATATCAAGCAAGAGTGTTCACACTTTGAAACAGTAATCAACTCGTAAAAAGCTTTTCTTCACCATTTCACCTTTGATGATTAGCAACTATCAATTATGTTCTGGCATAAATGCTTACATTACTCTCATTTTAAAAAAATCCTGCCTTTTGCAAACACATTTCTGAAGGCATAGATCTAATAATCGCTGAGAATGTATCATAGATTACAACCGATACTGGTCGACAACTAACACAGGTTAGAAAATATTGTGAAGCGACTTTTCAAAAAGGTCAAAGCTATTCAAGATCATCCTAGATACATTGTAAGATTGCCTTGGACAAGACGGCCTTGAGGCACAGCAGCAGCACTCCTATCTCTGGGCCAGAAGTGCAAAGTTGGAGTCCCACACCAAGATATGTTGGCTGTGGGAGGTATATTCGTGTGGAAGGTACAAATAGGTTGGTTGTCAGCCTGTAAATCCTTTCACCAGGCTTGTTGGCAGGGGCAGGAGTAGAGAGTCTCCTGGTCTTGCAGAAGGCAATGGGAAGCCATTGCTGTACTTTGTTCATAAACTGGACTAATCCAATGGAAGTTCATAATCCAATCAGGATAGGAGAAAAGACAGAGAGACCCTAGCCCATTTTATTTGTGAATATGACAATATAAAACCATCAGAGACAACAAGGTGTAGACCTGGATGAATACAGCAGTCCAAGCAGCATCAGAGGAGCAGGAAAGCTGATGTTTCGGGTCTGGACCCTTCTTCAGAAATGGGGGATGGGAAGGGGATTCTGAAATAAATAGAGAGAGAGTGGGAGGTGGATGGAAGATGGATAAAGGAGCAGATAGGTGGAGAGGAGACAGACAGGTCAAAGAGGCAGGGATGGAGCCAGTAAAAGGTGAGTGTAGGTGGGGAGTTAGGGTGGGGATAGGTCAGTCCAGGAAGGACGGACAGGTTAGGGAGGCAGGGACGAGCTGGGCTGGTTTTGGGATGCGGTCGGGGGAAGGGAAATTTTGAAGCTTGTGAAACCCACATTGATACCATTGGGCTGCAGGGTTCCCAAGCGGAATATGAGTTGCTGTTCCTGCAACCTTCGGGTGGCATCGTTGTGGCACTGGAGGAGGCCCAGGATGGACATGTCGACCAAGGAGTGGGAGGGGCGGTTGAAATTGTTCATGACTGGGAGGTGCAGTCATTTCTCGCGAACCGAACATAGGTGTTCCACAAAGTGGTCTCCAAGCCTCCGCTTGGTTTCCCCGATGTGGCCCCCTCTACATCAGGAACAGCGGATACAGTATACCACATTAGCAGATGTGCAGGTGAACATCTGCTGGATGTGGAAAGTCTTCTTGGGGCCTGGGATGGGGGTGAGGGGGGAAGTGTACGGGCAGGTGTAGCACTTCCTGCGGTTGCAGGGAGAAGTGCCAGGGGTGGTGGGGCTGGTGGGGAGTGTGGAGCAGACAAGGGAGTCACAGAGAGAGTGGTCCCTCCGGAAAGCAGATAAGGGTGGGGAGGGAAAGATGTCTTTGGTAGTGGGGTCAGATTGCAGATGGCAGAAGTGCCAGGGGATGATGCGTTGGATCCGGAGGTTGGTGGGGTGGTACGTGAGGACGAGGGGGATTCTGTTTTGGTTGTTGTTGCGGGGAGGGGGTGTGAGGGATGAGTTGCGGGAAATGCGAGAGACACGGTTGGGGCGTTTTCGACCACTGTGGAGGGGAAGTTGCGGTCCTTGAAAAACGAGGACATCCGGGATGTCCGGGAGTGGAATGCCTCATCTTGGGAGCAGATGTGGTGGAGGCAAAGGAATTGGGAATAGGGGATGGCATTTTTGCAGGATGAGAGGAGGTGTATTCTAGGTAGCTGTGGGAGTCGGTAGGCTTGAAATGGATATCGGTTTCTTGGTGGTTGCCAGAGATGGAAACAGAGAGGTCCAGGAAGGAGAGAGAGGTATCGGAGATGGTCCAGGTGAAATTAAGGTTGGGGTGGAAGGTGTTAGTGAAGTGGATGAACTGTTTGAGCTCCTCGTGGGAGCATGAGGCGGCGTCAATACAGTCATCAATGTAACGGAGGAAGAGGTAGAGGATAGGGCCAGTGTAGCTTCGGAAGAGGGATTGTTCCACGTATCCTACAAAGAGGCAGGCATAGCTTGGGCCCATGTGGATACCCATGGCCACCCCCTTTGTCTGTAGGAAATGGGAGGAATTGAAGGAGAAGTTGTTAAGGGCGAGGACGAGTTCAGCTAAGAGGATAGTGGTTTCAGTGGAGGGGGACTGGTCAGGCCTGCAGGACAGGAAGAAGTGGAGGGCCTTTCTGCCATCTGCATGGGGAATGCAAGTGTATAGGGACTGGACGTCCATGGTAAAGATGAGGTATTGGGGACGAGGGAATCAGAAGTTTTGGAGGAGGTGGAGGGCGTGGGTGGTGTCACGGACATAGGTGGGCAGTTCCTGGACCAAGGAGGAGAAAATGGAGTTGAGATAGGTGGTGATATGTTCGGTGGGGCAGGAGCAGGCGGAGACAATGGGTCGACCAGGGCAGTCAGGTTTGTGGATTTTGGGAAGGAGATAGAAACGATGCGGTTGGAGGCTGTGGGTGGGAGGTCACTTGAAGTGACGAGGTTGTGGATGGTTTGGGAGATGATGGTTTGGTGCTCAGGGGTGGGGTCATGATCAAGAGGGCAGTAGGAGGAGGTGTCAGAGAGCTGGCGTCTGGCCTCGGCAATGTAGAGGTCAGTGCGCCATATTACAACTGCGCCTCCCTTGTCCGTGGGTTTTATGGTGAGGTTGAGGTTGGAGCAGAGGGCTGCACATTCTGTGAGGGAGAGGTTGGAGTGGGTGAGAGGGGTGGAGAGGTTGAGGCGATTAATGTCTCGGTGGCAGTTGGAGATGATGAGGTCGAGGGAGGGTAGGAGGCCTTGAGGTGGTGTCCAGGAGGAAGGGGTCGGTAGAGGGACGGTTAGGCTCACAGTTAAAGAAGTAAGCGTGGAGGCGGAGGCGGTGGAAAAACTGTTCAACGTCCAAGTGTGAGTGGTATTCGTTGATGTTAGGGTGGAGGGGTCTTTGAAGATGTGATTCCAGTGCCTGAACTGGATGAATAGTGCCATCCAACATCATCTTATAAGACTACAAGATACAGGAGCAGAATTAGACCATTCAGCGCTTCGAGTCTGCTCCACCATTCAATCATGGCTGATATGCTTCTCAACCTTATTCTCCTGCTGCCTCCCCACAACCCTTGATCCTCTCACTGATCAAGGCCTTATTTATCTCTGTTTTAAATACATTCAATGACTTGGTGTCCACAGCCTTCTGTGGCAGTGAGTTCCACAGCTTTTCAACCCACTGACTGAAGAAATTCCTCCTCATCTCAATTCTAAAGGGCCATCCCTTCACTCTGAAGCTGTGCCCTTAGGTACTAGTCTCTCCATCTCCATTCTATCCAGGCCTCTCAGTATTCTGCAATCAGATCCGCTTCATCCTCCTAAATTCCACCAAATACAAACCCAGAGTACTCAACTGCTCTTCATATGACAAACCCTTCATTCCCTTAAGCATTCTTATGAACCCTCTCTGGATCCCCTCCAAGGGCAGCTATCTTTTCCTTACATACCGCGCCCAACACAATTCACGACATTCCCAAATGCAGTCTGACCAGAGCCCATATACAACCTCAGCAGTACATCCCTGCTTATGTATTCTAGCTTTCTCAAAATGAATGCTAACATTGCATTTGGCTTCCTAACTGCCAGCTAAACCTGCAGGTTAACCTCAAGAGAATCCTGAAGTAGGAATCTTATAAAGTCCTTTCATGTTTAGATTTCGAAAATAGTCGACAGCTCTATTCTTCCTACCAAAATGCATAGCCTCATGCCTTCTCACATGGTACCTCCAAGGGTCCAGACCATTATGATTTTCCTCTGTCTTCTGCATTAACACAGTTCTTCAAATAAGTGCCAGTTTCAAGAACAGTGAAACCCTGGGGGCAGACAGCATATCAAGGGCAGAGCAGGTGGTAAGACAGGGGGAAGAATTGAAGCAGAGGTAGATGGCATTGATAGGGAGGTGCCCTGCTGCATGATAAATTGGTATCCTCCTGTGATCCTCTAGGAAAAGGATCTCCCTCCTCTCCATCCAGCATTAGATCGAGGTCAGCATTGATGAAACCAATATCCTTTATTAGACTGATATTTTGGTGAGTACTTAATTGAAAACGTGTATGCAAATCTAATTTCTGATAGTAAAGATGTGCCATTATTTAAATAAGAAATGAAGTTTGGCCAGATTGCTACTTATAATGCAATGAGCGAATGAAATGACATCTGTCAATAACTGCAAGGCATTTGAATAGACAAATCTCTCACCTTTTTCAAAATTGTCTCCAAGGCAGCTTCTCCAGAGGCCTGGCCTGACACATTCTGAATTTCCTCAACATGATCAAATGCATTAAGTTCTATTAGTCGAGCCAAAGTTACAGGTTCGACAACATCAATCAATCTAGCACCAATGCAATGTTCTATTAATTCCCAGTGTCTGTGCTTTAGGAAGGGATTCCTCAAATCAGTGATTACAGGAAGCTGCAACAGGATGGGAAATTAAAATGTTGAAGATGTTTTTAAGACAGAGCTTAAACAAAAATAACAGGCTGTTTAGTTCAACTGGTTTGTGCAGTTGTTTTAGCCCCGTAATCAGACTACTCTCATCCAATTTAATTTTACCTTATCATTATAGCCTTATTTATTTCTCCCTCATTGACATATCTAGCCTCCCTCAAGTTCATTATTGCTGTACAATCCTAACTATTCTGTTTGGTAGCAAGTTTTACATTCCAATCACTGAGTCATGACATTTCTCCTAATTTCCCGTCAGATGGATTGGCTCAGATTGTGAGGCTGCACTGATGGTGAAACTATCAGCATTTGACATAATTACTCCGAAAAAGTGACAGCAATTTTTGGGATTTGTATATGAGCATTTGGATGCAGAAATCCAAAAATTGCTCCGTGATTCCCTGCTACTATACTTTGTGTGGTGTTTAAGTCCTCACAAATAAAAATACTCAAAATCACTTGAATTCAGGTGAAATTCCTCTTTTCACACTGTTATTCTGTCTTTAAAAAGCCTCGAAATAGTTACTCCTTGTTGAGTAGGGTGCAACTGAATTCCTGTGAAAGACTAGAGTTATAATTACAGAAGAAGCAACTCGTTGACACTGAAAAAAAAAATTTCACATTGCAGAATGTGATATTTTTCCACATGTGCGATTGTTACAGATGAGCTTGGTTCAGCTAGTGAGGTTCGGGTTTGGGTGGAAATCAGGAATAGTATGGGAAAGAAGTCACTAATGGGAGTGGTCTACAGCACCCCACCCCACCCCAACAATAACCACAATTTAGGATAAAGTATACAAGTAGAAGCATTGGGTGCTTGCAATAAAGGGATGTCAATAATCATGGGTAATTTAAACCTACATATAATCAGATTGGCAATGGTAGCCTGCATGAGGAGTTGACAAAATGCTTCTGAGATAATTTCTTAGACCAGATTGTTCCGGAGCTAAATAGAGACCATGGTAATATTAATCTTGGTATTGTATAATGTGACAGGATTAATGATCTCAGAGTATAGGCATCTCTAGGTAGCAGCAAGCAGATGATTGAATTTCATATTCAACTTGAAAGGAAAAAGAGTGAATCTTAGATTCATACAAAAGCTGAGTTAGCTGAAGTGAATTGGGATTGTAGGCCATGAGACACATCAATCAAGAAGCAAAGGCAGACATTTAAAGAGATATTTCACTACACTCAAAAAATATATTCCCACTACAAAGAAAAGTTCTAAGGAGAGGACCCATAGTCAACCAAAAAAGTTAAGAAAAGCATTGAAACTTAAGGAAAAAGCATAATTGCACAAAGATGTGTAGCAGGTCTGATGTTTGGACAGAATATAAAGATCACCAGATAATGACTAAAAGATTAACTAGGAGAAAGAAACAGTATGAGAGAAAGCTAGCTGGAAATGTAAAAACAGATAGCATGAGTTTCTACAGTTATTTTTAAAAATGAGCATCAGTACTTTAAAGAGAAAGAATGGGAAGTTAATGATGGATAATAAGTAAATAGTAGATGAATGAACAAATAATTTTCTTCTGTCTTCACTGTAAAAAAAATTCTAATACTGTAAATCAGGTGATGAGAGACAGGAACTTGGATCAAATTACAAATCACTAGGGAAGCAGTACTGAGGAAACTGACGGAGCTGCAGGCTGACAAGTCCCTCGGTCCAAATGGAGTGCTTCCTAGGTTTAAAATAGGTGGCTAATGATGTAATAGATATGCTGATTTTAGTTTACCAATACCTACTGGATTCTGGAAAGGTTCCATCAGACTGGAAAACAACAGACCCTTCGGTCTAACTCACCCACGCCAACCAAGTTTCTCAAAATGAACTAACTCCACTTGCCTGCATTTGGCCCATACCCTTATAAACCTTTCCTATTCATCTACCTATCTAAATTTCATTTAAATGTTGTAATCATAGCTGCATCCACCAGTTCATTCCACACACGAACCATCCTGTGTGAAAAAGTCACCCGTCAGTCCCTTTCAAATCTTTCTCCTCTCGCATTAAAGATATGCTCCCTTGTTTTGAATTCACTCTAGGGAAAAGACCTTTGCTATTCACCCTATCTATGCCCCTCATAATTTTATAAATCTCTATGAGGTTACCCCTCAACCTCCTATACTCCAGTGAAAGTGTCCCAGCCTATCCAGCACATCCTTATAACTCAAGCCCTTCATTCCCGACAACAACCTGGCAAATCTTTTCTAAACCCTCTCCAATTTAATAATATCCTTCCTATAACAGGGCAACCAGAACTGTACATGGTAGCCCAAAAATGGTCTCACCAACATCCTGTACAACTTCAAATAACATTCCATCTCCAATACTCAAAGATCTAACCAATGAAGGCAAGCATGCTAAACACCTTGTTAATCATCCTGTCTACCTATGATGCAACTTTCAAAGAACTCTATCCCTGAACCCCTAGGTCTCTCTGTTCTACAACAGTACCCAGGGTCCTACAATTAGCTGTATAAATTCTGTCCTTGTTTGTTTTACCAAAATGCAATATCTCCCATTTATCAAAATGAAATTCCATCTACCACTCCTCAGTGACCCAATTGATCAAGATCCCTTTGTAATCTTAGATAACCTTCTTCACTACCAACTATAACACCGATTTTAGTGTCATACACAAACTTACAAACAATGCCTCCTCAATTCTCATCCAAATTGTTTAAATAAATAACAGACAAAAGTGTGCCCAGCACAAATTCCTGCTGGTCACAGGCCCCGACTCTGAAATACAACCCTCCATTACTACCCTCTGTCTCCTACTGTCAGGCCAATTTTGTATTCAATTAGCAAGCTCTCCCTGAATCCCATGTGATCTAAATTTATCAATTAATCTACCATGTGGAACCTTGCCAAAAGCTTTCCTAAAGTCCATGGCTGCCCTGATCAATCTTTTTGGTTATGTCCTCAAAAAAAATCAAATTTATGAGACACGATTTCACACACAAAAAGCATTGAAATATGGAAATAAACTTAACAGGGGAAGACTGAAAAAAAGCTGGAAATAAACAATAAAAATTACAAAGGCACAGATTTTTTTTTAAAAGTCCAAGCGTAGATAGTAAACAAGATCAATCAGTATTCATTGCTCTGGAAGCAATTGTTTTTCTGTCTGATTGACTAATTATCTTCTTCACCATTTTTGACTTGGCAACTAATTGTTTTCAATATTGTTTGGAGATTTGCTCATGCAATATGGGTATCATTGGTAAGGTCAAGATTTATTGCCCGTTCCAATTAAGAGACAATGACATTGCTCTTGATCCAGAGTTACATGTAGCCAGACTGGGTAAGGATGGCAGATTTCCTTCTCTAAAGGACATTAGTGAATCAGGTGGGTTTTACAACAATTGATAATGATAACGATAACATGGTCACCATCAGGCTAACTTCTAATTCCAAATTTTACAAAATTTAAATTTATGGAATTTGAACCCATGTCCCAGAACATAGCCTGGGCTTTTGGATCATTAATCCAATAACATTACCACTATGCCACCACCTGCCTGCAAATACTTCCACAATTATAATGCATAAAACATTTCTCTCTAACACTGTTTTGTTCTTTGAAAGAGCAGAAAAAAAATTGCCTACAGAAATAAAAACAAAGGCCAGCTCATGTGGGTTGCATCATTTACAGTACCTAACTTTATTGGCAACACACTAAAATAAAAGTTATCACATATGATTGCAGGGTGTGGAAACCCATCACCACACATGAAAAAGCAAAAAAAGGGCGGGGTCATTATTCTGTAGCAGGATTTCCACAAGCCGCTGGGAATTTAGCTGTCATAAAACCTATCAATATTTTTGGGTCATTTTGAGTGTACAATGAGCTTTGAGCCAGATTCAAAGAACCAAGTAGGAACCAAAAGCTGCAGAAGAGGAGACAGGGCTTCAGTTCACTAATCAAAGAGGTGTTTGGCCAGCTAAAGGAGGTAAAACAGCAGAGAAAAATTATCTTTTTTTTTGGCCTCGGCTTCTTTTCAGCTGTTACATAGGAAATAGAAGTCACCCTGAGGCCTTCTTCCTTCTTTGACAGAGTTTTGAGATATTACTAACAGTAATTCAGCAGCTATTGCTACCTTTCTCCTGATGGGGGGATGGTAGAAACAGCAACAATATGTGGGCCCATCTCCACCAGCATTTACATCCTGTGTGTAGGCATGAAGTAGCCAACAGCCTTTTCAGCAGGAGTGAGGGAGACAGCAGCAATACCTAATATGATTCTAACCTACTTGAAAGAAAGTTGTACAGCAAATGAAAATTAATACCAAGATCACATTTCTGAAAGAAACACAAAGTGCTACAATACACAAATTATCATCCAACATTCTACCAGCTTTGGGGAAATAACTCAGAATACCTTTTGTCTCATCTGCTCTACATTATCTTTAAGTGTAGCTGCTACAGTATTTGAGGGTAGACCTTTTTCCAGTTGATTCACAAATTTGCTGTACTTTGCAACTTCACTTGCTAATTCTTCTGCATCAATGGTTTCAAATTTAAGCTGTGAGGGGTTGGAAATGAAAAAGAAGAGTTTAAATATTATTTTACTTTCTGTAGCAAATCACTAGAGACATCACACATTAGCTTCTCAACAACTTTGCATAAGTGCTTATCTTGACAAACATTAACATAATGTGCGAAGTTGCTATTTCAAAATTATTCTACTTTGTCTCCTGTTCAATATTTAGAACTTTATAATTCACCAGTTCCTTCTTAATGGATGGCGAGGTGACAAGTAAAGCTGTGCCATGGTGTGATGTACATGCACTTTGCCTTTAAGAGGCTTCACCTTCAAGGACACCACATATTGTACATATACAATGTTATGGCTCTGCCTGCCAGTCAGTCTGCCATAGGTTTGCAAGCTGCACACAGGACTCAGTTGATTGCTTTAAAGGCACTTTGTAAATTATAATATGTTTTACAGTTTTAGATAACAACTCACAAAGTTAGTCAATCCTCATGAGTGATTGATTATCAGACCATTATCATTAAAATTCAGACTACTGGTTGTAAGCCTCCCTACTAAAAATTAAGCTTCGTTCGAAAACTACACCAGGTAGACAAAAAATTCTACATAACTTGTACCATATTGAGGTATTTCAAGTTATAATCAAATTATTGAACTCAGCAACAGCTACTTTTAAATGAATAACATATCAAAGATGTATATGTGAGCCTTGAATAGACATTTCAATGAATAGGAGCGGCCTACTGCCTGCTGTAAAAGGTCAACAGGATGTATTGTTGATACGGTCCATCAGTCATTGGGATGTATGGTCTATATACATCACATCAGAACTTAAACTCATTACATTAGTTATTGTGTCATAGGCAAAGCTACTTTTTGGCTTGATAGCTGTTAGTGAAGAAGATTGGAGGTATAATCTTGGGACAGCATGGTGGCTCAGTGGCTAGCACTGCTGCCTCACAGCGCCAGCAACCTGGGTTCAATTCCACCCTTGGGCAACTGTCTGCTTGCACGTTCTCCCTGTTCTGCGTGGGTTTCCTCCAGGTGCTCCAGTTTCCTCCCATAGTCCAAAGATGTGCAGGATAAGTGGATTGGCCATGCTAAATTGCCCATAGTGTTCAGGGATGTGTAGATTAGGTGGGTTACAGGGGGATGGGTCTGGATGGGATGCTCTGAGGTTCGGTGTGGACTTGTTGGGCCGAAGGACCTGTTTCCACACTGTAGGGATTCTATGATCTATGATTCTATGAAATGAAACGCTAAATTGAGTTCCTATTTCAAATTGGATCCTTGGCCAATACTTAATCCTCATCAACATCAAAACAAAGAAAAATTGTCTGGTCATTATTCATATTTCTATACATGGAATCTCGCCACAGCTAAATTTATTGCGGTGTTTTCTATGTCACAACAGTGATCACAGTTCAAAGAGTACTTTATTGGCTGGAAAATAATTTGAGACATCCAGTGTTAATGAAAAGCATAGCATCAATGTAAGTCTCCTTTAATTCTTTCCACCATATTTAGTTGACAGACTCTGCCTCCAAATGGTGAATCCTCAGAAAACTTTCTGCCTAAGTTCCTAAGTGGGTTTCTACAAACATGATCAAATACACAACTGATTTCCATTTATATAATAGTGCATTTCACCAAAATCTGAAAAGGTTTATTCGATGTAATAAAACAGTTAACAAAAGCTCTTGAAGAAAATTCACATTGGATGAGCAGGAAGTAGGTAACAAATTTGTTCCTGATGATGCATTTTAATAATCATCACTTTAAATTAGGCATATTGACTAAAAGTAACAAAACTACCTGAAGCCATTCATCTACACGGAGGTCCCAGTCATTAAGGGAATTCCAAAGAAGTTGCTTTAGTTTCACATCAGCATGCACTTCTTCCAGCAAATCAAATTTAGATATCTCAACCTAGGTACAAAAAACATACACATTCTACAACTCAGTGGAAATAACTCATTTGCTAATTGCAATTTGAGGGTTAGAAATTGGAGCATTAATGGTTTTCAACATGATACATGTTGCTCATTTCCGTCTTCATAAGGTAACAGTTCATTTCTTTACTAGATCCATATTTTTCATTGTTTTAATTTGATACCGGAATAATCAATTAAAAAAAAACCCATATAATGAATAACCATATTAAATTCACAGTTCAGAAGGGGGATGGGGTGGAAATGTTCTATGGCTCATCATGTTTATATTGGCTCACTTAATCAATCCAAAACAAGACAATCTTTCTATTTCCTTCATTGCAAATGCTTCTAACATTTAGCTAATTCTCTATTAAAAGATGCAATGTTTTCTCAACTGCTTCCCATTCCACAAAGCCTAATGTCTCTGTAAAATATAGTCAGGTGTTGCATTTAGCACATAAATGAAATATAACATTAAGTTGTATTTTCTTTCAGTCTCAGTGAGTGACAGCTGTACAATTAGTTAATTAGGTAGTTAACAAAAACTAGTTCCCTAATCAGCAGGCCCTCACTCAGGTTTTTGGAATTGCACCTAATGTAAACACAAGAAGGTGGTCTTGTGGTGCAATGGTAGTATCTCAGAAGGCCTGGGTTCAAATCTCAACTATTTCTGAGAAGTATCATAATGTATTTGGTCAGACTGATTGAAAATATTTGCACCTTATTGTTCAACAATTGTCTATGAAAAATATTATCACAGGCTATCTGCTCATCTTTATTAGTTATACTTTGGGATGATTATTCCTCCAAGGACAAGACAGGATAGCACAAGAAGGATGCTCCTGTTGAATGGAGAGTCCAGAACAAGGGGTCATAGTTTAAGGATATGGTATCAGCCATTTAACACTGCGCTGAGGAGAGATTTCTTCATCCAGAAAGTGGTGTGCCTGGGGAATTCTCTGACACAGAAAACAGTTGAGGACAAAACATTGAACGTTTTCAAGAAGAAGTTAGACATAATCCTTTGGGCTAAAGCGATCAAAGGATGTGGGGATAAAACAGGAACAGGCTACTGCGTTGAATGATCAGCCATTATCATGTTGAACGGTGAAGCAGGTTCAAAGGGCTGAATGGCCTACTTGTACTTCTATCTTCTAAATTTTTATGTTTTGCCCCCATTGACTCTATAGCCAGATGAAATAATCTTTTTTTTCATTCAATTAATTGAAAGAAGTCTTTTTTAAAAATCTATTAAACTTCATTGGTTTTCTAGCGGCTTTTCTCTAACTTTTGGGAGCAAAAGCAGGAAGACAGATTGAGTTCTTAATGTGATAGATTGGGAAAGAGGTGCAGTGAGACTTGGATGTCCTTGTACACCAGTCACTGAAAGTAAGCATGCAGGTGCAGCAGGCCGTTAAGGTAAATGGTACATTGACCTTCATCACAAGAGAATTCAAGAACAGGAGCAAAGGTAACTTGATTCAATTGTGCAGGGCCTTGGTGTGACCATGCCTGGAATTTTGTGTTCAATTTTGGTCTCTTTATCTGAGAAAGGGTGTTCTGGCCATGGATGGAGTGCATCAAAGATTTGATTTGATTTATTGTAGTCACATATACCTAAGTACAGTGAAAAACTTTGTTTGCGAGCAGTACAGGCAGAACATAGTAAGCAAGGACATACAGATCATAGGTGCATAGTCAGAGTGAGGCATACAGATTACACTGCACAGGAGGTGCACAAAGCAAGATCAACACTAACAAGATCAACATATTTGAAGTTACAGAGTCCATTCATCAGTTTAATCAGGCTGGGAAAAAGCTGTTTGTGCACGTATTCAAGCTTCAGTATCTTCTGCCTGACGGAAAAGATTGTAGGAGAGCATTACTGTGGTGGGAGGGGTCCTTGATGATGTTGGTTGCTGTTTTGCAGCAATGAGAAGTTTAACTGGAGTCCATGGGTGCAAGGTTGGCTTCTGTCATGGTCTGGGGTGTAGTTTCTTACAGTACTGAGCACAGCAGTTGCTGTACCAGGCTGTTATGCATCTGGATAGTATGCTGTCTATGGTGCATTAGTAAAAGTTGGTAAGGGTCCTTATGCATATGCCAAATTACAACACTTATTCTTCCGATGGCAGTACTGATGCATGAAGGAGGGATTGGACTGTATTTACTGGAGTTTAGGAGAATTGTGGAGGGAGGGAGATCTCATAAAAGCCTATAAAATCCAACATGATTCGACAGTGTAAATGCAGGAAGAATATTCCTGATAACCAGACAGCCCAGAACTAGGGGTCATGGTCTAAGGATGCAGGGTAGGTCATTTAGAACTGAGAGGTTTAGACCTGAAATTTTTTCACCAACAGAGTGGTGAGTCTGTGGAATTCTCTGCCACAGAAAGCATTTGAGGCCAAAACATTAAATGTTTTCAAGGAAGAGTTAGATTCGGTTTATACAGATAAAGAGATCAAAGAGTACAGGGAGAAAACAAGAAAATGGTACTGAGTTGGATAATTAGTCATCATCATATTGAATGGCAGAACAGGCTTGAAGAGCCAAATGCTCTATTTTCTATGTTTTAAAAAGCCAGTGGAAATAGACAGAGTGCCGCATGTCACTCATAGCAATAATTTCATATCATTGGTAATGAAAGTTGTCAAAAATCTGCCTGGAAATTGTTGGGAAACAACTAAAATCAATTACCTTGAAGTTCTTCTGGTAAGATTTATACTGAAATGCTCGTTTCTGTAATTCATCCATCACCATCTGCATGTCTGCCAGAGTGCTTTTCACTTTTTCTCTGTCAGAATTGATGTCTAGAAGCTGAGGATCCTATAAAACACAACAGAAGTTAAAACAGTTTAAGTAAAATTGAATATGACCATTATAATTAGAGTAAAGGTAAAGTTGCCATAGTCTTACCAGACCATAGGGTTGCTCCTCTTTAGAGAGACAGGCAACTGTTGGCGTTTTAACTGGAGGGTCACCATGCCTCAGGCAGAGGGAGAGGTTGAAAAGGAGAATTCTTCTCTTTATCACAAACTAGTTGTCCAGCCAACTGAGTTAAACCAATCCCCTACAGTTTTTTTTCTCTTTTACTATTTGTAAGAATCATATATTTTTCCTTTTGAACTATAAACTGGGAAATGGAACTTCGACACTGCTGTATAGCAAAAGAAAGGAGGTTTTATTTTCAACTTGAAGGTCAAGTTGAATTGTGGAGTGTAAACTTTAACAACAGGTTACTTTTCAGAGTATTGATTTTGATATTTTATGAAACTTATGAAACAGGCTGACACCAGGAATCTTGAGTTGATGGAAAGACTGTCCAGCACCAGCCTTTAGATTGGTTTCTTAAGTTGCAGTTTGCATAAACCTGAAGGCTGTGCATCCAGACATCAAGGTGGCTGCAGGTAAGAAACATCTCCCACTCTCTCTGTGTGATGGTGAAGGAGAAGATTCATAATTAACATGAGAGAGAGAGTACAAGTCAGGACATAGCATCAATAACTTGGGTAAGTTTGCAGACAGAAACAAAAGAGGAAAAAACATATTGCATTTAAATAAATTCCTTTCGATGTCTTAGGATGTGCCAGGAATGAAAAGCTTAACATACGAGGAATGTTTGAGGACTCTAGGTCTATACTTGATGGAGTTTAGAAGGATGAGGGGCGATCTAATTGAAAATTACAGAATACTGAATGGCCTGGACAGGGTGGATGTTGGGAAGATGTTTCCATTGGTAGAAGAGACTAAGACCCAAGGGCACAGCCTTAGAGTAAATGGAAGACCTTTTAGAATGGAGATAAGGAGAAACTTCTTCAGCCAGAGAGTGGTGAATCTATGGGATTCACTGCCTCAAAAGGCTGTGAAAGCCAGTTCATTGAGTATATTTAAGACAGAGATAGATAGGCTCTTGATTGTCAAGGGGATCAAAGATTATGGGGAGAAAGCGGGAGAATGGAGTTGAGAAACTTATCAGTCATGATTGAATGGCAGAGCAGACTCGATGGGCTTAATGGCCTAATTGCTGCTCACATGTCTTATGGATGTGGTAACGTGCATCATGGCCAGTGCTGGCATCAGTAAAGTGTTAAGAGAAGACCATAGGTGTAGAAAAATTGGACCATAGCCTGGGTGGCAGTGGGAAAAAAAGGCTGTTGTGGAGACTAATAATGCAAGGCTGGGGTGTAGCAACACCTGGCTATACTCTATGACTGTAGTCTAAGGTTTTAAAGCTGAGATCTCTCTAATGAGGGTGCAAGGTTGACAATGGGAGGAAAATTAAATGGTGGGCCTTGGACAAAGGAAAGCACAAGGAAGGTGCAATCAAACAGTCTGTGCAGACCTTTTTAGAGAATAGGCCATGGGTGCTCAGCAGACAGAAAGAGTCAAGTGACATGTCCATCTGTAACAATTAATATCTCTAAAGCCATCTGGTTCCTTCGTTCTTCAAGTCTTTGAAGCTGACACACATCAACAGGGGGATTAAAGATGTGCTCATAGGTTTCCTCCTGCAGTCAAAAGATGTGCAGGTTAGGTGGATTAGCTGTGATAAATTGCCTCATATTGTCAGCGGACGTTAAAGCTAGGTAGGTTACCCCTGGTAAATACAGGGTTACAGGGATAGGGTGGGGGGCTGGGTCTGGATGGGATGCTCTTCGCAGGGTCAGTGCAGACTTGATGGGTGGAATGGCCTCTTTGCACTCTGTAAGGGTTCTATGTTTCCTTTAACTACACTTGATGGCAAACATTAAGGATTTAAATTTTTCTTCTCTTCTCACTGGCTCACCTTGCTATTGGGCATGCAATGTAAAAATTCAATTACTCGGTGCTCATGGTTTTCTGACTATTTGGTCAATGCATCCAGTTTTCCAAAATTGGGTTTATTTTTTCCACCATATTGTTTCTGCAATTGTGTAAAATGGCTATTGAGTGGCTCAAAAGCATGCAGATTGAAGTGGTGAATGTGATGCTTCATTCAGTGTCACTCAGTTTTGAGCCTTGTATCAACATTAAACAAGAGCCGATGATAAAGATTACTATTAACCTACCTGTTCTTTAATCCTCACTGCTCTGACCTCCTCATTCAGCACATCAATGTCTTTATCCATGCAGCGACATAGCTTGGTAATGTTGCTGTCTCTTTCACTGACTGCTCTGTCAATGACAGTGCGAAGTACACTTATTGAAGGCTTTAGAGTTGCAAATACAGCAAGATCCTCAGGAGGTGTACCAATCTTATACTTTTCGATGAGCTGATACATCATTACAACAACAGTTGCTTCTTCATCCAAGAATTCAATCTGAAAGAAAGGTATTTCTTTATAGAGGTTATTATGCCTCCTATGAGAAGTGCATATTGATCCAAAGGACAAATTCACACTTCAAGGGTGTAAAAAGTCTAGGTTATGTTCGGCGTTTTATTTATAAGCATACAATTCAAATCCCCACTCTGCTGAGCTGCTCACTGTTCCACTGCTGTCCTGTTTCACCAGCAAAACCATGGAGGATATGAGTCAATGCAATTGTCAGTAAATGCCGTAAATTTTGTCACAGTCATAATTCCAACTTAAAATGTTGTGAATAATCTGTAGAATGAAACTGACGTGTATTTCCTGCAACCCTGGCTACTGTTTGTGATCCCATTCATGTGGTTTTCCAAGACTTAGAAATACATAAGACACCTTTGCACACTGAACTAAAATCAAGAAGAGGTGCACAACCGTTAACAAATAACTGATAGTTCTACAATTTCATTCGCATCCTAGGGTGAGCAAAGAATCTAGATCATTAACAATCACTGGGGGACTTTTGAAAAGAATAATCTATGGACAGAAGAGCTCATTCCAGGAACGAGCCACCAGGGAAACAGAAATGTAATCTCCAGAATTAATAGAAAGTAAAATGCTGACATCATAATGCAGCTTTCGTGTCTTCAAGACACCTCAAAGATCTTTCCAACCGGTGTGTCGCTTTTTGAGTGTGACCAGTATTGTCACATGGATAAATAAAGCAGATTTTGCAAGCATCTCAAAAGCCCCTTAATAAAAAAAGAAATTAATACCTGATCTATTCTTGGTGGTGCTAGTTGACAGAGAAATATTGCTCAGAGCATCAGAAGATCTCTAGTTTCTACCGTTAATCTATCTGAAACACTGGAACAAAGCCTCAGTTTCAATGTCCACGTGTAAAAGATAGCAGTTCCATCAATGCAACACATTTTCAGGATTGCACTGAATTGTTGCAGTCTAAATGAAATGCTCAGTGCCTTGTGTAGTGCTTGATGACACCTGGATCATAATCAAGGGCAGACTTTCCATCAAATGAAAAAATTAATCTATTGTTTTTCTATTATGATATTTGAAAACCGCATATGTGCTGTCTCACCACCTTTTGAGCAAGACACCGACGAAAATGGAAGGTTCCACCAAAAGTATGGGAAAGGATTTTTTTTTATCTTGGGATATGTACCATATGCAATATCATATATGTATTAAATTAAATACATCCAGGAAACTTAGACAAAAGAATACACTGCATTTCTGACAGGCTGCTTTCGAACATGTACATCTGACTGCCGATTTACCTCTGTTAACTCAATCTGCGTAATGCTTACTAACCAAGTATAATTGTAAAAATGAGGCTACGACATTTTGATAATTTAACTATCTAATGTTCATGTACTGTTGGTCCTTTGCTGTGGTAGCACAGAGAGAAATTGCAGTCTGCTCATAGTTGTGGGTTCATGTCACTACTTAAGTCTCAGATCCCGTAAGGGTAGTAATCATGGGAAGTAGTTGACTGTGTCTCAACATTATTGTGAACCTTTAGGTAAACGTGCATCCCAAGATTATACACTTGATGCGTTTTAAGTTTCGCCCTTGGTATTTGTACACTAGGGTTCTATTTATAAAAAAAAGATACACTGTGCTTTTTTTCATCATGCTTTATGTAGGTACACACCCAGAACTCTATAATCCTGCATCCCATTCAATTTATACTGTCTAAATCTTTTGCATTCTTTTGCCTAAACTTCCTGGATGTATTGGATTTAACCTATCCTACGTATCTTAAGGTTAAAAAAATCATAAATCATATTACCTTTCCTCATTCTTCCAACTAAAATGTATCACATCATACTGGTCTGCATTAAATTCGATCTGTCAAATGTCTGTTCATTCCCTTGAACCTGTTACTGCCCTCCTCACTATTAATTGCATTATTTCACAATTGGATTATTAAACTTTGAAATTATGCCATTGAGACCTAAGTCCATGTTATTAACATATGTCAAAAAAAAACATTGATCCTAGTACTGCTGCCGGAATGAATGAGGATTAAATTAAAATTGCAGATGATACTTTGATTACAATCAGATTGAAAGTTATAGGTCTTATTATTCTTTTTAACTTGCTTTTTATGCATGCGAAATACAAACTCAACTGTTTCCCTGTCTTTCTCTTTCTCCTCAGATCTAAGGTAACTTAAAAAAGAAAACTTCTAATTGTTGAATCACATGAACAAGATTTGCACCATTTCTATTCACTTTCCAATTTAATGGGAAAACTTGAAAACAAAATCAAAAACTAAAATAATTAAGCATATATAAATAACAACAAGGCATATAATTACATTGAATCAAATATAAACTTATTATCCTTAATGAGAAAAAGCTATCTAAAGGATCAAATTCTAATTATAATTTTAGTATATTGGGAAAGCACTTCTGGTGTGCCAAAATCGTAAATCAATAGAAGTTTATGATTTCATGACAAATGACATACAATCAAAATTAATCCTCATTTTAATTACCCTATTTTTCAATCCCTAAATATGAGAATACCAAAAAATTCACTTCACTACCAGTGCCAGAATATTGCAGAGCGTTGGGAATGGCTAGAAACCCAGTTTTTGCCTATAATTGCAAAGAATAATGACTGAAATCTCCCTCTTCACTTATTGAAGAAAGATAGATAATAGTAAAGAGGAAAAGTTCTGAGAGGGAGGGAGGAACTTTACCAGCTTTGCAAAATGTATTATGAAAATATTTGCAGCATACCCTATCCTGCATTTCGTCAAGGAATAGCAAGTTATTCACATACTCCATGGTTCCAGTTGGAACTATTTCAAGTTTATACTCAGCATCTTGCACTTCGTGAATAATATCATCTGTCTTCTTCTTGGCAAGAACTGGAAGAATCTCATTAATAGCCTAACCAAAAGAAATCAAAATAGTGAATCTTATTATCAAAAATAAAATTACATTTCCTCTTACTTTCTGTATGTTGTAAATATTAATATGTTCTCAAGTGATAAATAATCAAATTAACACTCATTTCAAACTTATCAAATTATAGACATTAGACGATAAATGTTTATCTTGCGGCTTAACCAATTTAAGTAGATTTAAGAATAGCCTTTTGCAAACAATTAAAGATCCTGTTTCCTTCTTCCACTACGTGTTAGATGTTTCTTCCAAATGTGAAATTTTTAAAAATATGTTCATGGTCACTTAACAGATTGGATTTACAAAGGGACAGATATTTATTAATATAAAAGAGCACAGTGAGGTGAAACAGAACACATTAACTAAAGTGTATTAATATGTTGCAATAATTACAAACTTCCTGTCTTTTTTATGTTACAAATTCCTATGCCAGAGTACATCTGGAAATGTAGACCTATCATACTCTAAACACAGTAAACCCATCAGAGGGTTGCAATACCACAACAGGCAGGAGGATTGGAGGAGCAGTAAACAGAAAAGAAAACAGTTAGGGGAGGGTGAGGGATCCAGATTTGTTAGTGTGACAGCTGGGAGAGGATTGGTGAGTGTGGTGAAAGCTGGGTTTGGGGGGATCAGAGGTCAGTTGGATGTGTTTGGAGAAGAGGAGAAAGATCTTGGTCAGGGATGGGAGCGGAAGGGAAGGGAGCTGGTTGGGAATTAAGTTCTAGGAGCAAGGGAGGGTGTTGAAAGTCACCACTGGCCAAGATGCAGGGACTTTTGTCAAGGCTAGAAAGGCCTTTGCCAGGAGTTCCATGTTCTGTGCTGGGGTCTGAGTTTTTGTGTGGGAGGAGATGGTTGAAGGAGGATTTGGGGTGGGGAGAATGAAGGAAGCTTCAAAGTAGGGAAGGGAGCCATTAAATGGGTGTGTTGAGACTCCAAGACGTGTGAGGAGATTCAATGAAGGTTGAAAGAGATCTAAACAGAAGAAGGCAACTGCAAGAGTGAAGTTGAGGAGAGGGTGATTGAAAGCGTGACTGACAGACATGCTGCAAAAGAGAGAAAACAATTTTAAACTTGTCAAGAAAGGTAGCTAACTGGGAACCAAGAAAACTCCAAATTACTGAGGTAACTAAGTCCTTGCAAATAAATTTGGAGTGTCTAGCTTAGAGCCACGTAAGTTCCAGAGCTACTATGCAGGAAACGATGTTGAGGACCCTACTGTAATGAATACTATCAATTGACAAACTTAAATCTGAGACTGAGATTTAAGGTGCAGTGAATAAGATTGCAACTGCCTTGCAAAAATGTTCCAACTTTGTGCATGTGCAATGGAAATGCTTGGCTGTGACCTTAGCAGTCTATGGAAAGTGTCTTTAAGGTATTTTAATTTTATTTGTTTGTGAGTTCAAATAATCCCAATGTCAGCACAGACATAGCAAGTATCATACTATGTGACAGCTTAACATAATAAATGAGTGAATGAGAATTAAAAAGTAGCCCATGAAAATCAAAAAAATAGCCTTCACAAAAATCTCAAGAGGATCCTTTGAGAAAAGACGTTTTGATCCCTGATGAGAAAAGCCATGCAGGCAACATAAAAAGCAATACAAAGTATTTTGTAGGCATACAAATAGTGAATGATAATGAAATGTGAGGTGGAGCCAATTTGGGATCAAAAAGGGATTGGCACTTGTAAGTAGAAGACATGAATGTGTGCTTTGCATCTGTCTTCACCAAGAAAGAAGAGGCTGCAGAAATTGCATTGAAAGACAAAGTAGCTGGCAGACAACTAATTGCCTAAAAATTGTTAAAGAGGAGATATTAGAAAGGCTAGTTTCACTTAAAATTGATAAGGACCAGACAAGATGCATCTAAAGATACTGAAGGATGTCATGGTGGAGATTTCAGAGGCACTGGGCATAATCTCTCAATGCCCTTTGGACACTGGGTTGATGTCAGAGTACTGAACAATTGCAAACATTGCACCCTTGGTGACAAAAATAGTGTAACGATAAATCCAACAACTGCAGGCCAATTATTTTAACCTGGCTGGTTGGAAAGCATAGTGAATTGAGTTTCATCATGAAGTTAATAACTACAAAGTGAACAACAATTCTTTATTTTGTTTCAGAGATAGTAGGAACTGCAGATGCTGGAGAATCTGAGATAACAAGGTGTAGAGCTGGATGAACACAGCAGGCCAAGCAGCATCAGAGGAGCAGGAAGGCTGACGTTTCAGGCCTAGACCCTTTTTCAGAAATGGGGGAGGGGAAGGGGGTTCTGAAATAAATAGGGAGAGAGGGGGAGGCGGATAGAAGATGCATAGATCCACTGAGGTTTTTCCGGAGGGAGGAGGGTAACAATTCAACATTCTATCAAGGAAGGCCAGTTCACTTAAGCATCTAGATATCAAGCTGCTATTAGTTTCATACTGTAAGAAATACCCTCTAAATCAGCTTACTTCATTAAATGCTTATAATGAATAAAAAAGCCATCAGATTTATCACAAATGAATAATGTTTACCTCCAGACAGCGTATAGGTGAAGGGATTATTGTCTTCTTGAGAGATGTGTTATCTATAAGCAGCAGTCCTAAGTTCTTAGTCTGCTTAATACTGACTGCGTCAGCATGCTGCTTGTGATATTTTTCCAGCCAACTCGTAAAGAAATAAATATCTACATTAAACATAGACACCAAACTTAATATTTTATCATTTACCAACACATTTGGCAGTTTTATTTTTAAGGTTAATACTCTTGCTTTTAAAAGTACAATTTTATATTTCCTGATATTAAACCATGTACTCAGTCTGCTGATTGAAGTGCCAAGAATAAATGGGAAAAGACAAGTAAAATAACTAAGAAATATCAAAATCTGAGGATGCAGTAGAGATTTACTAGAATGGTAACAAGCTGAGATTTCAGTTATGTACAGTGATGTGAGTTACTGGGATTGCTCTGCTCAAAACAGAGATGGTTAAAGGCAGATTTAAAGTAATGATCTAAAATACTGAAGGATTTTGATATCATGCATAGAGTTAAATTGTTTCCACTGGCAGGAGGAATGATAACTAGATAATACATATTTAAGTATCTTGGCATAAGAACCAGACAGTGACATCTGAGATGATTGGTTGGTGAGAAACTACCATTAGAGAATGTCTCTAAGACACTTAAAATATATGATTAAAAATGTTAAATTAAGTAACATTAAAGAAACTATTATAATTAATAAAGGGACACAAGCAGATGGGAAGAAATGACCTGAACTTACTATTCTGTTTTAAGTTTTAAGTTGTAATTACCATTAAGTTATATTAAGAAGGATTATATTTGTACATTGTGGTAGTGAAGACAGGCATTAATTTTAAAACAAAATGAAAATAATGAATTCACTAATTAACAGCAGGGGAAAGGAGCAAGGGCTGAGAAGGGCATAAAAATTAGCTGATGGCAGAAGTATGCAAGCAAAGTTCTAAACATTATCTCAGTAATTAAAATGACATCAGCATAAAGGAAGGAATTGATTGATGAGCAGTTGGTGAGTGATTCTACTGTCTAGCCTCCAGTTTATAAACAATAGTCTGTGAAGTAAAGTTAAGTTGAGGAGAGCTCCGCTCCTGGAGTGTAAAACATCTTGACAGCTTCCCATAGGCTTGGTCAACCTCATGTGTAAGAAATGTCGCTAGCTGCAGAAACTTGAGCTTCAGATTTCAGGACTAAAGCAATAGCTGGAATCACTGTAGTGCATCGCAACGCTGAGAACTATTTGGATATAATATTTAGGGAGGTGACCTCACTGCAGCGAGGGAATGGGTGATGGCCAGACAGTCTCGGAGGATCAGGCAGAGAAGCAAGGAGTCTAATAAGTCATCTCACTCATGAACCAGTTTTCTTTTTTGGATACTGGCAAGGGCAATATTTCTTAAAGATGATGTCTTGCTTGCTTGTACAGAGCATTAATGAAACTATCCCTGAAGTATTATGCAAAATTTTGATTTTCTTATTTAAGGAACAACATACTTGCCATAGAGGTATGTATCAAAGCAATTCCTGAGATGGCGAGATTGAGGAGACTAACCCTGTACTCTCCAGAGTTTAGAAAATTGAGGGGTCATCGCATTGTACATTTTTTTTTACAGAACTCAACAGGGTAGAACAATGGTTTCTTGGTTTGTGTTGAGGGTGATGGGGGTTCTAGAACCAAGGAACATAGTTTCAGAATAAAGGGTGGACCATTTAGGACTGAAATGAGGAAGTAGTACAACACTCAGAGGGTGTTGAACATTTTGGACTCTGAGAGGGATGTGGAGGTTCAGTCATTGAATATTTTGCAGACAGTCATTAATTGATTTCTAGATATTAAAGACATGAAAGGGAAATGGAGACTGTGTGGGAAAATAGTGCAGAAGTAGAAGATTAGCCATGATCTGGTTGAATGGAAAAGCAAGCTCAAGAGGCTGAAAGGTATGTTATTGCTTCTACTTACAATAAGTGAGGATAAGAAATGTTTTTAATGGAGTGAGTTTTCTGACCTGGAATGCACTACTTTAATGATTAATACATAAAATCTATATATAGCAGTCAAGATTGTCAAAAGTGAATTGGATGTGTACTTGAAGAGGAAAAAATGACAACATTTTAAGAAATGTGTTAGGCAGCAGGATTCATTGCACATCAAATGTACAAAATGACGAATGGTCTCATTTTGAACAATATTACTCCATAAAATATGAAAAAATAAAATATTAGAATTAGTGCAAATGTTATAAAATAAACCAGACAGGGGTCATCTGGAAAACTTGTGGAGGTGTTATTAGAAAATCTAGAAGTTTTTAAAAGTTACAGAATTGCAGGTTGTTGGGGTAACAGAGACAAATGATAAGGATGAGATTATAAAAACCGACAGAACTGTGGATGCTGTAAATCAGGAACAAAAACAGAAGTGCTGGAAAAGCTCAGCAGGTCTGGCAGCATCTGTGAAGAAAAAAAATCAGAGTTAACGTTTTGGGGCTGGTGACCCTTCCTCAGAGAATGAGATTATGTTTTGTAAAAACCTGGGAGGCAACAGAAAAACATGGAACATTTTGTTTCTTGGATCTACAAACATTTTCACTTGTTCCTCAAGCTCTGATCTAAATTACACATTTGAGTAGAATTATGTACAGATAAAATGAAGACGTTTGTGCTGCTAACCAATAAGAGTCGCTTGTTGTGTGATGCCCGAGCACAAATTTAAACTAAACCAGATCAAGTTGGTTTTATACCAATATAATTCCATATTGACAAGCATACCATGCTCCTCTTTCATAAGAACTGGCAAATCAAGGGCTTCATTTTCCAGAAAATCTGTCCGAAACATTTCAAACATTTCTGCAAACATAACTGCTGCATTAAATCCTGACTCAATACAATCCTAAACAGGAAAATCATTGGATTAATATTTAGAAGCAAATCACAATAAAATAGAAGGCATCAGTAAATAAAATTTTCAGTAAAACAAAATGTTCACAATTATTAGGTTTTAGTAAAAATAGCTTACATTGGTTACCAGTTTATAACCCTGAGAGAGAAAAGCTCCACTTCACAGAAAAAAAACAGCCATCGATTATTAAAGAGACAAGGGACAGCATTAAACCAAAAAAAACATATAAAATTGCAAAAAACAGAACAGATCCTGCTGAATTGGAAAGATACAAAGACCAGCAAAGAGCCACAAAGCAGTCCTATTAAAAGGGATTATAAAAGGAAACTTACCAGGGACATCAAAAGCAATAAGCAGAAATTTTATAGTTACACAAAGGGAAAACAACGTTGGCCCACTAAAGATTGAAGGTGGGGGTGTTGTCGATGACTATGGCAAAATAGCAGACGTGTTGAAAAGTACTTTGTGTTGGTATTTACAGTAGAAAAGTTGGATAGCTTGCCAGGAGTCCTGAAGAAATGAATAGTGGATCGGGTGTAGAGACTGAATAAATGTATTGTAAGTAAAACATCAATAATGAGTGAAAGAGCTCCAAGGAGACCAGTATCCAATCACTAAGTTGCACTTTATTTACACATGGAGAGTCCTTGACACTGATCCAGCTCTCAGAGTGACCAGAATCTCTGGCACTCTTGTTTATATCTGTCAGTCAGATATCCCTGATTGGACTAGATTAACAGCCTCAATCAAGGAATTCATTCTAGGAGGTCCACCTGGCTGATCTTGTTACAATCACTACAATGAAAAAATTAATGAAATTAAGGAGTGACAAATCCCTGGGATCTCTGACTGTCATCCCTGACAGTTTTCATTTGAGGGTGTTAAATGAAATAGGGTAGCACATTGCAGAAGGCCTAACTATAATCTTTCAGTGTCCCTGAGGTATAAGAGCTGTCTCTCTGGATTGGAAAATTGCATGTCACTCTGCTCTTTAAGAAGGGTAAAAGAGGAATAAAGGGGAATTACAGATCAGTTAGCCTAACAATCAAGAGGAGAAATTTTTGGAGTCTGTAATCAAGGGTAGGGTAACTGAATACATTGAAAATTTTCAGTTAATCAGGGCGAACCAGCTTGGATTTATGACAGCTAGGTCATACTGGGCAAGCCTCATTCAAGTTTTTAAAGAGGTGACTAAGGTAGTGGACATGAGAACATCAATGGATGTTCTTTGTATGGACTTCCAGAATGCATTTGATAAAGTCCCACATAGGAGACTGTTAACTATGTAGAAGTCCATGGAATTTTGGGAAAATTACTGACATTGCTGGGAAATTGGTTGAGTGGCAGGCAGAAAGTAGGGATAATGAGTAGGTACTCAAATTGACAGGATGAGACCAGTGGTGTTGCACAGGATCTGTCTTAGGGCCTCAATTATTTGCGTTATTTATTAACACTTTGGATAATGGCATATCCAAATTTGCTGATGACACAAAATTAGGTGGCATTACAGACAGTGTAGGTGATAGTCCATCAATATTCCATTGTAATTTTATGCTAAGTGAATGGGCAAAACTGTGGCAGCTGGAGTTCAATGTAAGTAATTATGAAGTTTTCTACTTTGGACTGGAAAAGGATAGATCTGGGTACTTTCTAGATGGTATGAAATTAAATAAAGTGACTGTTTAAAGAGACTTGGGAGTTCAGGTGCATAGATCTTTGAAACGTCACTAATAGATGCAGAAAATAATCAAGAAAGCTAATGGGTGTTGGCCTTTATTTTAGAGGATTGGAGTACAACAATGCAGAAGTTATGCTGCAGTTGTACAAGACCTTAGTTAGGCCCCACTTACAGTGAGAAGATGTGGGCATTGCACCTTTGGAATTATATATTGTCCTTTTAGGGAGGACAATGTAAGTTTGTAAGAATGACATCTGGAATTCAGAGGTTAAGTTATAAGAGCAGATTATATAAATTACTCCTGTTTTCTCTAGAATTTAGCATGTTAGGAGTGATATGATCAAAGTCTTCAAGATATTAACAGGAAAAGATAGAAACTCTTTCCATTGGTTGAGAATTCTAGAACTATGGGGCATAGTCTGAGAATTAGGGCCAGACCATTGAGGACAGATGTTAGGAAGCACTTCTACATACAAAGAGTGGTAGATATTTGGAACTCTCTTCACAAATGGCAGTCGATGCTGGATCAATTATTCATTTTAAATTTGAGGTCACTAATTTTTTTTTCAGCAAAGGTATTAAGGGATAAGGGCCAAAGGCAGATATATGGAGATAGGTACAGATCAGCCATGAACAGTGGTACAGGTTTGAGGGCATAAATCAAACCTTGCACATTCATGCTCTTCAATTTATAATGTTTTTGGTTCAACCGAAGAAAAACAGTTTAACAACCATTTTAAAAGATAAATTGACCTCGACTTTAATTCCCACTATCTGGCAGAAAGCAGGCAGCAAGGCAGTTCAAATGGAGCTGGGGCGTAGCCAATTCATTTTCTATTGATCTGCTGAGCACAATTTTAAATTTCAGGGTGTTAGGACATCCACCCCAAGTTGGCAGAACCTTTAAAAACACTAATATTGTCGTCCAGACCCATTGTGTGATTTTAACTTGATGACTGAATATAAGAATAGTGGCTCTTTTGCCACCAGGTCAAATGCCAATTTGCCTGGAAAGGGAGCTCGAGAGAAGAGGCTTTGCAAGTTAAATCTTTAAAAATTACTTTTTAATTATCTTGCTGGTCATCAGGAGAAAAAGTGCTGCCAGAAACTATAAACTTTTCTAGACCCAGCCTGTGGCCTATAACTAATCAGAATTCCCCTTCTTGAGAATTACTTGACCATCAGTGTGTACTCACAGGTCCTTGGCAGTGCTCTCCTGCTTGTCAAATCTCTTTTGCTGCCTGCTGGGCTGTCATTAACTCTCAGTAAGTTTGGATGGAAGTTTGACCCTAAGTATGGAAATAAGTTCCGGGAACTAAAAACTCACCAGATCTCATTCTGTCACTTGGATTTAATGGTCTTTTGCATTGCAAATTTGCCATTAAGACTACAGCATTCTGTTCTCACTGCTGATGGCATATAAAAGGGAGTGAACTGAACAGATGATCCTGAATTGGTCCAGAGATAAAATTGAATATAAAGTATTCATACGTCACCACTTTGGACTTCCTAACTCTAATATAAAACAGCATCAGCTCGAACATGTCAAACTTTCACTTACCTGGTGAACAGTACAACAGAATCTGCACCTATAGATTATGTGATGGTTGAATGTTTGGTTATCTTCAGACATTGCCTTCTAGTTCTATACAAATAAATACCAAACCAGCCTTAAAATAAGTACCAGTGTGTTTGGATAGCTTAATGATATTGCACATGTTTGATTTGATTTACTCTCTCGTAATAAAGTACTGGAAAATGGGACTAGTCGTTGTTTTTGACTGGTGTGGATGCAATGGGCCACAGAGTATTTTTTTTCCTGTGCTGTAGATCTCTATGACTCTAACTTCAATAGGACTAAGAACAGTTTCTAATTCCATGATTCCACAGTAACCAAACTTGGATACGTTACTCTGACTTTTTTTTATCCAAGTCATCAATTTGCAATTTTAATAATGGAGTGTCCATCAATGTAAAACTGTTCCATTTGTTCCTATTCTTTGCTTCCTGGTCGTTAACTAAACCTCCATTCATGTTAACATATTACTCTAATACCATGAGCTCTTATCTTGCATGCTAACCTTTTCCCTGGTATTGACAATTGTTGATCACAATTTTGTTTGTCTCTGTCAATGATCTGCAAGATATAGTCCAAAGAAGAAAGGCTATTCCAAATCTTCCACAAATACTGCAAGGATTAGTTGGTGGGATGTGTGCCAGTGATATCATTTTCTTCAATTTTCCCTCTTTAGATGATAGAAGGTAACTGAACTTCAATAGGCACAATGTTAGGAAAAGGTAGAACATAGGAGGAATATATAGAACATTAAAAAGTCTCTGCATTCAATAGGACATTACTGATACCGTATCACAAAGATTTCTAATTATTAACAGTTTAAGAAAATTAATCAGTGACTGCGCTTTCTTTCAAACATCTTTTGTTTCATTAAATATTAAATCTGTTAATGCTTAAGATAAATCATACCAGAATCTTCTGGATGGTTTCCACCAAATACTTGTCATCTTCAAGGATAGTTGCCAGGCTTGGTCCCTCACCACAAGTTTTATCTTCAACTTTTTTGTTGATAATTGGACTTGTAAAGGAATTAAAGTATGAATCTGACACTAGGTTGCCAATTGAGAGAACTATTCCCTGCATTTGTAGCACAAAATCAGAAATCCCAGCCTGAGGAAAAAAAACAACAAAAACCAATTAAGTATAATTCTGAACTGGATGAAAGTCCAGGCTTTTCCATTATATGTTTTAGTCTATTTCCTTTATTTTCCTTTTGTAAGGCTTTTACAATTTTTTTCATAATATAACAACATGCAAAATACATCTGCTTTCTATACTCATCATACCTACATTGGACAATTCACCACTTGCAAAATCAACATTCATTAATTAGTTTCATTGACTTTAGTATTATGTATGTGGCTGGACTTTCCTGCACTAATGTTGGGGTTTAAAAATGGTGGGAGAAACCCTATTCGCCTTCTAAATCTGGAAACTGTACTACCTAGAGGACAAGAGAAAGAGATATATGAACACCATTACCTTCAGGTTTGCCTCAAAGATATATGCCACACTGATTTGGAACTATATCACCGTTCCTTCACTATGGCTGAAGTAAAATCATTAAACGTCTTCTTTAATAGCACAGCGGCTGCACCCCATGA